CCCCCACACACACGCATTAAGATCCACAGAGGTCGCAGCCACAGTGAGGATGACGGACTGTTCTTGCTGCAAAGAGGCTGGGGTTGGGAAGGGCTCAAGGGCGGGGGAGAAGGTCCCAGGGAGTGGGTTACTGCTGATCGCCTCTGAGGGCTGAGTCTCAGAGCCCCTCTGCCAGCGCCCCTAGAACACCCCCTTTCCCCCTCCCCGCCCCTCGGCAGAGCCCACTGGCTGGGGCAGCAACAGTGGATTATGCTGCCCCCTGCTGCTCACTCTCCGCACTGCAGTCCTGCTCCTGGGTACGGGTGGCCCAGCGAAGGCGCTCCCCCTGGTCCGCGAGCAGCCTTCCTTCCCGCGCGGTCCATGAGGAGGACCCGTGGAGCTTCCAGGCTCTAAATTGGAGAGAGACACGCGTGTGGAAACGTGGGGCCCACTCTCCCACCGCCCCCTCCAAGGAAGCCCCACCCCTGGCTGAAGATGTTTATCAAATGTGCTCTCTACTTCCTGGCATTAGGCTCCCGCTGGCACTTTTATTCCAACCATAAAAAGGCTATTTCATTGAGAAATAAAGTCCCATCTCCCTGACGTGTAACTCCTTTCAGAGCTCTTCGGCAGCCACCAGGCAGAATTTATGTTTCCTGGATGCTCTCTCCCGGGATGGCAACTGGGAAATTGGGGAGAGAGAGCTGGAAGGGGGACTTCCTCTCCGACTGAGGGAGGCGTGTTGGTCCTTTTGGTTTAAGGAGCCCTGGGAACCCACGGTGGGCCGGAGAGAGCCGCCGCCTTTGAATGAGGAGACCCACGTTCGAGCTCCAGTTCTGCCATCTTTGCTGTGTGACCTTGGGCAAGGAAACTGGGCCCTGAGCCTCAGTTTGCCTGTCTGTACATTGGGAAGAACTATTCCTCTCTTCCTCGGGGATAGTACTAGCAGCAGGGGGCAGTGGAGTGGAGAGTGCTTGGAGGCTGTGCCCTGACCGGTGTGTCTCCATTGGCTGGGCATCGTCCCTCAAAGCTAAGCTCAAGTCCGCAGTTCAGTTCCTGACTAGGCCACAGGCCCGGGTCAGTCCCAGGCAGCATGTAGGGGGCCATGGACTGTTGTTTCTCTCCCACAGCGATGTGTCTCTCTGCCTCTCTTTCTCCCTCTCCTCCCCTCTCTCTAAAAATAAATAAATAAAAATCTTTTTTTTTTTAATGTGCTTGGAAGCTGTCAAGTGTTGCCAGTGTTGTGGGGACAGAGGAATTCTCGGACTGGGGGTGGGGGTGACGTGGGGCTGTCCCTGATGCAGAGTCTCCAAGAATTTCGACTTTCACCTGGAGGGCTTGTTAAAGCCCAGATTGCAGGGCCCCACCCGCTGCGTTTTTGGGTTAGGCCGTCTAGGGTTGAGCTAAAAATTTTGCATTTTGAGCCTGGGAGGTGATACTGACTGCCTCTGGTCTGGGGACCCACTTCCAGAACCACTGTTCTGGGGCTTTGAGATCTGGGGTGTGGGAGCACCCATCCTGGACTTTGGGAGAGGAAGAGGTAGCTGGTGGGCGGTCACCCATGGAGTCAGGTCTGGGTGGGCTCTGGCTGGCTCCATGGCAACGAGCCTCTCTCCGTACTTCCCCACCTGGCCCCCGTGGCTTGGCCTGACGTCTCAGGCAGCCCGTGTCCCTGTGTCCCCGGAGACCAGAGCAGCAGAGGTATCAGGAAGTGGGTGGAGCTGGGGATGAGAGATGCTCAGGGATGAGGGGTTCTTGCAGCATTGGGGACTCTCACTTACCATCTTCACAGGATGGACCCCCACGTTATCCTAGAGCTGAGGTGGTCTGGTCACTTGCTCCTGTTTCCAAACTGCCCCGTGCAGAAAGAGGGGCTCAGAGAAGTGAACCAGCTTGCTCAAGGTCACACAGCTTGAGCAGGACACCCAGAAGAAAGCTCTTTCCACCACAGCCCCCCTGCTTCTGTGATAATTTGGAGAATTGCTAAATTGACGGCTCCAGTTTCGGTTTAAGTAATATTCAAATACCCAATGGAGACTTGCAGCGAGGGCAGAAAGAACATGTCGTGATGGAAGAAGTCTGCCGTGGGCAGCATCTAAAATTTGAGAATTCAAGACCTGGATGGGGCAAAGCTCAAGGGGGAAAATCCGAAAGGGAAATGTCCCCCTGGCTCTTCCGGGTAATGGGAGAGAGGGATGATAAATGTATCACAGACCCGGGACCTCACACCCATAACCACAGGCAGGCGCAGTGGGGGGTGGAGGTGGAAGATGAGGATCCAAACTGCTGAGGATGGGGAGCCACGGATGTCTAAGCACCCTACATCCCGGTCGTCTGAGACCCGCCCAGCAGGGAGCTGACCAGGAGGGGAAGCGCCACTCCCTGCCAGGACATCTCATTGCAGGCACTTGGCCGTCGGCCACGCACACATCACTGCAAGACACAGCTGGAGGCCCCCGAGGCAGGGGAGACACACGCAGGTGCACACTCGGCCCGGGGTCAGGCCCAGGTGCTGCCCAGGCCCCGCCCTGTCCCATCTTGAGCAAGGACAGGAGTGCAAGCACCTTGTCCCAGTTTGGAGTCGTGCGGAGCGATGGAGAGGCAGAGCAGTGGTTTGTTCCAGCCGCGCAGAGCTGGGAAGAGTGCCCAGAACAGTTCACGCCCGACCCTCTCAGCCCTGCAGATCGCAGCCCGCCTTGGCAGGGGGCAGGGGTGGGGAAGATCCTTTCCTGCCAGGTAAAGCCTGGCGATTTCATTAACTCCGTCCCCTCGGTCTCATCTCCAAGAACTCGGGGTGGTTAACCTGGGGACGACTTGGTAAAGGGTCAGCCCTGGTTTACAGGGGTATGCACACCCCTGGTCTAGGAGGTCGCACAGCTGGGTGGCTCTGCTGGAAAAGGGGAGGAGTGTCTCCAACCCTCAGAGAGGGGCCCTTTGAGTCACGTCCCTTCCAGTGGGGGGGGAGGGGGGAGGCGGGTTGGCCTGTCTCACTCAGGAACCATGCCCCCCACACCCACTCCGTCCCCTTGCTGCTGCTCTTGCCCCTCTGACGTCCACTTTGCAGACAGATTTTAAAGCCAAAATGAAGTCTGGGCACCTGCCTTGGCCATGGGGGCCCCCCTGCAGGCCTGCCCCGCCCCGCCCCGCCATTCAAGGGCCTTCTGTCACTCCAGCCTCCCACACATGCTGTCCCTCTGCCTAGACAGACACACACCCCCAGCTGTTTCCAGGTTTACCTCCCCAGAGGGACACCCCGACCAACCCCCCAAAGCAGCCCATACCTCCCACCCCCCCCACCCAAGTTGTGCATCGAGTCTGTTCACAGCACTCGACGTTCATTATCTGCAACCAACTGTGCGTGCGTTTGTGTCGTCTCTGCCCCCGTCACGCACACACTCCCACACACGTGCACACCAGATCCTTCACTCCCACACGAGGGACTTCCCCTGTGCCACTGGGCCTCCCCTGCCCTGATCTGGAGCAGTGCCTGGCACACAGGATCCGCTCTGTACACATTTGCCGAGTGATGGGGTCCAGGATGCACCCTCCGAAAGGCAACCGGGGCTCTGGGGATGGAGCCAACGGTGAGCCCACAGCGGCAGCACCGCGTCCTAACCACCTTCCCTCCAGCCTCTGAAGACCTTCCGGCCCCAGAACCACGGGCCAGTGAGCTAACCCTTGACCGGGGAGGTCAAGGCCTTCTTTCTTCCCCAGCCCAGGCCACCAGCCAGGTGCCCAGGGCAGCAGCCACAGGTCTGGGCCTCCTGCTGGTGTCCCCTCTAGGTGTCAGCCTTGCCCTCAAGTGGGGGCTGCTGTCCCTGGGCAGTGACCACCTGCAGGGGACCTGCCTAGCTGGGGGTGGGCGGGGGGGAGGGGACGGGGTGGGGTGGGTTGGCCTTGGAGTCACGGCTCTGATTCAAGAAGGGAAATCATCTGAGCTTTTAAAAAATTAAATGGAGTCAGTAATTTGATTTCAGGGAGAAGCTGAAAACCTCGTAATGGCAGGAGCTGCTCAATTCCGTGCTGAAAAGGAAAAGCCTTAAATGGGGCTATTAAGCTTTTGCTGGGATGGATCTGCCTGGGGAAGGGGAGGGAGGGGTTGGCAGGGGGAGCCGCCGTCCTGGAGGTAGAGACCGTTTATCAGCCAAGACAACCCTGATTATTTATTTATTTATTTGTTTCGCAGTCCGGGCGTTGCTGAAGGCCTCTCTCCTTGGCTGCGATTCAAGTCCCACTTCCAGCGATGGGCGGGCCCGGAGGGGGCGGGGGTGCCACCTTTCCAGGGAAGCACTCCAGGGGCACTCGGCTCAGGCCACCGCTGGGCTCCTGGGCCGGGGCATCTGATAACACTGGCATCCCCCCGCCCAGGGTCAGTGGGATCCCTGGAGGGGTCCAAATTACCCAGGGACCAGCTGCTGCCACGGGAACCAGAGCAGAGGATGGCAAGTCAGGAAAACACAGTGGGGACACTCCCATTCTCCTCCCACGGGGCCCTTTAGAGACCTGGGGTCAGGGTCCCCGGAAGCCCAGGGGAGGGGTGTCTCACACTGTCCGGTCTTGTCACCGCCCCTCCTCCCCATAGAGGTCTGAGCTATGGCTGAAGGCTTTCCACACTCTCCTGGAATGAACGCTCGAACGGCCCCTCTGCTGGGCCTGGGACCCCACGGCTCACCCTCTCTGGGCAGCAGCAGTAGCCAGGAGAAGGGCTCACGGGTTCCGCATGCACACTGTGTGCGGGCTGGCACTACTGCATTCCCTCAAGAGCCCCATTGGAGAGGGGCTATTATTATCCCCCACCTGACTGATCAGGAAACTGAGGCACAGAGGTTCCTGCCCTACCCAAGTCCCCCTAGCTAAGGAGCAAAGGACCAGGACTTGAACCTGTCCAGCTGCAGAGCCTGTGGCCTTTCCCCTGCCCCACGCCTCCCTGTCACATGTGCCAACACACGCTCTGCAGGTGGAAAATCTGCCTGGACCCTGCCCACCCCTCTCCTTTGGACATGGGGTCCCTTGGGGCATGCTCACTCTGGCAAAGGGCCTCTCAGAAGCCCCTCCATGACGTGTGGAAACTCAGGGGGCCTGTGACTTTCAGGGCTGGTTGCCAGTGTGGGCTCTGTCATCTCCTGCTGGGTGTCCCCTGGCCAGCAGGGGAAGGGTCCCCAGGACCAGCCATGCTGGCTGGGGTATGCCCCTGGGAGCCCACGAACTCCAAGTTGGCTGGATCTGTGTGTGGCCCCCACTCAGCCTTCTTCACCAGCCATCTGCAGGCAGCCCCTCCCATGGATGAGGCTGGAGGCTTCCGCGAGGAAGTGGCCAGAGGGTTCTCCTGAAGAGTGCCAGGGGGCTGGTTTGGGCTGGCAGCTGGGCCCTCCACGTGCCCTCTGCCAAGGTCCTGGGGCCCTCCGGTGGGCACTGGGGCCTTGCTGCTGCCACCACGCCTTGGAAGTAGCCCCTGTTAGGGCAGCGACTGTCCTTGGCAGGAGGGTGAGTCCTGGCCCCTCCGTGTCCTTATTTGGTTCTGGGGATGGATGGCAGGACAGGTGCTGTCTGGCCCTTTCCTGGTGGCCCCATGGCCTCCCTTACAGAGGGTACTTCCTGGGCTCTCTGAAGGGACCTGACGCCTATTGAGCCAGGCTGCTCATCAAGTGGCTCATCAATGGCTGGAGCTCCTTGCTGGCCTGTCTAGGCCCCCTCTGCGTGGGCTCAGTTACAGCCACACACCCCTGTGACAACCGCCCCCAGCAGGAGGGGACTTCCTGGAGACGAGGTTGGGTCCTGCTTAGGCCTTAGAGCTCATAGGCCGTCAGTTGGGATAACAGGTGGCCTTGAGACCGGGGCCACTTCACATGGTTTGGACCCCGGAGAGGTGGCTGAGGAGGAGGTGCTGTGGACCCGAGGACTGTGTGGCTGAAGGGGGGCATGTCCGGGGGACCCCACTTTTCCCAGGGAGAAAGGGTGCCTACCCACCAGACGCAGCAGCATCCCCCTGGGTTGTGACCATCAAAAACGTCTCCCATTGCTAAATGTCCCCTGGGAGGCAAAAACACGCCTCCAGTTGAGAAACGCAAGGTCAGAGCGTGGGGATTTTTCTGGCTCTCAGGACAAACGCAGCCCCTAGATACATTTGGTTTGCCCAGGAGAGGATTTCAAATATATTTTTTAAAGATTTTATTTATTTATTTTTAGAGAGAAGGGAAGGGAGAGAGAAAGGGGGAGAGATACATCACTGTGTGGTTGCCTCTCATGCGCCCCCTACTGGGAACCCGGCCTGCCACCCAGGCATATGCCCTGACTGGGAATCAAACTGGCAACTTTTGGGTTTGCAGGCCCACACTCAATCCACTGAGCTATACCAGCCAGGGCCAGGTTTTAAATATCTTTTTAACTAGCAGACAAAATTTTATAACCAGCTCCTCCTGAAGAATCAGACAATTTGGCCACCCTGGCCTGTCTCCCTATGGGAATCCGCTCCAGCTAAGGGAAGGTCTGGTAGCCGCGGGTTCACCAAAGACCCCACTGCTCCCTACTGTCTCCCACAAGGCTTTTCAGCCTTGACCGTCCCACACTTGGATGGTGGGTTTTCTCGCCCTCGCTACTTACTCAGACTCCCTGCCGGACCCCTAGAGGCAGTTTAGTCAGTAACCCCTGCTCCAAAATGAGCAGCCGCTGCAGCTGAAACACCCTCTTGGTTTCTCTCATCCAGGCTGGGCAATGCATTGCCTCCTCTGTCCCTAACATCTTTGATCTTAAATAATGAGAATTTCTCCTATAGGGTTCTAACCACTTGGGCGGGAGGTGGGAGGGGGAGAAGATTAAAAGAGAAAACATCTGTAACCACTGAGTGCTCAGGCAATCTGGGTGCATTAATATTCCAGCATATTAGTCACATATTTACACAGAGAAATGTTCTTTGCCTAAGACATTTCGAAAGAATTCCTAGTGCAATTGCAGTGCAACAAGCGTGTATTAAGTGCTTACCAAAGGCGAGGCGGTTTGATAAGGCCCGCGAAGAGTAAAATGCTAAACGAGACGCAGCCCCTGATTGCCAGCCATTCGCAGACCAGAGGGAGAGACAGGGCCCTGCACTGATAACCAGGATAGGAACAGAAAGAGCTAGAAGCTGCAGGGAGGCACAGGGAAGGTGCGCTGGGAACCGGAGAGGGGAGAGGCTCCTTCCGGCTGCTGGCATTAAATTAATTAAAGGAGGAAGAGAGCTTTCTTTCCCCATATAAATCTTTCCAGAGAGGCCAAAAGTCTCCCTAAAAATGTTCTTATTGCTATGCCTGAATTAGTTTGGTATTTTATTTACTGTCAAGAACCAACCCTCTCTCCAAAGCCCAGGCCGAAGGTCACCTGCTCCTGGGGGGGTCTCCCCCGTCCCTGTTCTCCTTTTTTTAAGTCTCCGGACATTGCTTCTACCCCTTTCCAGGACGGACCCCAGAGGAGAACAAGAACCTGACGGCCTCCATTCCCTCCTGAGCCTCGCGCGGGGCCCTGCCCAGAGTGAGTGCTCAGTGAGCATCGGCTGGATAAAACTCCAGCCCTCCCTTCTCAAAATCGGGAAACTGTTCAAATAAAAACAGCCGAAATGTGTAAAAACTTTCAGGAAACGCTTCCATTTTTAGCAGGCTGTTAGAACTCACCCCCCGCGCCCCCCCCAGCCCCCCCCCCCACACCGCCTTCTACTTTGTTTCTAATTCTGAATTTGGGGCTAGATGTGGTAGGCAGTCCCCCTTTTAATCTTTAAATATAGTTCTGAATATAATTACATTTTTATGCAGCACCGAAACATCATATCCTGGTAACGGGGCATTCTTGCACTGTTAACATCTGAGTTAAATCTCCTCTGCGTCTGTCTTCTATTGAGGACAGTTAGGAAGTCTAAGATGAAAGTCATCGACATCATTTGTGAATTATGCGTATTTCCTCATGCTGTATTTCAATGGTTTTGCTCCTGGTGGTTTCTCGAAGGCCAGGTTGTCTGGTAGCTGGGCTTTCACTGACAAGCCCTTTTTCCGACGCAGATCCCGGCATCCGGGCAGGCAGGGCAGGCACCACGTCGAGAAGAGGAGGCTTCGTCTCAGGTTAATAAATAAGTTGTGTCGCACAGTCCCCTTTGCCGAGGAGCCCGGCCCGTTTGGGAAGCGGCCCGAGGGAGGGAGCCCATGTGACAGTGGTGTGTCCTCGTCCTCAGGCCCCACGGAGCTCCTGCACCCCATCATCCCGTCCTCACGGCAGGTGCCGGTGTTCCCATGTCGCAGATGAGAAACTGAGGGTCACAGAGGTTGAGCGGCTCACCAGGGTCCTGCAGCTGTTGAGCAAATGGATGTGCCCCCTGCTCTCCCCTCCCTGTCACTTTGACTCCAGAGCTCGTGATGTCACCCCTGAGAAAGCTGATGCAGAGAGAACTGTTTCGAAATGGAGTCGGAGCCGCCATCCCAGAGGGAAGGCCTCGCAGGTCTCGCTCCTTGAGACCGTGGAGAGTTAGGACTGAGGACGACAGGCGTCGAACTGGGCCAGGGCGACATTGTCTCCCAAACAACCGTTTGGAAGGCTCACAGGGAGACCTCCTGACCGCAGGCAGCGATGGTCCAGGGCCATCCTTCGGAATCAGTGAAGAGCCACGGATGGCTGAAGAATAACTTAGCCGGTCACACCAGTAGAGACGCCTTCTTTCTTTCTACCTGTGCCATTGCTCCCCTTTCCTTTCTCATGAGGAAGCTCTCCTTCTGAGAGAAGTTCTCTCCCATGCAGAGGATGGGGTGACAGACTCAGCAAGTTCCAGGCTCGGGGCCACCCTATCGAAAGCTGGCTTTCCTGGGGCTCCCTGGGCCACCTGGCATGGCAGTGGGGCAACACGGACTTGGTCGCATGTGGCAGGATGCGCCCTGTGTCCGGTGGCCGTCCTCCCACGGATCTGCTCTCCAGGTCTCTGGCTCCTCGTGGTATCAGCGGCCCAAAGGAGAGAGGGCCTCCGGAAGGGGAAGGACAGCCAATGTCAAAATCGGGACCCTGACCTGGACCCAGAGCACCCCGGCCACCAGAATGCTGACCAACCCAAAGGTCCTGTTTTCCATCTCTGGGAAGGTTCTGGACAGGGACCCGCAGAGAAATTCCAAGCTCAAGTTTTCCTTGATGCAAAAAGCTCTTTTGACCAGAAACCTCTTTTGTCTCTGCTTGGGATTATGAGCCAAGACCTCTGACTCTGGCTGGGGTGACACTGGAATGGAGAAGGACACGTGACAGAAAAATGCATGCTGCGCAGGTGTGCAGACAAAGGGTGGTGGCAGCACCTTAGCCGGGGCCCACTGCCCGGGTTGGTGGCAGGGCAGTATCTGGTGTTTGGCATCACTGCCTGCCCTGGAACCTGGCTGTACAAACGAAGAGGAGAAGGCAGCCACCCCAGCCACCCAGGGGACCCTGTCATGTATGATGGCCCATAAGGACACAGATGCCAGGGCTGCCCCTGAGATGCTGAAGGGGTGCCTCTGCCAAGACTGTCTTTATCTTTGGTGACCCAGCCCTGTGCCCTTCCATTACCAAAGCTGCTCTTAAGAAATAAAGCTCATATCAGTTGTTTACACTTTAGCAAGAGTTTCACTGTGTCAGCCCTCTCACGGGGGCATTTTAAGCCAGCTCTGCAGTTGCTAAATGAAAGCATCTGTCTCCAAATAAAGGGATTTCAAGCATCTTGAGCAAGGAAAAGGAGGTCTGGGGGGCTCGACAAGACCATCCCCAGCACCCTAAACTCACCCGCACCCTGATCACGACATTTGGCCCATGATGAATTCTATACAACATAAAGCCTTAGTCACCTCTGATCTACCCACACAGGCTGAAGCTTTTGATCCACCTAACTTTGCATACGGAGTTCCTTAGAATTTAAATTCCCTGGAGGTAGGAAGTGTTCTTCCAGATTCCAGCCCTCTCTGTGCTACACCCCATGCTGAACGAAAGAGCTCATGCATCTGGCGTCTAGATCCGGGGTCCCAGCCGTTGCCACAGCCCAGAGCCCGAGGAGGGCTGCAGACCCTCTCCCACCTACGTTCCCCTGGTGTTCATGCTAGGACCTCCCGGGAGTTCGAAGACCCCAGTTTAGGGGCCTTCAGTAGATGGTTCCACTTTCGACCAGTGCCCCACACCCCACGTGTATTCCACAAACACACGCGCCCACCAGGGACAACAAACGTCTCTTTGTCCTAAGCCATTCGGAAATGCATGGCCACGGCTAGAGTTAAGAAGGGGGCGGGGGGTGGGCCCGTGGGGGTAAGGTGCCCAGGAGATGGAGGACCACAGAGGGGACTGAGAGACCAATGACGCTGGGAAGGGAGGATGTCAGGGGCACTCCGGGGTCTTCCCGTGGGCAAGTGCTGTCCCTGTCTCCTGGCGGAGCAGCAGGAGCTCCAGGGAGGAGTTCAGCACCTGGCGAGGCAGGAGTGTTCCCCTGTGGCCTCTGAAACTGCTCCTTCCGGAAGCGGAGTCCCTCCACAGGGGCCCCCTCCCACCTCCAGACCAGCCTCTGGACTAAACCCCTAAGCGTCCCAGAGCCCAGGGCAGGGGCTGTTGCTCCAGTGCCACCAGGAAATATTATTCAGCCGGGATATTTTTAGCAGGAAGCGAGCGGGGAGCAAATGTCGTGTGAGCTGTCTTCTCACACACGGCAACTTCGGGCTATTTAAAGAGATGGTAATTATGCTCCTGCCACCTCGATCAGGGATCGGGGTGATCGGGATGCTGAGTGTGTGATTGCAGGAGCCCCTCATCTGCCGTGCCGAGCACTCCATGCTAATGGGGCCCAATTTTCAAAGCCACCTGCCTAAATCTGTCCGGTCTCACAGGTGGACATTTGAATCAGCACCACAGAGGTGGCAAACTGCTCTTTGGGGCTTTGTATCTGCTCCCAACACCAGTCCGAGGGTGCTGCGCTTAGACACCCCCCGGGGCACCCCCAGTAGGGCTGCTGCCCACCCCGATCTGCCTCCAGAAGTGTTGCTTCTGACAGTGGCTGTGGTGGTGGCATTGATGGAGACATCCAATCCCATGAGGCTGGCATCTTCCGGAGAAGCCACCGGCTCCCACTGAAGGGACAGTCACCTTGGGCTCTGGAGAAACAGGACAAAGTCACAGTCTGGCTAAGGAGAGGTAGTCACTAGGGGCTCCAGGAGAAGACACACTTGAGGGACACTCAGGAAGGGGACAAGGCCAAGGGGAGGATGGCAGAACAAGGAGGCGGGGGCAGTAGGCCACTCAGGGAGGATGGCAAACAGAACACTGGGGCTCCTTACCCGTTAAGGAGCAGACCCCTTGCAGGGGGGCTTTGGCACATAGTAGGTGCCCTATGTGTGACCGAAAGAATGAATGCACAGTCATCCCTACTGGCCGTGCCACCCAGACCAGGCACAACTGGAGTCCTTGTTTCCACTTGTTCCACCTTAGTGGGACATCGGCAATTGGGGCCTTGAATAAAGGGGGGGGTGTCTAGACGGTGGGAGTGGGGCAGGAAGAGGTCTCCAGACCCTATTCTAGGAGGACTGGAAGGAGGAGTTTCAGAGAAGACCTGGGGAGGGCAATGCTGACTTCACACAGTCAGAGGGATGTGGAATGGAACAAGGACCACCTCTCTCCAGGAGGCTGCAGAGAACACACCAGGAGCAGCAGGAGCAGTGTTTGGGGAAAGAGCTGTTCCAGGCCTTGCAAAGGAATGAGGCCCCCGTCACTGGAAGGGCCTCAGAAGCCCCCTGCCCAGTTTCCCACCCAGAGCAGAAGCCCCTGGGTTTCCTCTTAGATGGAGCCTCTGGCTGGAGGGCACGAGAAGATGCTTCCAGCCCCAGCTGCCAAGACAAGGGCCCAAGAGCCCTGGTGCTGTCCACCAATACTCCCCAAAGGGTCATAAAAGTCCTGCCTCTGAGTGTTCCCAAACACCTGCTGGCAGAATTTTCCGGAAAGTTGCTCCTGCCCCACCTGTCCACCGGTGCTTCCCAGGGCAGGGACCGGAGACCTGCCGAACAAAGAGGAAACAACCTCTCCCCCAAGTGCAAGCGGTAAGCAAAGGTGAGTGAGTAAACATTTCTGCCAGAGCATAGGAGCGCCGGCAATTACCCCAGCAGGAGGCCGGCTAGAGAGCCGAGCTGCAGGGTTGTTTGCTCATTAAGACAAGAAAATCATTTATGTTCTGGGACTTGAGTGTCAACAGACTCAGGGAAATGTCGTTGCCTCAGCTGCTGCCCTCGCCGACCAAGGGGGCAGCTGGGGTCCTAGGCACAGCTGGCGAGGGGACGGAAGCGATCAGCGCACCTTGGGGAGCGAAGAGGAAGGAATGCGGAGGATGCTTGCTGTTTGGTGAGGAGACCGAGAGAATTCAGCATTTCCCCTTGTCTCCACCAAAGCTGTCCCACTGTTCCCACACCCTTCCCGTCAGTCCGCTGCACCCTGGTGGAAGGCAGGGAAGCCCCTGGAGGCTGGGCTTTGAGTAGGAGGGAAACAATTCTGCTTAAAGAAGGAAAGGAAGACGCTATCAAGTGCGCAGCAAAAACGCTGTGCCCTTTAAGGCCCCACGCGGAGGCTATATTTAGGGCCGAGGACATTCGGCAGGACCTCGGGCAGCCTTCACTGGGAGCAATCGCTAATCACTGCGTTGAGTTTATGGGTGCCCCTGGGCACACTTAACCCAGGGCAATGAATAGTTATTGCACGGCTCCCGCTCGGGGCCTGTGGGCACACTTAAGCGAGCACGCGGATCACTGCGAGTGGGCACAGCTCGGGTACACCCTTGGGCACCCTGCACCTTCAGCGAGGAGAGGCGGACTATTAAATATCTATGTGCCCTGTGCCCACGGCCGCATTTAGCCAAGGGCAAGGCCAGTGAAACGGCTTTAATTAAAACTTAATGCAAGTTCAAGGTGCAGATATGGAAGCAGCGGCTGCAGAAGTTACTAGGAATGAATCAGCCGATTCGATGAGGTTCTCAGGTCGGGGAAGAGGGTGGCGGGGAGGGGAGCTGGGGCAGTGGAGACCTATCTTCCATCGCACGCATGCTGCCCCCTGGGTCTGTGCTCAGGGACGTGGGACACTGCAGGCTCCCATGCCTCCCTTGGGGAAGGATGCTGGGCTTCCAGGCTTCGAGGCAGGTCGCTGAAGACAAAGCAGGCGCCTGGGCTGGAGCGGATCCTGCCTTTCTCAGCAACTCGGCCAAGTGTCGTGTGACACTGTCGCGCAACACTGGCCCCCTGGCGGCAGTTCCCAGAATTACAGGCCCAGGACCCAGGGAGAGGTGACCAGCCACTGAATGTCGAAGAACCTGGTGGCAAGCTTGGGGATCTGGCCAGTAGGGCCATGCAGTTCTTAGAAGGACCAACACCAGGCGTGGCGGTGGTCACTTGTGCCACTAAAAAGGCAAATAGGTAGAGAAAGCTCTGCCCACTAAGTCCCTGCTCCTTGAGGTTTGGAAGCAAAGGGATAGCAGAGGGTCCCCCATCTGACAGAGATGGCAGCGAGTGTGACTCAAGGTTAGAGGAGCTGAACTCTCCGAGCCATGTCCTGGAGACTCTGCCTGCAACCTCACACCTGTTTTCAAATTCAGGCCAGGCGAGGAGAACACAGCTGTAGCCTCTTCCTGGGGCGGGAGTTCCCCTGTTCCCTTAGCGTTGGCACCTGGCATACAGTAGGTACTTAATAAATGCTTGTCGAATGAGTAGTGATGGTCGCAGACAGGCCCCTTGCTCCCGAACTCCTTTCCTCTTCTGTGCCTTCACCCTCCCTCCTCTTCCTCGCCTTGGTCCATCTTCCTGGTACAAGCAGGGGCTGCCCCGCCCAAATTCAGCAAGTCCTTGGAGCCGCACAGTGTTTACAATATTAAAGCCAACTTTTTAAAATTAGGAGATCTTACAGACAATTACGGATGTCTAGTTTCTCTTGAAAGGTTGGGAACTCTGGCCAGAGGGGGCTGCGGCAGAGTGGAGACGGCCCCTCTGCAGGGGTCAGGGTCAAGGGCTGGATCCTCAGCCCCATGCTCTCCCTGGTTCACAGCCGGGCTCTGCCACTTATTGCTGAGGGACCTTGGGCCTGTCGCCTAATCTCTCTCCGCTTAGTTCTCTCATCCGTGGAGTGGGGATTGTATTAGCACCCACTGCATTTTGATATTTGATATCAAATACCGAAGCGATTACAATAGTGCGCAGTAGGGAGCAAGTGGCATAAAGACATGTGTTAAATGAATGAAGATGTGAATAAAATTCTTGGTTGCCTCCTTCGTATGGCTCACTCATTCCTGCTGTGGGTCTGGCCCCTGTGCTCCACTGAGTTTGTAACCTCCCCCATCCCCCCACCCACCACCCCCACCCAAGTCTTGTTTAGCTCCCAGAGGCTCCCCCAGGGCTAGAGAGAAATCAGACTTCAAGGAGCCCATGGGGCTGTGAAGGAGCTCACCACTGGATTTGGGGAGAAGCCCCTGTCTCCCATAAAATGCAGATACTACACCTCATTGTATCCGAGGTCTTTTTACGGCCAAAAGTTTAGAATTTCTTTCCATGACCCAGGGCGAATGAAAACCGTTTTCAACCTGGAGAGAAAGGACACGGTAGTTTTGCAACCTTGGTGTCAGTGACCTGGGCCAGCCACCGTGGGAAGTTGAGAGTAGCAGTTCAGGGACCATCAGCTCTCCAATCCCCGCCAATCCCACCTCCTCCCAACTCGCTCACATAAAGGCCCAATGGAACCAGACACCCAGCCAGTGCCGCCAACTGTCTGGACGAGGACGATGCCACTCTATACCCCCAGCCGCCACCGCTCTGCACAGCCACGCCTTGAGGCTCAGCAGCCTTCTGGAGAGAAGCCTGACCTGGGGTGTCCCCCCGTCCCACCCCAGGCCCCTGAGTCCGGTACCTGCATGAACCTGGGTCAGCAGCGAATGCTCTCTCGGCCCAGCCTGGACGTTAACACTGGACATTTGGTTATGCAGCAGTCACTCTGCTTCAACCTCTTCACCCCGCTTTGAAATATTCTGATTTCTAACCTATAATTTGCTTTCTGGAAGCAGGGCAAAATTCACATGTGCAATGGAAGAGGAAAACACAGTTAATAAGCCGCAATTAGAGGTCAGTGAGTGTTCACAGCAAATATGGTGAACATCACTGCCAGGAAGCTGGCAGTTCTCTCAGAAGACAGCTGAGCGGTGACACCAAGGCGGCTGGGACTTGGAACCTGGGGACCTGACCCCTCTGGGATCCGGCAGTTCAACCCCATCAGGGAAGTCCTTCCAGCTGGGGGTCGTTTGTGGATTTCAGGAAGGCCAGCCCTGGTCAGACAGAACAAAAGTTTGTGCCTGAACAACCCTCAGCAGGTGACGAGCATGCTAACACCTTGTCTCCTTTGGCCCTCACGGTGTCTCATGAGGAAGGCTTTCTTATCCCCATTTTACAGATAAGACAGTTGAGGACCAGAGTAGGTAGATGATGAAGCCAAAGCGTGGATGGGGCCAGGGATGCGATGTCACAGAGGAGGGCAACCGCTGCAAGGAAGAGAAAGAGAAGGGATAGGACAGCCCTGAAATTTCTCCCCCCACCATGGAACGGAACCCCCCTCAAGGGGAACCCTGGGTTTGGTCGGGAAAGGGAGCCAAGGAATGAAGGAAAGAGGAAATGCAGATGAGGAGAAAAAGCAGAGAAAGGGGAAATACCAGGTGTCCACCGGGCAGGCTGCACCCTCTCAGGAGCCAGGCAGGGAAATTCAAGCAACAAGAATGTCCAGGGAATGACAACCCTCTGACCCCCCGACCCAGGCCACCAGCTGCTGACTGAACTGGGGCAGCTCCCTGTCCTCCTGGCCCCCAAAGAAGCATCAGCTCCCACTCTGATGGGTATAAGCCCACCCCTCGAACCCTGGCTCTGAGCCTTCCCCAGCTGCATAGGGCCTGAAGCTCATGCAATTTGGTGGAAGAGCCTCTTAAACAAACACACACACACACACACACACACACTACCTCACTTTTGCTAATTTTACAGTCCTGTGGTCTTGTGACCCCATAAAGGGCCAGAATGCCAGTGAGGGGCCCTGAAGCTCATGCTCCATCAGCTCCAAAGTCAGTTCGCCTCTGTGAATCTGGCAGCACCATTTGGTCACTTCCTGAAGCACCTACTGTGTGCCAGGTCCTAAAGCAAACATTGTGCACGTGCCCCTCTCAACACAGACACTCCCAGACCTAGCAGGAGATGGCTGTGTGTGCAGACACCTTATGCATCAGGGTGGCAGGTGCAACAATAGGGGCAGGTTCAGTGCACAGAGGAGGAAGGCCAACGCTCAGGAAGACTGCCTGGAGGAGGAGGCAGCATCCAAGCTGGGCTAACTAACATGCCTGGTGGTCTTTTGAGATCTATGCCCTGCAACTCTGAAAGAGCGGATCCTGGGTCTAACCCTTCCCTTTGTCTCTCTCAGCTCCGTTTCTGCAGAGGGATAAGGGTGCAGTGCTTCCTTTCTTGACCCCTGTGCTTAGGCTTAGCTCCTTCTGTCTCTTAGAATGGAAACCTCCTAAGAGGCATTGTAAGTGTCCCTATAGGAACTATTTCCCAAACCCACCTCTTTCTGCACAAAGTGGGCCAAGTGTCAGGCTTGGAAAATGAAGTGATCACCAGGATCAGAATACAGAAGCAGTCACATTTGGGGGAGAGAAGGAGAAGGAGAAGAAGAAGAAGAAAGAAGAAGAATCATCATCATCTGAGAGGTCAGGGGCCCTCAGGGGCCCCGTAAAGAGTAAGGACAGAAATGTGAGTTGAACCTGCTGAGGCCGCTTCGCTGTGAGGTCAGAAGCCTCAGACCCTCACACATAACTGAGGCTGCTGTGCCTAGAAGCGTCTTCCATGGAGAAGGTAAAAACAGCAGTAATGGGAAGAGACCTGGAAAGGTCTACTACACCTGCAGGTAATTCCTTTAGTTCCACCTTCAGGATAGACCTGGAGTCCCACCCCTTCTCCCCTCTTGGGTCCCTGGCTGGGTTTTTGCAGCTGCCTCGTCTCATCTGCTGGCTTCTTCCCTCACACCACACAGCAGCCGGGGGAATCCTTTTCAAAAATAGGTCAGATCACATTCCTCCTTTGCCTGAACCTCTCCATTCTTCACTCCTGGAGAAGCCAAAATCCTGCAAGCCCCACTGATTTAGCCCCTCCCTCCCCTCCCCTCCCCTCCCTGCCTTAGCCCCTCCCCTTCCATCCCCTCACTGACCTCCCTCTACTCCAGCCACACTGTTTTTTCCCAAGCCTGCCAGGCACACTCCTGCCTCAGGGCCTTTGCACGGACTGTACCCCCTGCCTGGAGCTCCCTTACTTTAGATGCCTGCCTGGCTCACTCTCCTAACTCTTTCAAGGCTTTATGCAAATGTTGTCTTCTCAATGAGACCCATTCTCTTATCACCTTCGTCTGATCCCCTGACTGCTGTGCCACTTATTACTTTCTAACCTGCTTTCTAATTTACTTATTTATTTTATTCGTGCAGTCTTTCCCCACCCACGTCAGCCCCCCCAGGGGGGCTAGGAGTCTCTGTTTGGTTCATCACTGCCTCCCTAGTGCCCCGAGCAGCCTCCAGTGTCGGGCGCAAAACAAACTTGATTCGCATTGGCCAAATGAGCAAAACAGAAGGAGGGACACCTCTGGGTAGAGAGATTACGGGTCATTTTTATGATCTTCTTGGGACTTTCTCTAGTTTCCATAGTTATCTTGTGTTGCTTTTAATTTCATTTAAAAATTGTCTAAATTACAGTTTACAGTTACTATTATCTGGTATTTGTTGCATTGCTTTTGTCACGATTTTATAGAAGTGATTTTTAACAAACCATAGAAATGATCCCTGAAAGTACAGTCTTTCTAGAAGTGATTTTTAAAGCTCACAGTTTCGCTGGCAAAATCCTTGACGCGACTGCATATTTGATGGGAGAGGAAAGTGCCTCTTTTCAGGACGCCCCTCTGGAAGACTTTTCGTGGGGGGTGGGGGGTCCCTGGCCACACGCTTTCCTTCTAAAAATGCGTCGCTTCCACCTCTATCTTTAGCAAGAGATCAAGGCCCAGCCTGTGGCCCAGGGACGCTCTGAAAGGCGGGCAGCCGCCGGGGAAATAAAGCGTCTCAGCCTGCGGTGCACATTGACCTGGATCGTTTCAGCTTTGCGTTCACGTTTGCACTTTGTAAATATTTGCCCGGCGTCCCGCTGCTCACACCTGCTTGCTGCCCCCTCAAGTTTATGGAAGGCAGCGGGCACCGCCGTTTTCCGTCCCCACCTGGTGCTACGGCGCTGCCGCGCTGCCGCCTGAAATAAAAACGCGCGGGAAAGCCACAGGTGTCGCTGACAGCGCCTAAAACTAATGGCCTGTGGCTGGCCGCTGTGACTAATTCTCTGATTATTGACTTTATGATTTTACGCTTAAAACTTCTTTATAATAACACACAGAAATGTTTAATGGGCTCTATCCAGAGCCATAAAAATTACTTATTGAACAAGCGTTTTAAAACTATTAATCTATTGTTTTCCATTAATAACGGCTCTCCAAAGAACCAGCGACAGCTTAATGTATCCGCCGAGTTTCTCTTCAAAAAGCCGCCTTTTAATACATAAATGCTGCTCCCAGAACATCACCTGCTGGCTGGCCATCCGGCAGCTGACCCTCCCAGGATGGATTCAGGCCCCGCCAGCCCCTGAAGGTGCTTTGGGGGCTTCCAGAGTGAGCAGCAACTCCGGGAGGTTTTCCCAGTCTCGAAGAGAGACCATAAAGACCCCCTCCTCAATTTCTCTATTTTTGTGCAAAAGAGAAGAGGAATCACAAGGACCCGTTCTGCTCCCCTGGATGGAAAACAGAGAGAAGCAGGCAATTTGCACATCTCTCTACTCTTGTTCCTTCTGGAAGTTTCTGGGTAACCACCTGGTGGTACCCTGCCCCTTCCCATTTTTTCTTTTGGCAAGCCCATGGCTGAAGGGTCCCTGTGATACTATTCTGATACTATTTCTGTGTGTGTGTGTTTTGCTATTTTAGGTGTGCAATTCCCCCACCAAGCGTGAGATGGCCCCCACTTCGCTTGTGTAAAAATCATCCCTTTCACCCCCACAGCCATGTTTTTCCAGGTAGTTTGGGTTTCGGAGCATATCGGCCCCAGAAAGTCACTTCTTCTAGGGTTTCGAGCTGTTTGTTCATTCAGCAAATACTTGCTGAGTGTCTACTATGTGCCAGGCAGTGTTCTTGGTTCTGGAGAGAGAGCAGTAAGCCAGAAACGGCCAGGCCTCACCTCCACAGACCTACTGTCTGCAGGGAGCACAGACGACAAGCAGGTGAACAGTCGTAGAAGATCATTTCAAGGAGCGATGAAGGCCGAGAAGCGAATGGAACAAGATATGACAGGGTGGCGTGGGACCACCTGAGACAGAGTCAGGAAGTCTTCTTGGAGAGGGAGCCTTTGAGCAAAGATCTGAATGACAGGAAGGAACCAGCGGTGAGAAAGGGGGGAGGAGCTTTCCAGGCAGGGGAAAGGCAGTGCAAAGGCCCTGGGGCGAGGTACACATACGGGCATCTCTCCTCAGGTGGGGGCCCTGCCCAGCCAACCACTGTCCCTTGCCTGGCAATCCCAGGATTCTGCCTCAAATCCTCTGCGTGGCTCCTGGGGACCCACAGGGCCATGTGGTCTGAGAAGCAGTTGTCCAACAAGGTACTCCCGAGAAGGAACGAAGGACTTCTGCTCCCAGCCCTGTTCCAGTGGAATGGTAAAGAGGTGCGCGCAGGAGTCCTGGTGTCACAACTGAGAGGAACCCTCTCCTCCATGCAGAGGACACAGTTCGCAGAATGTCAGAGGGCAGATGTGTTACCATGTGGCTTCTCAAACTTCGTGGGCCTACAGGTCGCCTGGGCGCCTTTTAAAGGACAGATTCTGATGCAGTAGGTCCAAGATTCAGCAACTCAAACCAGTCCCTGGGTGGTGCCGGGCTGCTGGTTCACGGACCACGTTTCGAGCAGCCAGGTGCTAAATGTGTTTAAATCCGGCTGCTGTGTTTTACAGGGGAGACAGGGAGTGAAGCGACTTACTGGTAAGAGTGAGTCCAAGCACCTGGGTTGAATCCCACTCCTGGGTTTGAATCCAGTGTGTGTGTGTGGGGGAGGGGTACCTGTTGCTTAGTGTCTGTTTCTTTCTGTGTGTGATTTATCATGGCAGTGATAATGATAATGATGGTGCTGGTGCTGGTGGTGGTGATTGTGGTGATGGTGGTGTTGATGGGGTGGTAGGATGATGAGGAGGATGGTGGTGGTGGTGGTGGTGATTGTGGTGATGATGGTGGTGATTGTGGTGGTGATTGTGGTGGTGATGGTGGTGATGGTGGTGTGATGATGAGGATGGTGGTGGTGATGGTGGTGATGGTAATTGTGGTGATGGTGGTAGGAAGATGAGGCTGGTGGTGGCGGTGGCGATGATGGTTTTGGCGATGGTAAAGACCCCACTGGGTGGATGTGAGACGTGAGTGAGCTGACGTGCACCCGCTCTGTACAGTACGGTGTGCTCTTACCCGAGACTGTGCCTAGAGATGACAGTTCTTATTATGATGATAATTACTGTCACCCAAAAATGAAAGGACTTGTTTATGGTCACAGAGCCCAGGATCAGACACCTAAACACCCCCACCATTCAATTTCAGCTCTTCACAATGTCACACTAATTAGAGTGTCAGAGAAATCGAATAAATGTTGGAATGTACATGACCCTGAATCAATACTGAATTCAAGGCCATGTTCTTCTGCTGGTAAAAGAGGGACACCTGACCCCCGGCAGGCCTCAGGGTCACCCTTGTGGACTCAGTGTCCATTGTCTAAGAGAGTCAGTGGAGGAAATGAGGACTCTGGCCTGAATCTGCAGAGCAGAGATGCACGACAGTGAAAGGCAGTTTGAACAACGCGAATCGGCCCTGGGTAGAAACTTGTTTACAAGTCCCTCCATACAAGCGGAGCAGAGGCAGGCCATACACCCTCAGAGCTTGGTGGCTCAGCTGAAGACTCCAGGCAGAGAGCACCACCTGAGCACAGGCCAGAGGTGACAAGCAGCCTGCGGTGTCCCATGACACCTACCTCACCCCCGCGGACCCTACCCCTAATCCAGTCTCCAGGCAGCAGCCAGGAAGGATCCTAAAAAGTAAACAGGCCCTAGCTGGGTGGCTCACTTGGTTGGAGCGTTCCCCCTCCTCCCCACTCACCAAAAGGTCGCGGATTCAATTCCGGGTCAGAGCACATACCCAGGTCGCAGGTTTGATCCCCAGTCGGGGCGTATACAGTAGGCAACAGATCAATGTTTCTCCCTCACATCGATGTTTCTCTCTCTCCCCACCCCGCCTCCCTTCCTCTCTCTCTCTGAGCATATCCTTGGGTGAGGATAAAAAATGTAAGCAAGATCATGTCAGTCCCAGCTCAGAACCATCAATGGCTCCCTGCTGCCCTTGGAATAAAATCCAAACACTTCCACAGCCCCTGTAGCCCCGCCCACCTCCCTGTGCTCTTCCAGCATCTCACCGCGGCCGAGCTGATCTCTTCTGCCCCTCTGTTCCCTCCGCCTGAAACACTGTTCCCCATTCTTCACATGGTGGGCTCCTCTTCATCCTGTAGGTCTCAAGATTCAGAGTCACCCGCTCCGGGAGTCCCTCCCTGACCGCTCCCACCTATTCTCTCCCCTGGCTCTGTGTTTGTCTCCTTCCGGGCTCACATCACAGCTGGAAATTATGCTTGCTAGTGGTTCACGAGACGCCTGCACACTTCTCCCACCCGAGTGAAGACAGGCACCGTCAGCTTGTGCCCTACGTAAGGGAAAAGAGCTAGGGAAGGGCAGGGGCTCTGTCTGTCTCGTTCACACTCGACTCTCGAGGCCCTTCCATTGACCTGCGCCTGGCACACAGTAGCTGCTCAGTAAATATTTTTCCCAGTAAGTAGCTGTGGCTGGATCCCAGCACGCCCAGGAGAGGGGCGTGATGGAGGTGGTAAGGATCTGCTGACTGGCCTATTTCATTTCTAACACACAAGTAATGAGCTCCAGAGAAGGTACACAGTGTCTAACGTATCCACACAGCACCCAGCACCTTGCCCAGGGCCTGATACCCACAGACGCCTGATAATTGTGTATCGAGTACGTCATTATTTCAAGTACCCTGGAGTTTCCTGGAGTCACGCGGGAACAAGAAGCGGCCACTGCCGTAGAACCTTATTGGCTAGGACATAGTTCCCCAAACAGAGCTCTGCCCGGGCCCTCTAAGGGCACAGAGCTCACCGAGATCTTCCATTAAACACACTCTGGACGTGACGTACCGGAAAATGGAGAAATAGAGGGAGGGGGAAGCTCACCTCCTGGGTTAGCGTCTCTCTCATCAGAGGCATTAAAACTGCCAGGAAGAGCACAGAGGACGGGGCCCTGGACTGGGACTGTCGGGCTCTGGGTGTCACTCTGCAACCAGACAGGTCATTCAACCACCTCCAGATGCCCTTTTGTCTTCCGAAAAAAAAAATGGGCACATGCGCATTAAAGGGTTAACCTCACCTGTAAAAAGGTTTGGGCCTTTGCCCCCAGCTCCTGGAAGGTAAATTCTAAGCCCTTGGAATATGTCCCGTGGTCCGTGTCTCTGTTTGCCTGCGGGCCTTGGCCACACTGGGCAGTCCGCGCTGACAATGTGATTTGCAGCCTTGTACTGCGTGGTATCACCTCCGTCCCTGAGGGGCTGGGACTAAAGGTCGACTGTGCAGACGGTCGACCGCGCCTCTGTGACGGGCCCCTGGCAGAAAGCCCGGGCACCGAGGCTCCCGTGAGTTTCCCTGATGGGCAACTTCCCTCTGGCACCGCATAGCAACGTTTGGGTCAACAAAACGGACACACACACTCGGGTCATCCCATCAGATTACAATGGAACTGAGAAATTCCTGTCGCCGAGTGACGTCAAAGCCATGGTAACATCCTGGTGCAGCACACCCCCCCCCCCCCCGTGTTCGCAGCGGTGTGAAAAAAGGGTCCGTATGGTTGCATATGGCACATAATGCTCAATAACAAAAATAAATGGCTTTGTTACTGGTTTGTGTATTTCCTATTCTATACTATTTTAGTATTTTTAGAGGTAGACTCTTTCTACTTATTATTAAAGTGTGCTGTGAAATCGTATGTTGGGTTACAGCAGCAGCCTCCTATGTCTCGTGTTTACCGCGTCTCTCGATTGCATCATTCTCTCTTGTGATTGATTTAATCTCGTGCCGTTTTGTTCAGGAACACACCATGCGGGCTCGTCGCCTGGGAGCGGCAGGCTGCACCGCGCAGCCTAGGTGTGCAGTGGCCTGTACCGTCCAGGTTTGTGTAAGCACGCTCTGTGATGTTCACCCAGCAATGAAATCGCCTAACAATGCAATTTCTCAGAACCTACCCGTTGTTGAGCGGGGCGTGACTGTATGTTGTCACCCGTTGCTGCTGGGAGGAGTCCGCAGCGTTGGCACGACCCCGCTGGGAAAGGACAGCCGGAAGCTTGTTCCTGGGCATCCCCTGGATTCTGCCCTGTGCCCCTCCCTCTGCCCTTGGCTGATTTCAATCAGCGTCTTCTCACCGTCGTGAACTGTAAACAGGAGGGGAATGGCTTTTCCGAGTTGTGTGTATCCTTCTAGTGAATTATGGGGACCTGAGGGTGGTCTTGGAAACCCTTGAACTTGAAGGTGGTGCCCAACGCGAGGGTGCTCTTGGAAACTCCTGCACCATGCTGCACGATGCAGGCACTGTCCTTGTTGGGTATCGGGAAGAAGAAACGAGATGATCCTGGCAAAACCCTGGGCAGGGGCCTGGCCCGGAGTAAATGTTCAGAGAGCACATGCTGTTCCTCTAGAGGCTCGGTGCAGAGACTCTCGAGCACGCCTGCCCGGCCCTGAATCCTGGCTCTACCACTCGCTGCTGTGGAAGCTGAGGTGAGTTGCTCCCTCCCCTGGGCCCTGCTTCCCTCACCCAAAGTCGTGCTGTCGTAGGATAAGTTCGCGGACACGGATCCCTAGAAGCAGGCCCGGTGCACAATGCACCCTCCGCACGCTCTTTTACTATGGAAACAGTGCTGACCTCGGAGTCTGAGGGTCCTGGGCCCGACCCTAGTCCGGGCACCAGCGCCTGGCCTCCCAGAGTCCCATTCCCTGGTTGGGAGGATGAGAGAAATATCCAGGCTCCCACAGAAAGCCCTCTCACTTCTGAATTTAGCCGATATCACTAGGTTGCGTATCAGTCAGCTCAGGCCAAAGCCTGGCCCTCGCCGTGAAAACCCGATTCACTCACCTGTCAGAGACGTCCAGTGCAGGGCCGGGCCCGGCCTCGTCGGACCAGCCGGCGAGGATCCAGGGGAGCGGCAGGGTCGAACCCAGACAAGACAGCCGGCCTTGCGGGAGCAGAGGGACAGAGAAGAGGGTGCTATCTAACACCCCACCCTCGGCTGCTTCTGACCCACCTCCCTTGACTCAGTCCACAATTACGTTCTGGAGTGTCTACTCCACACAGCGACCAAGATAGGAGGGAAAGACTCAGCAAAATCAAGCAAAGAAATAAACGAACAAAGTAATCTCAGATGCTGATCCAGCTCTGAGAGAAGTAAAACACAGCACCCTCACCGGTGTGGCTCAGGGGGGTAGGTGTCTTCCCACACAACGAAACGTCGCTGGTTCGATTCCCAGCCAGGGCACATGCCTGAGTTTGGTCCCCAGTCGGGGTGCTTAATGAGAGTCCAGGGATCAATGTTTCTCTCCCTTGCCCTCTCCCTTCCTTCCCCTCCAAAAAGTTTGGGTCGGGGAAGGTCAGTGTTAAGAAATGATTTTTTTTAAGAGTAATGTCATGACTCTCATACAGATAAAAAAAAAAAACACCTGTATTAATGAGTTTATTTAAGTCATTATTAATAGGGAACCAGGCAAACGCCAGAGCCAGTTTAAAGAAAAAAATCAAAGAGCAGACACAGCCACACAGAAGGAGTGTTCAATGGATTTGCAAATGGCTGGGAAGGGGCTGTTTTCCCAGAAGGGGCTGAAGTCAGCTGAGCTCCCCTCCAGCCCCACCCCCCGCCCCCACTCAATTTGCACATCCAAAGTCGGGACTCTTTGCATTGCGGTGTGTTCTCTACAGCTTAGAGCACTGCACAACAGCTCGGAGGCCGCCAGGGCCTGGGATCGGAGAGCAGGAAGGGTGTCTGCTGAACAATGAGTTCTCCACGGGAGACAATGAAGTCATCATTTTCTGTTTATTCCCAGTTTCTTTACGTCAGGGAGGACATCGCTGAGAGTCGACCTCTGAGTCAAGATGGTATTTCGGGGAGTCCCACGCAAAGATCTGGAGAGAGGCATTCCGGCAGAGGGAGCTATGGATGCAATGGTCCCGAAGTAAGAATGAGTTTGGCGTGTTGAAGGAACTGCAAGAATGTGGGTGGGGCTGCAGCCAGTGACCAAGGGGCAGGTGGTGGGCACGAGGTGAGAGGGGCCAGCAGGGACCAGAGCAAAAAAAGGGCAGACTGAGATTTCATCCTCAGAGGGAAGGGGAGCTCTGGAAAACTCTGAGACAGGATCCCACCTACCTTTTAAACGCATCTTCCTGCAGCTGTTTAAGAATGATTGTAGACAAGAGCCTAGACTTCTCGAAAAGAAATTTTCCTTAGGGGACTTCAGGGAACAATCCTGCAGCCAGGATTGCCTATCACAGGGAGACCTGCTGGGATGCGGAACAGTGAGAAAACCCCGCCTCCTGGTGGGGAGGAGTGGTTCAGCCCCTTCAGGAACCTCACAGAAGCTACTGAAAAGGGACACACCTCTTCTCTATGCCCTCCAGGAATTCCACTCCAACAGAAACGTGACCACATGGGCATCAAAAGACATGCCTGAGATTGCTCCCCATGGCACTATTATTTCCTTAAACTGGAAACTGCTCAAATGCCCATCAACAGCAAAATGAATACAGCGGTCCCTCCGTCCAGTGGACTCCTCACTGGGCTGGATAGAAAGGAATGAACAACTGATGTGCAGAACAAGGTGGATGAATCTCAGAAACATGTTGATTGAGTGAAAGAAACCAGACACAGAAAAGGGTGCATGTGTATACTTTTTGGTTACATGTACAGGAAGTTCAGAAGCAGACAAAGCTAGCCTTTGGGTCTGGAGATCCGTGTAGTGGTTGCCTTTAGGGAGGGAGGCCGGGGCAATGAATGGTTGGGAAGAAGGGCTTCCAAGGGGCCGAGGTTGCATTTCTTGTCCTGGGCATCCAAAAGGTGTTTGCCTCGGAATCGGCCCCGCACTGGAGGTGAGGGGACACGGAAGTGCTCTGAAATGTGTCTCCAAAATTACTAGATTTCTTCAACAGAGACTGTGCTGTCCGGGGTACGCTTCCGGGTTATTTTCTTCGGTGTACCTTTCCTCATCTTTGAGCCACTTTACAACTCCAGAAGTTGTTGAACACCTGATAATACTGCAGATGATTTTTTTTTCCAGAAAAATGCACCCTGCGCCCAGCAGAGTTGCAGGTGGTTACCGGCCTGTAGTTGCAGAAGAATCCCGCATCCGTGAAGCGAACTCACCCCAGCATTCCTGACAGCCTCTGTGTCCGCTCTTGATGATGTTTCCAGCAGATTGCTACGACTGTAATGTATCGGCTCCCTCATTAGTTAATGAGTTAAATAAAATCTCTGACATGTGTTCATTTTATATTTGTATGGAAGTCATGATTCTATTCTTTTTTTTTGTAATGCTCCTTATTAAGATCTATATGTTTTTTTGGCCCTGGTTGGGTAGCTAAGTTGGTTAGAGCATCATCCTGATATATCAGGGTTGTGGGTTCGATCTCCAGTCAGGGCACAGGCAAGATCAACCAATGAATACATGGATGAGTAGAACAACAAATCTCTCCCCACCCTCCCATTCCTCTCTAAAATCAATAAACTTTTAAAATGCCCTTTCCTTTAAACAATCTACATGTTTTCCTGTATGTGTTAAACTTCAGTTAAAAACAGTTAAATTTAAAACGGCAGAAAAGGGCGCTGCGGTCCAGCGAAGGCTGCTGACATCAAGCCCTTGAATTTCCGCCTGGGACGTACTGGCACAACTGCCAAGACCCTCAGTCCCACCAGAGTGGGCTGACGGAGGACGACGGGGCACTTTCTGGGCTGGAATCTGAGCCCGACCTGAGCCTGCGGGCAGGAGCAGCAGGAGGCTGCCGGCTGCCTAACTCCATTCACTGAATTCGGAAGCCACAGCAGGAGGCAGCTGATGGCCACTCCTCCAGGGACAGCTGGGATCCTAACTCGCTGCGGGCTTTCCTGGTTCCCAGCAGGGGGATAAATCAGGAAGGAGAAGCAGCGGCAGGCATTTAGCACCGTCCCCAGCACGGAATTCCTGCCTCTGCCGTCTTATTCAGGGGAGCCGGGCAAAGGGACCTCGCAAGAGGCCACGGTGCCCAGTGAGTGGTGAGCGACTACCCTCCTTCGGCACCTGCTCCAACACTCTTCCTTGAGCTTCTGAGCCCCATCAAGATTGACAGGCCGTTAGGATTTGAAAGATGTGAGTTTGGGTTTTGTTCCCTCACTTCTGCCACCCAGCTGAGGCCGACCCTTAGCTTGGGAGGAATGACATCCATCTCCGAAGCTGAGCCCCTGCCCCCACCCCACATCCTTGAGAAGCGGAGGGGACCCACGGTTGAAGGGGGCCAGGTGGGTGAAACGCGGGCCTCCTCCTCACCGCCCCCCCAGCTTCTCCTTCAGACTTACAGACCTCACAAAAGCCCCAAGTGACCTGCCAACCCCTGGGGAAGTGGCAACAACCAGCTGTTGTCCATGTTCAAGTCCATCCTCAGAGGCCTCACTTCCCACTCCCAGGAGTTTTTCAAAGCTTTTCTTTCTTTCTTTCTTTTTCTCTCTTTCTAAAGATTTTTTTTATTTATTTATTTATTTATTTATTTATTTTTAGAGAGAGGAGAAGGGAGGGGGGAAGAGAGGGAGAGAAACATGGATGTGTGAAGTGTGAGAGACATTGACGGCACCCAACTGGGGACCCAGCCCACGCCCCAGGCATGTGCCCTGACTGGGAACTGAACCAGTGGCCTTGAAGTTCGCAGGCACTGAGCCACACCAGCCAAGACTTCAAAGTGTCCATTTCTTAAAAGTGGGCCACCGCTGGAGAAGGAGGCAGCAATCCCGATGCTAAGGAAAATGAGCTTTCTCTCCTGTCCTCACAATTCAACAGCCTGTGGCCAGTACCCCCGTCACTGGAAAACTTGACATCAAGCCTCTCGCGGTAGCCTTTAGCCCTTACTTGTTTTAAGGACCCTTGTAAGTAAAGCAAGGAGTGTTCCGTTTTCTTCCAACGGTTTGGAAATCCTTCCCAATGTCAGATTCTGGGAGCCTGAGGAAGGTGGGAGCAGCTGCGGCTGGACGTCACCCCAGAAGGCCAGCCCCTCCCGAAGCTGGACTTCAGGGCCTGGACTTCAGGATTCTGAGGGAAAGTACTCGGTTTCTGGTCCAAGGAGTGCGGGGGTGCTCCACCCTCCACCAGCCTCTCTGAATTCCCACGGTAACCAGGTGAGAGCTTTTTGGAGGGCCCGGATAAGGGACACTTACTGGACTATAGCTGGGGACCCCTGCATGCTCAGGCGCCGCAGCTCTCTCCCACCCAGGACGAATGTATCCAGAAGCAGTTCCAAGAGTATAAACGAAAGGTCAGCCCGGGCCGCCCCCCTCACCACCACCTCCCCTCCAGGGCTGGTCCCAAGGGTTGCTCAGGAAGCACAGGTGGGTGAGAGCCTCTCTCAACTCCTCCCTGGCCCCCCTTCTTGGGGGGGATTAACCGCTTTGGTCCGGGATCTCCGAATCAGAACGGCGATCTGAAGGGTGACAATCGACTGATTTTTCTGAAAGTCATGGACTCAAGCTCAGCCCGGAGAAGACTGTGCACAGAAGGGAAAAAAGTTTTCCTAGACCCTCTTAGGGTCTCAGGTCAGTTCTGCAAGCTAAACTGATAAGGATTAGACAAAAGCACGTATCGATTTAGCCTTGTTTCAAAGGGCACGGAGCCTTTGTGAAGAAATGAAGACCCACAGAGGCGGTCAGAGCTGCACGTTTTATGCGGGGCTCTGAGTGCGGAAAGTGTGATCGGACAAGGGCACGGGGTCAGTGTGGGGAACGCGGGTTCGTTCAGATTCCACTTTGGAGATGAGGCTGCTCCTTTCCTCCAGGAACCAGGACGGGACGCCCCTCTCACAGAAACGTCTACGACCTGCTTCAGGGGAAGGTCCAAGAGGCCTCCCCGCTCCTGCCATTATCTCAAACTCCTCCAGCTTAAAATGATCCCTGTGCCAAGGTGCCGTATTCGGGGGTGGAGTGTTCTGAACCCCATCAGCTGTCTCCAGGCTAAATGAAGGAAAGAAGCCGAGAAGCCAACTTTAACTTGAGCAACAGTCACACACTCTCGAGCCAGACCCCCAGGAACCTCCACAGGGTCCCCTTGGCAGAGTCCAGAGGGCACTAAAAGCAGCCGCACTGGCTAGCCGAGGCTTGCAGAGTTTCCAAGTGAACCTGCCAAGGCCAGAGAATCATGAACAGAGGGATTGTGGTGGCTGCTGGGTTGAAAATGGCCTGGAAGAGGGCGATGCAAGAAGCCAGGAGACCAGCTGGGAGCCTGATGCCACCACTGATGCAGAGGCCGGTGTCTCCGGCACACACCTGGGCCCTCCGGCCTCCGCTCTCCTACCTACCTAGATCCTTTGCTCTGCAAGACTCAGCTAAGCGGTTGTTCTCCAAGCTTTCCAGGACTAACACCACCTGCCTCTGCCTTGCCCTTAGATATTTGTGAAGCATCTGATGTTTTGGTGCCACAAAGCAAGGCTGCAAATAAGAGGGGAAAGGAGAACCAGACCAGAAGTTGGGAGACTCGCCCTGGTCCCCACTCTGCTGCTAACCAGCTCAGGCAAATCGCCTACTTCCCTGGGTCTGCCTTTTTACATCCGCTGGTGTGGGCAGGGCTACATCCTCCCCCAACCCGGGTACTGAGGCCCTAACCCGAAATATCTCAGATTGAAACTTTGTTTACAGAGGTAATTAAGTTCAGATGAGGCCACTCGGGTGGGCCCTACCTGGATCTGGCCGGTCCGTGTAAGAGAGAGTTAGGAAGTTAGGACACCTGCAGGCAGAGGGAAGAGCATGAGAAGGCATGGGGAGAAGACAGCGTCTGCAAGCCAAGGAGAGAGGACGCAAGGAAAGCTGCCCTGCCAACACCTTGCTCTTGAACTTCTAGCCTCCAGAACTGCGAGGGAACAAACTGCTGTCATCTGAGCCCCGCAGGGCGTGCTCATTTGTCACGGCAGCCCCAGGAAACTCCCGCCCTGGCAGGCAAGGACGCAGGGCCCCACAGCTCGTAGTGCCCCGTGCAAGTAAAGGCGATACATCGCGATTCTAACTACTCTTTCTAATCTGCATGTGTGCCTTCCCCCTCCCCCAAAGAGTTGCCATCATGAGAGTTCAAGGCCCTTCGAAATCCCCGCAGAGTGCTGGGCACATGGTAGCTCTTTATGTGTGTTTGTTGAATGAATGAAGGACCGCAGGGCAGAGGAGCGGGGGTTCCCTTAGTGCTGGGGAATACAGTGCACGTGCCTTCAACAGACCTTCCTCGAGCGCCCACTCTGTGCCGGGCTGACCGCCGCAAGCAGGAACTCCCTTCCCCCGCTCTCGGGGAGGCGATGTCCTGATGGGGGAGGGTGACAAACCCCATACTCACACTTAAGTAAAGTGTGTAACGCCGCCCAGTCAGCCCCAAGTACTTCCTGAGCAGCTGCTTTGTGCCAGGAGCTGCCTCCGAGTGAAGCAAACCATCCCGTTTCATCGGCAGCCCGAGGCAGCCACTGTTAATTTCTAGGGCCACCACGACAGAGGGGGACACGCTTGGTGACTTAAAGCAGCAGAGTGCGGTACTCACCGTTCTGGAGGCCAGAAGTGCTCACCAAGGTGTCAGCGGGGCCAGGCCGTCTTTGAAGACCCTGGGGAGGACCCTTCCTTCCTTCCTTCCTTCCTTCCTTCCTTCCTTCCTTCCTTCCTTCCTTCCTTCCTTCCTTCCTTCCTTCCTTCCTTCCTTCCTTCCTTCCTTCCTTCCTTCCTTCCCTCCCTCCCTCCCTCCCTTCCTTCCTGTTGCTAGTGGTTGCGGACATTCTGTGGCTCGTAGAGGCGCCACTCCAGACTCTGCCTCCGCCTCCACAGGCCCTTCTTCCTGCGTGTCTCTGGTCCAGATTTCCCTCTTCCGAGGATACCAGCCATGGGGTTAAGTCCCGCCCTGATCCAGTGTAGCCTCATTATACCTTGACTGCATCTCCCAAGGCCCTATTTCCAAATAAGGTCCCACTCAGGGGTCTGAACAAATCCCTTTGAGGGACACAAGTGAACCCATGACAGCCACCATCTTGCCTTGCTCCCCTCAGAGAGAGCAATATTGGGGCAGAAGTGAAAGGTCAGAAATATAGGTCCGACCCTGGCTGGTGTAGCTCAGTGGATTGAGCACAGGCCTGCAAACCAGAGGATTGCGATTCGATTCCCAGTCAGGGCACATGCCTGGGTTGCAGGCCAGTTCCCAGCAGGAAACACATGAGAGGCAATCACATATTGATGTTTCTCTCCCTCTCTCCATCCCTTCCCCTCTAAAGATAAATAAATAAAAAATATTTTTAAAAAAAGAATTCTAAAAAAAAAGAAAGAAATATCGGTCTACTCCTTTCTTGGAATCGAATGAATTCTGTCAACCATTCTTAATTTTTTTTTTAACTGAGCTAAAAGGAAGGAAATGACCGCAGCTACAAGAAAATTTGGGGGTCCTGGGAGGACATGTTTTTGAAAAATCGGATCTCTCCCTTGCTCAGCATTTCATTACAATAACTTTCAAACACACAGAGAAGTCAGAGGTGTAGAACGAACACTCGTGTGCCCACCTCCTACATCCTACTTACGGTGTGGAACTCATGTTCCCTGGGCTTCAGATTAGTTGTCTTTTTAACTCAATGCTCGGTTCATGGACATTTCCTCGAGTCCCTCGCTGCCCCCTGAGGAGACGTGGGGTTGGAACTCAGGCCCGTGCAGCGGGCGAAGCCTGGCCGTCACTACGGTCTGTTCGTGCACAGAGAGGAGGCCCTTGTGACATCCAAATGAAGCAAACAAGAGCGGAACACACAGCTGGTTGAACCTTCACAGGGACTCCTGAGGGTGCTGGAGGGGCCCGGGGGCAGGCCCTCTGCGGAAGTCCTCAGCAGGACTGCGGAGGCCAGGGCACAACTCACCCGACCCAGAGAACCTGCAAGGACCACCCCTGAACTCTTTTTTTAAAAAAAGAGTTTACTTATTTATTTTTAGAGAGGGGAAGAGAGGGAGGCAGGGAGGGAGACAAACATCAATGTGTGGTTGCCTCTCGTGTGCCCCCTACTGGGGACCTGGCCCACAACCCAGGCATGTGCCCTGACTGGGAATTGAACTGGCGACTCTTTGGTTCACAGTCTGGTGCCCAACCCACTGAGCCCCACCAGCCAGGGCCTCCGCCCCTGAAGTCTTGATCAAATCTTTAAAAAGAAGAGGAAACAGGGATTGAAAAGCAGGTTTTCACCCCCTTTTTGATGACTTTAACCCCACTCCTCCTACACACGTAACTACACACTCCTACACACACCCCTATAAAAACCCGTACAAATATGCCCTCGCACCTACCCTCCCACACCGCACAGACCCTTACACGCACACACAGTAGGGACTCCTGTCTTGGACAGCCTTAGAGAAAGCAGTTTCACTGGGATCTTTCCCTTGAGCTCCAATTTCGTTTCTCCATTTGGGAAAATCGCATTTTCAAAATTGCTTTTACTCAATTGATTGGAAGCCCTGGGAACTGGCCGACTCACGGCCCCTGCGCAGTTTCGCCGTGGCTTTATTTATTAACACCCTCCCTCTCTTGCAAATGAGAAATTGTGAAATCCTTTTTAAGCTAAGGGCTCTTATACCCACTCAGCCGGTTTTTCAAAAGCAGAAACCACCCACCCACTCACAGAGTTCCTTTGATAGTTAGAGGTCAAAGATTAATAAAATACATCAACTCCCGTTGCCGATCTTGCAAGACTCAACTCTCCCAGCTCAGTGTGATCTGCCACCATCATCTGCACTTTCTAGATGAGGAAACCAACTTTCACCAAACCTTTACCGGGCTCGCAGAAAAACTGCCCGACTGGTCAGCCACGACTCACACGGCACCTGGGAACCAGGAAGCGAAAGAGTTAAGCGACAGCAACACGACTTTCTTCTTGGCTGTAGTGGAAGGACTGATTAGTCCATTTTAGGGGGGCTTCCTTCTCCTTGTACAACAAATGCAAACCTTTGACCCCTTCCTTCGAGAGAGGGGCCAGTTTTGCTGTTTGGGCTGGGAAACACCATTTACTGCGGGCTTCTGGAGTCCGACATTGGCTATAAGCAACCTGGCATCCAACCTGGGGGTTCTTACCTAGCGTCCATCCTAAAGGCACAGGTATAGAATTCAGGGCCGCTCTTGAACTTGGATGAGGAGAAACGACATCTTTATTTTCACACACTCCTCACTGAAATTTAACATGTGCTCCTGTTATGAATGCAGGCAACAAGCCACAGGATCATTGTGACTCTGTCCCTAACAGCAACCCCAGATGTATTGCATCACATGATGATTGTTACAGAGCTCTCCTGAGATTTTTTTAATGTCATCACTACTTTTGAATTAAGGTGGTGAATTGACCAGTTGCCATATGGGTCCTAACAAAGCCGGGCTTAAGTTGCCATATCATACCTTGGCTTAACATCTTGGTAAATGAGTTTTGCTGCAACTTCTGTTAGGTAGCTTTTTTAAAAAAAAATATTTTCACTTGTAGCAAAATGCACATAACATACAATTTACCCTCTTCACCATATTAAGTGTACACTTCGGTGGCATTAAGGACACTCACACTGCCGTGCAGCCATCTGTCTCCGGAACTCTTTCCATCTTACAAAACTGAAACTCTGTCCCATTAAACACTAACCCTCGTCTTCTGCCCCCCAGCCCCTGGCAGCCACCACTGTCCTTTCTGTCACCATGGATCTGAATACTGTAGGCGCCTCATTCATATCAGCGGGATCCCAAGGGGACAGTACTTGTCCTCTCGTGACTGGCTCATTTCACGCAGTGTAATGTCCTCAAGGTTCATCCATGTTGTAGCAGGTGTCACTATTTCCTCCTTTTTGGGGGCTGAATAATATTTCATGACATGCATGTGCTGCCTTTTTAGTCATTCGTCAGTGGACACTTCGGACAGTTGGTATAATTAGGTGTTTTTTTGTAATCCCACGTATTGTGTCATATACATTTTAAAATGCCACGTTGAAAAGAGGTCCCCAGGAGTCACCAGCCGCCAGAGGGACCCGTGTGTAACACACAGAAGTGATGAAGCCCTGAGAGACAGATGCTCGGAAACAGGTTCAAGAAGAGACCCTTAGGTTACCAAGCTCAGTCAGACTCCAGCACCGTATGACTCCCACTCACTGTGAAAGGCTCCCACTCCAGTTTCAGTGGCCAGCTGGGGGCCCTGTGAAGGGGATAAAGAGATCTCATGTCCCAGCAACCGAAGCCTGGGCTTTGTGGGAGGAAGGTCCAGCCCCTCCAACGCTCCCGGTTGTCAGGTTTACCCCTTGTGTTTGGTATTCACCTTGCCTCTGTCAGACTCCTCCTGAGGGCCCCAGGACAACTGTGAGACCCACAGGGACCCCTGGGCCCCTTCTCCTGTGTCTGAATGCCCCGACCTGGGACCATGAGGAGAGTGTGCACCTCACTAGAAACCCTCATTGCCACCTGCCAGGTGGGGGAGACCAGTGGTGCCCGAGCCCTGTATGAACTCACGTTGACAGTCACACGCTTTACTTCTGCTGTAAACTTTTGGGTCCTGTGGTCGTGCTAGTCTAGCAGAATTCCCCTCAGAATAAGCTAAGAACTAAAATTATGCACGCTGGTCGGGTGGGACACCCTCCGGAAAATGCTCCATTCTCTGCCATGGCTGCATCATGATTCCTTTTCCCTTTCTCCTGAGCACTGGCAGGGTTAATAATAACAGCTACTGTGCGGTGGTGCCTTCTGTGTGCCAAACGCTTTACTTCTCCAGCAAGCCTACGCAGCAGGCCCTGGTGCTGCCCCATTTCACAGAGGAGGAAATCGAGGCCCAGAATGGTTAGAAATTTGCAAGAGTTCACGTGGCTGGCTGGTGGGTGGCTTGAACTTTGACTCCAGGTGGTCGGCAGGAAGCACATTCCACCGGGATCTGTGTGTCCCTTGCTAGAACACAAGCCCCAAGTAGCAACGTGAGGGGAAGGCATGTATGTGTCTGCCAATTCCTTTCTTAAAACTTTTCCCCACCTGTTTAGATCTAGTTTGATTTCAAGAGGCAAATTAAGAGTGAAGAGCCCAGATTCCTAAAATATTCTAATTCACTATATATCAGAGAAACGCAAATTAAAACACCATCTTAGAGAGCACTTTATACTCATTAGAAAAGCAAAAGAATTAGGAAGGTGGAAATAAGGGAGGTGGAGTGTTGGCAAAACGGCAGAGAGGCAGGAGAGCCGGGCGCTCGGAGCCTGGTGCCGCCACGGGTCCTGCCTGCAGCTCACGCCTGCTCCGGCATTTCTGAGCTGGTTCCCTTATCTGAAAAATCGAGATGATCTTATCTACGCCATAGAATTGTGCGGATGCCAACGGCTGCTGACACCAAGCACTGGGAAGGGTGTGTGTGCTCAGGAAGGGCTCCAGGAGACAGCTTGGCCGTCTTCCCAGCGGGAGAGGGCAGGTAAGCTCCCAGAGGACTGGGACTTCGCTCCTTTGCTGCACCCCCAATGCCCAGAATAGTGGAGCACTTACTAAGTGAAGATAATACTTGTTGAATAAATCAATGCATTTACATCCCTGGCTGGTGTGGCTCAGTGGATTGACCACTGGCCTGCGAACCAAAGGGTCGATGCCCCGAGAAAGCAAATGACTGGGTTGTGGGCGGGGTCCCCAGTAGGGGGCACACAAGAGGCAACCACACATCAATGTTTCTCTCCCTCTTTTTCTCCCTCCCTTCCCCCCTCACTAAAAATAAATAAATAAAATCTTTTAAAAAAATCATAAGCATGTAATTCTGTAACATAACTATCATACTCAAGCACACCCTATGACATTTTAGGTGAAATGGTCAAATTAAAATGGTAAATTACTGAACCCATATTATTACCCCACCAACCACACTCAAGCAGGCGTTACTTGTGCCGGACCCTGTATTTCTGGGTCTCTGTTGTAGCCTTAGATGACATGCAAATGAAGGGGCGTGGCTTTCCCAACAAGACAGTATGGACCCTGAAATTTAAATGTCATACAATTTTAATGTATCACAAAACATTATTCTTTTGATGTTTTCCAACGAATTAAACATGTAAAAACAATCTCTATCTCGTGGGCTGTACAAAATCTGGCAATGGGGTGGACTTGGCGGGGGGCTTGTCCATCACGGGTCTGGAAGAACACCCGGCACCGTGGGGCCCACTGCACAAAGGCCTGGTCTTGCTGAGGACGGGGACACACACTGACTGAAGGGCAGAGAAACGCCGGAGTGAGGGTCTAGGAGGGGGATGGGAGGGCACGGGGACTGGGAAACAGTGGGGACAACCCTGAAATAAGGAGAGACTTTGCCCAGACCGAGGAGGGTGACAAACCATAAAACCGAGGAGGGTAATAAACCCAACCCCATTCCCGAGGCCCCAAAAGAAAAAGTTTGGTTTTTTTAATAATAAAAGTCAGGGCTCTGGCGCCGGAGAGCCCAGATTTGAGATCCCAAAGCTGCTCTCGCTATCCGGGCAGGTTTAACCTCCCAAAGGCTCTTTGTCAGATGCAAATACATCCCCAAGAAATAACTGAAGGAACAGTTACTTCTCAAAGGTCTAGGGAAGGGTTGGGGACGGCAGGAATCGCACATTTTTTGTTTGTTTGTTTGTTTGTTTGTTTGTTGGTGTCTTTGCACTAACTGGCTTTTCACAAAAATAATTTTAAAAAATCTAAGACCTAGGACACATAGGGAAGGCATAGCTTACTTTTGGCAGCTTCCGAGACATTTAAATTAAGAGGAAAGTAAATGATGATGAGATTGATATAGCTTGCCTTGGTATTATACTATTTTACCTTTCAAAAATGCTCGTGACAACCAGCGTAGCCATGAGCGTGCCTAATGCCCAGATTCCAGTTTCTAAGTGCCTTTGCTGACCAAAAGGAACCAGAGCTCTTTATTTTATTATTTTTAATATTTTATTTACTTGTTTTTAGAGAGGGGGGAAGGGAAGGAGAAAGAGTGGGAGAGAAACATCAATGTGTGGTTGCCTCTCATGTGTCCCCTACTGGGGACCTGGCCTGCAACCCAGGCATGTGCCCTGACTGGGAATCGAACCAGTGACCCTTTGCTTCACAGGCCTGTGCTCAATCCACTGAGCTACACCAGCCAGGGCACCAGAGTTCTTCAGAGAAATGCCTGATTCCAGGGCTGATTCCAGGTGGGCCCGGGACAGATTGTGCCAGGAAGCAAGAACGTGCTCCGGGACTAACGGGGACACAGCGAGAGGACTCAAAGCCAGTTTAAAGGGTTTCCCCAGGCCATAATTAGGACAACTTGATCATTAAAATACGAATGCCTGTAACCTATTGCAAAACATTCAATAAATAAAATCCAAGAGTTCATAGTGATAATCGGAAAAAAAAAGAAAATTAATATGTTACCATTGGAGGCGACTATGATGCCAAATTATCCTGAAAATTGATACAAAGTCAGGCACTTGGGGGAACCGAAGCTTGCTAACCAGCTAATAAGGAAAGTTCTCCTTTACAAAAGAATGTAGAAGGTATGACAGGATTTAAACATTGGCCATTTCGCCCCCCCCCCCCAGTGATTCAGGCAGGAGTCACTGGTGGATGCTGAAGCCCTTCCGTAAAGGGCCACAGGGAGGCGGATGTGTGCTCTGGGCCAAAGCACCTCCCTGAGATTACTTTCCAACTGCAAAGAAGAAAAACACACCTTTTCTATAGAGGGATCTGGCGGACACAATCCTAAGCAAGAGATCAAATTTGGCATCATTGAAAGGGACAGGGCGCAGGCACACGTGTTCCTGATGGGGTGCAATGGGACACAGGTGGCTTTACCCACAGAGTGTTCTGGCCATCGGGTCTAACCTGCATGCGATCGTGTCTTTGGACCTAACTCCCAGTTGCAGGAAAAATGGGAAGGAGAGGAATAAACAAAGCGATGCCACAGGCAGCCAATCGGATCATCCAGAACGTATAACATTCTACAGACCATCTGGCCCAGTCTTTCTGAAAAGCTCATATCTCGACCCTAACCGATGTGGCTCAGTTGGTTGGGCGTCATTCCACCAAGCAAAAGGTGGCTGGTTCGATTCAGGGTCAGGGCACATGCTTGCGTTTGTGGGCTGGTCTCAGGTCAGGGCTCAAAAGAAAGACAGTGGATCAATGTTTCTCTCTCATATTGATTTTTTTCTCCTCTTCTTTCTCCCTCCCTTCCCCTCTCTCTAAAAATAAAGAATTAAATAAAAAAAGTTCACATCTCAGATGGGGAGATTACTCTAGATTTTGAAAGACTAAAAAACATGATAACCAAATGCAACATGTGAAACTTAATTGAGGCTGGTTGAAGAAAACAGTTATAAAAGACATATTGGGGAATGACTGTAGACATTTGAATATGGACTAGATATTAAATGATATTAGGAAATAATCATTCATTTTCTTGGGTGTGCTAATAGGACTGTGGTTACAGGAGAATGTCCTTGTTCTCAGTAGATGCAGGTTGAAGTATTTGGAGGTGAAATGTCCCAACAACTGCACTCACTCTGAAATGGTCCAGCAAGAAATAGAGGGTTGGCCAGATGGTCAGATAAAACAAATGTGGCAAAACAGTAAGAACTGTTGCATCGAGGTAGTGGCCATGCTGATGTTCATTGCACTGTTGCTCAATGTTATCACAGTTGGAGATTTTTTCACAGTGAGACATTTACACATTAATTGTTGCAGAGAACCAGAAAAATCACCATTTTGCAACCATTCTAGGAATAACTAATTTGGCAAGAGCCATTGGTCGATTCTAAAACCATGTGAAAATGCAAAGACAAGCAGGGCATCTGGGATCGTCTCAGCATAGGTGCCCCCAGATTATTTAGTTACAAAAGGGGAAAACGGCAATTTTACAGTGGAGAATAGCACAGACGCTGCTTAACCAGCAGATGAAGGGGGACGGCATCCGTCATGGGGCCGACAGATGCCCTGTGCCACCTGACCTGGGACACAAGGAGGGCACACCATGGCTTCCATGGTATTCCTGCCAAACATTTAGAACCTGTGTCACATTGCTGTGGAAGTTCCTGAACTCCACAAAGGTAGGGGACTATGATATAATATATATGTTATTATTATTTCATGTGTCTACAGAGAGAGGAAGCAATAAAGCACATGTGACAGAGTGAATCTGGACACATAGGAGTCCTCCCTACTTCCGTGCAATTATAAATTATTCAGAGTGAAAAAATGTAATAACATCTAAATTAGACCGAGACCGGTTGGAGAGGCAGCTCCTAATTTTGATGGGACATAAAAACATAGAAATTAAGAGAAAATGAATTCTTGATAAAGTGACTTTCATTTCAATGCCCTTATTGCCTTGGTATTTCCTTCAGTTCTCAGGAATGCTCATTCACTTTACGGAGCTGGCCGAGCTGGGAGGTGAGGGGACACACCCAAGTTACCTGCTGCAAAATGGGGCCCATTCCCAATGCTCTGGTTCTGTACCCAGTGCCTTTTCTTTCCCGTTGAGAATCCTTATCTGTATGCTGGAAGCCAAAACGCCCCCACTGCCAAAGACAGCAGCTGGGGAACCCCTCAGTCCCTCAGCATCTGCCCCACACTGGCACCCACGTGATTTATGCCTCCTGGAACTGTTTTCTGATTGTTCTCTGTGCCCACTTCCTTCTGGGCAAGCACTGCTCCATTCAAGCCCTGGCTGGCTTTTGTTTCATGTGTCTTCACATTGTAATTTTAGCACAGCCTTGGATGAGGTGTAAGAGCTCAGCAAATCCTTTCTGATCCATTACCTTCAGAAAGCATTTAATAGCTACTCAGAAGAGAGGAGATGGATGAGCACAGATACCTTTGGGCCCTCTAATAACCTTCAGGCTTAATGTATAAGGGGTATGAACCAAGGAGCAGACAAACCAAGAGAACTTACAAAACTCAGGTCTAACAAGGCGAATTTTCGACCACCAGCACCGTAAGGCTGAAACCCAGAGACGCACTCAGCTGGGACTGGAGGACTATGTTGTCCAGCCTCCCTCTGGCCTTACCAATTCCTTTCCTGGAGCATTTCTCTACCATCTTCAAGACTGTGTTTGCTGGTCTCTCCACCTCCCCTGAAAACTTCTGGCAGAAGGGACAGCCTTTGTGTGTTCTCCCTGCCTGACCTTTCTCCAGTATCTGCATACCCAGCTCCGCCCATTTGCCTCAGGCATCTAAGGCCTCACACAGCTGCCTACACTAAATGCCTTAGTCTCAGTCTGGTCACAGAGAAGGACCCGGGCAGGGGGATGGAGCAGAGAGCTTCAGGGTCTGACAAACTTGGGATAGCAATTTATAGGCTGGGTGACATTTTTGGACAAACGTGTAACTTCAGGCAAGTCCCATGGCTTCCAGACGTCAGTTTCTTCTTTCGCAAAAAGGGGATAATAAAACTAACCCGCCTTACCACCTCCACCCCCCCCCCCGTCAAATAACTGGGTGGATTGAGATGATGCAGACCTCCCTGCTTTGTCTAGTGTTTTGAAACACGAAGGACCATCAGCGGCCACCTGCTCAGCCATGCCCCCTTTATGCAAGCCTACCCCTGGGTGAGGGGGCAGGTAAAGGTCATTCATTCCATCTGCCTCCATTCCCTCCTCCCTATATCTCCAATTGGTTCAGGCATAATCTGGTTAACATGAACAGCAGGCATCAGAGATGGACTTGAAGGACTCAATATTGATTCCCTAGGAGGCTGTAAGAAGCAGGGGGCACCCACTACAGAGCCAGACCACCTGGTTCAAATCCCAGCTCCACCAGTTACTAGTCCTATGAGCTTGGGGCAGGGTTACTTAACCCCTGCACCTCAATTTCTTCACCTATAAACCAGGAATGCTAACAAGACAACTACCTCACAGGCTGTTCTGAGCATTAAATTAGTTAATGCGTAACAACAGAGCACTTTGGTATCACTGCATTTCACTGAAGCTGATGCATCTATACCCAACAAAATTAAAATTGTTGCCAGTTAAACTAGGGCACGCCATCAGTGGAACTGGAACTGAAAGCACACATTCAGAAATGTGAACAAAAGGCATGTTTTAACACAGGTGAAGCACACTATTGCTATTAGAGGCCTGAAGCTAAAAATATGTGAATATTAGGGTTAGGGTTCAAATCCCAGGTCCTCTACCTGGACGGCCTTATGCAAGATACTTAACCTCTCTGTGTCTCTGTTTTCTCATCATCTGTGCATGCGGATCATGTCAGTAGTACCTACCACACAAGACTGTAGGGTGAATTAAATGTGTGAGCAGAGTACTTAGAAGGCACCTGGTACACAGTAGGCCCGATCATTGCTATCATCTAACACAAAGTTATTCTTTCCAGGTGTGGGGGACGGCTAGGGGAGGAAAAGAGGACATACCCTGAGGGTTTCTCAGACAGAGAGTCCTGGTCTCTCTTGCGCTCTCAAGCTGCAGCAAGGTGAGGAGGTACCCAGACCCCCGCCTCATCCCCCGCAGGGTCCCGCCCCATCCCTCCAGGCCCCGCCCAACTCCGCCGGGCTCCAACCCTCCCTTCACTAGCTCCTGCCTCTGCGCTAGTCTCGCGCACTTTGAAAGTGCGCGAGCGCCGCTGGAGAGTCCGGGCCTGTCGTTGGTAGGGAAAAACCATCTGCCACGGTACGTGGGGGGAGGTAAAGCCAACGTATCCATGTCTTTCCAATGTTTAGCTTTTCAGCCCCGAGTGCTGGTCTTATTTTACCTGTCATATCTGCTCCGTATGCTCAGGCTCCAAGGAGGGGAACGCTAACTTGCTGGGGAAAGGGCTGCGGCTTCTCCGTGCGGCGTTCTCCCCCTCTGGACGGGGAACCGGTGGGAGAGGACGACGGCCGTCGGGGGGAGGAGGCGGCCCTAGCGCCATTTTGTGGGAGCGAAGCGGTAACTGGGTGGCTGCTACAGGATCCCTAGCTGCTTGAGTTTCCCTGTCGGGCCTCCTGTCAGCGGCGTAGCGGGTGAGTCGCGGACGCTGCTCACCGAGAATACCCTGTGTGCTTCGCTCCCACACGGCTGCTCCGAGGAGGACGCGGCGGCCTGGACCCCGCCCCGGGCCTGCCCGGTCCTGCTCCAGCGGGCTCGCGCGGGAGTGTCGTTGGGATCTGGCGCGGGGTGTCAGTGGGCGCCGGGGCAGGGACGCGGGGCTGGCGGGGCCGCGCAGCCTCAGGCAAAGGTTTGGCCCGGCTTCGGCCCCCGAGCAGGGCTTGGTGCCTTCGGCTCTTCACGGTCCAGGGCACGCTGTCAGTTTAGGCCGCGGGCCCCTGCGGCCCCGCCCAGGCCGCGCTTAACAACTCCCACTTCGGCTGTCACTTACTGGTTTCTGGGAGGTGGCGGCCTGCGTCGCGCAGGACCTGTCGCCGCTGTCCTTGACGCTGAAGTTTGGAGGGCCCCCGGAAGTCCCAAAATGAGGATCAGGAAGGAACTTTTACCCTGTTCTCTTGCCCTGGCTCGCTGCTCCCATTCAGTCCCAGGGCTCAGCTTCTGTATCGCTTTCTTAGGGACCCCTACCCCTACCCCTACCCCTCCACACACACACACACACACACACACACACTCCCTCCCTCTCTCTCTCTCTCTCTCTCTCTCTCTCTCTCCCTCCCTCCCCCCCTCCCCCCAACCAGCTTAGGTGGTTCTCCTCAGCCCCCAAGATCATATACTACTTTCCAGTACACATATCTCGATCATAATAAGATAATTATTTGCCTGCTGTCATCCCCTGCCTTGTAACCAGCATGCCACCCGAGCCCTTTGGCTTCACAGTTGTCATTGTAGTACCAGATGCATAGCAGGCCCTCAGCAAATGTTTGTTGAATGAATGAACCAACAGGGCATCACAGTTTTACAGGGATTACTGTCTTTGTCTCTTAACGTCTCAGGGATAGCCAGCGTGTGTGAGAATCCAAACAGCAAAAAAATTTCTACAAGTCCGAGAACAATGGTATGGTAGTGGTACTGATCAGCTGATTATAAGGAAACTTCTTTGGACACAAGTGTTGGTCATTTGTCTCTCTTTTCCATTTAAGGGAAAGTAGAAGATGTCTGAATATATTCGGGTAACAGAAGATGAAAATGACGAGCCCATTGAAATACCTTCAGAAGACGATGGGACTGTGCTGCTGTCCACTGTTACAGCCCAGTTTCCGGGCGCGTGTGGGCTGCGCTATCGGAATCCGGTGTCTCAGTGCATGCGAGGCGTGCGACTGGTGGAGGGGATCCTGCACGCCCCGGACAACGGCTGGGGGAATCTGGTGTACGTTGTCAACTATCCCAAAGGTCTGTTGCCATAAGCCAAGGTGTGGTTGGGTTCGTGTGTCTTCATAAGTCATAGATCACGACCTCTCTTCCCGGTGCAGCGTCTCCTGCAGCCCAAGCCTTTCTTTAAAGGTTACTGTTAGACTAGTGTGTAAGGCCACTAGTTTAAGTGATTTTAAAGTGAGAACTGTGTATTTAAATAACTCTCAGGCAAATAGTGCCACATTATTTATAGTGCTGTGTCGGTGCAGGGTCATCGTTTGTAACAGATGTGTCAAGGCGTATGGGAGATCTCTGCCTTCCTCTCAGTTGTGCTGAGAACCTAAAGCTGTTCAAAAAAGTCTATTTTCTAAAATGTCATTTAGTTCCTCTCCTCTCCTTTTAAATTTTAGTTTTTAAAAATAACCTACGGTTTTTCCTTTATATTACAGAAGTAATGTGAGTTTATTGTTGAAAGTTTAGGGGGGAAAAAAAAGAAAATTGATATCACCCTTAAATCCAGAGCTAGAGATAAAAGTTGCAGATTTTATTATTATTATTATTATTTGGCATATAGCCTTCTAAGTTGTAGGCATTAAAATAATTAAGCAAACACATTTATTAGGCAAAAAGGTAGTAATTATACTTTCTTAACCTGTTTTTTTCCCCTTAATGTATTTTAAAGTCAGGGTGGAATAGAATGATTTTGGTTTTGATACACCATTTGAGAGGGAAGAATGTATGTTTGTAATCTGTGGTACTACAAAACCAGAGGCATGAGTCCCTGGATTTGCACCAAAAGAGCACCTCAGCTGCTTGATTCATTCCCACACTGTCCTTGAGAGCTAACATCACCCTTTGCAGAAAGTTGAAACATCTTTATGTTCTTCGAATCTTTCTGCTTCTCACTTCTAATATAGGAGGCAGTGTGTCTTAAGACATGTTAAATGGAGAGCTCTAAAAGGGTTCTGCTTGTTTTGTTTAGATAACAAGAGGAAAATGGATGAGACGGATGCCTCATCAGCGGTGAAAGTGAAGAGAGCAGTCCAGAAAACATCCGACCTAATAGTGCTGGGTCTCCCGTGGAAAACGACTGAGCAGGACCTGAAAGAGTATTTCAGTACCTTTGGGGAGGTCCTCATGGTCCAGGTGAACTTCGATTTCATTGAGCAGGTTTTCTTTTTCAGAGAAAGAACACCTGGAATTCCTGTTTCAGTGACACTGCCCTTTGTGTCCAGTGGACAATATTTTTAAGATTTGTAAACATTAGATCTAGTTTATCTTTGCATTCTAAAACATTTTGTCGAATTCTGCAACGTAAAGGAGTTTTACTCTGTTGTGAACAGGATCTGTTTCAGCTCTGACCCTCCTGTTGCTCTTACCTCAAGAATAACTTGGTTTCAGTTTTAATTAAGCCGCTGCCTGCGTCCAGTTGGAGTTGTTCGCACTGTCAGGGAATTCTCATTGGGGTGTGTGTGTGTGTGTTGTTTCAGTAAATTTAAATGATTTTTTTCTAGGTCAAGAAAGATATTAAAACCGGTCATTCAAAAGGGTTTGGCTTTGTTCGATTTACGGAATACGAAACCCAGGTGAAGGTCATGTCACAGCGACACATGATAGACGGACGGTGGTGTGACTGTAAACTCCCTAATTCCAAGGTACTTGGCTTCTCTCTTCTCCTCCCACTTGGGCAGCTTTTGCTGACAGACTTCCTTAAAAGACACTACAAAATAAATGTTAAATATGCTTAGAAAAAAGGGCTAGGATGTGTTCTTGAAATCTCTTGCCTGGTGAAAGCCTTGGGACCTTAATGCGTGCTGAATATTTTATGATTGTTTGAAATATTTAGTTCATTATCCCTCTGAACTAAACTGTGTTCATTTTATTCTTTTCTTGTTATTTCTAGAGAGTTAACCATTTTTTACATAGTTAAATGTTAAAACACAAGATAATCAGAATATGGTAATCTTGTTTCAAAGGCCTAACCTATTCCAAGCAAGCAAGACTTGCTTATTTGGAACATTATTATTTTTTGCCAGAATGTGAAGTCATTGACTTTCCTGGATCTGATTACACTTTCATGAACTTTAAACTTTAAAACTGTATTCGTCATCGAAGTCTTACAAGAAAGAGGAGTGCTAATGGAAAAAATAAGAAAGTACCTACTTTTTAATGACTCACCTAACATAAGAGGCAGATAGATTTTGTTACATCTTCCATCATAACGCCCTTTTCATTGCTCATAAAATATTTCCGATGTCTTTCCTACCTTTGAATTTGATCAGCAAAGCCCAGATGAGCCTCTGAGAAGCAGAAAGGTGTTTGTCGGGCGTTGTACAGAGGACATGACCGCCGATGAGTTGCGGCAGTTCTTTTGCCAGTACGGAGAAGTGGTAGATGTCTTCATTCCCAAGCCGTTCAGGGCTTTTGCCTTTGTTACATTTGCAGATGATCAGGTATTTTTCTCTTTAATAATTTTATCCCAGCTGATCAGATAATTTTTCTTGAACTTTTCCCATCCAGCTAATTGCCATCTTTACTTAGCTAAGCTTTCTGACCTTGTAAGCTGTGGAGTATATGGACCTAGGTATTTGTGATAAACACTACTATTTTTCAGGATGTGGTATTTAACTGGAAGGGTTATATACCTTTACAAAGTAAACTGAAAATCTTTTGCTGCCATTATTAAAGCTAAAGGCTATTTTAAGTTTAAATGAAATGAGCGTTCGTTGTTTATTTTTCCTCTAGTGAACATGATGGCTTGAAATCTTAGGTTTTACTGCTACTTTGATGTACAAGTCAGTGGTTTAATTGCCTTTATTTACATCCCTTATTTTCTTATAGGTTGCCCAGTCTCTTTGTGGAGAGGACTTGATCATTAAAGGAATCAGCGTACACATATCCAATGCTGAACCTAAGCACAATAGCAATAGACAGTTAGAAAGAAGTGGAAGATTCGGTGGTAATCCGGGTGGCTTTGGGAATCAGGGTGGATTTGGTAACAGTAGAGGGGGGGGAGCTGGCTTGGGAAACAATCAAGGCAGTAACATGGGTGGGGGGATGAACTTCGGAGCATTTAGCATTAACCCAGCAATGATGGCTGCAGCCCAGGCAGCCCTGCAGAGCAGCTGGGGCATGATGGGCATGTTAGCCAGTCAGCAGAACCAGTCAGGCCCATCAGGTAACAATCAGAGCCAAGGCAACATGCAGAGGGAGCCGAATCAGGCCTTTGGTTCTGGAAATAACTCTTATAGTGGTTCTAATTCAGGTGCAGCAATTGGTTGGGGATCAGCTTCAAATGCAGGGTCAGGCAGTGGTTTTAATGGAGGCTTCGGCTCAAGCATGGATTCTAAACCTTCTAGCTGGGGAATGTAGACAGTGGGTGACGGTTGTATAGACTGGTGGGAATTCAAATTTTTCTAAACTCATGGTAAGTATATTGTAAAATACATATGTACTGAGAATTTTCAAAATTTGGTTGTTCAGTGTGGAGTATATTCAGCAGTATTTTTGACATTTTTCTTTAGAAAAAGAGGAAGAGCTAAAGGAATTTTATAAGTTTTGTTACATAAAGGGTTGCAATATTGAGTGTTTGAAAGTGAACTGCTGTTTGCCTGATGGGTAAACCGACACACTACAATTGATATCAAAGGTTTCTCCTGTAATATTTTATCCCTGGACTCGTCAAGTGAATTCTTTGCATGTTCAAAATGGAAACCATTAATTAGAACTACATTCTTTTCTGCTTGTTTTAATTTGAACCCCACCATATGGATTTCTTCCTTAGGAATATCTCCTTTTTGGAGATCACGGTGTCACAGTGTTTGGTTCTTTTGTTTTTGTTTTTTTAACACTTGTCTCCCTTCATATGCAAAAGTACAATATGAAGCCTTCATTTAATCTCTGCAGTTCATCTCATTTCAAATGTTTATGGAAGAAGCACTTCATTGAAAGTAGTGCTGTAAATACTCTGCCATAGGAATACTTCTGTCCACATGCTTTCTCATTCAAGATTTGGTCATCACACTGCACGGGCCGCGTCTCTGACGGTGGGTGTCCCATTTTTATCCGCTACTCTTTATTTCATGGAGTCGTATCGACGCTGTGAACGCAAGGCTGTGATATGGATCCAGAAGGCTGTTTGAACTTTTGAAACCTTGTGTGGGATTGATGGTGGTGCCGAGGCATGAAAGGCTAGTATGAGCGAGAAAAGGAGAGAGCGCGTGCGCAGACAGTGGTGCAAAATGGATATTTTTTAACTTGGCGAGATGTGTCTCTCCATCCTGTGGCTTTGGTGAGAGAGTGTGCAGAGAGCAATGATAGCAAATAATGTACGAATGTTTCTTGCATTCAAAGGACATCCACATCTGTTGGAAGACTTTAAGTGAGTTTTGTTCTTAGATAACCCACGTTAGTTGAATGTGTTAAGTGAAACGATACTTGTACTCCCCTACCCTTTGTCAACTGCTGTGAATGCTGTATGGTGTGTGTTCTCTTCTGTTACTGATTTGTAAGTGTGGTAATGTGGACTGAAGCTGATGGGTTGAGAACATGGACTGAGCTTGTGGTGTGCTTTGCAGGAGTACTTGGAAGCAGAGTTCACCAGGGAGCTGGGGGTGTCTCAAAGAAGGGTGGAGGTTCCAATGTCTGTTAGCTCCCCACGAGAATGCTGTTTGATGCAGTTCTGTGTCCTGTGCTTGGATGCTTTTATAAGAGTTGTCAATACTGGAAATTCTTAAATAAAACTGATTTAAATAATATGTGTCTTTGTTTTGCAGCCCTGAATGCAAAGAATTCATAGCAGTTAATTCCCCTTTTTTGACCCTTTTGAGATGGAACTTTCATAAAGTTTCTTGGCAATAGTTTATTTTGCTTCAAATAAACTTATTTCAAAAGTTGTCTCAAGTCAAATGGATTCATCACCTGTCATGCATTGACACCTGATACCCAGACTTAATTGCTATTTGTTCTTGCATTGTCTAAAGTGAAAAATTTTTTTTTCTTTTTAAATCTGGTTTTTAATAAGTCTGGGTGACCACACCTAAAATGGTAAGCAGTACCCTCCAGTTTTTTTCTCAGTGCCTCTGTGCATTTGGGTGATGTTCTATTTACATGGCCTGGGTAAACTTCCATCAGGAAAGCCACCATGCCTTCTAAAAGTCTTATTTGGGGGAGTGGGCAAAACAGTGTTAATGATTCTTAAATGCTTTGTAGCAAAGCACATCAATTGAAAAGAAAGGAATATCAGCGCCTTTTTAGTTTGGGATTTGAAAAGTGGAATTAATTGCAATAGGGATAAAGTAGAAGAAACCACAAATTACCTTGTGCCTGAAATCCATTAAGAAGCTTGATAGCTTTAAGAACTAGCAGGGTGGTGGGCTGTCTGTGGACATGTTAAATGAAATGGGCTTCGTCCTCCAAAGGCAGGGGAAGTGTTGAATAAAACTGTTCACAACACTGAGATTAGATTCTCACGATGCATTGTTAAGTATGTAAAAGCAATAATATATTGATTCTCTATTGTACTTTTTATGTAACTACTACGATGAGAGTTGAGCTTGTTTTCTAATGGACGAATGTAAAATTTCTGTGTTGATAATTTGCCGAATGCCCTTATCTAATTAGAGTATGATAAATAGGTTTTTTGCAAGATAGGTGTTTTAACTTTTATAAGTCATCCTTTAGACTTGTGATCGCCACATTGTTTCATTGTCCAGTTTTCTTCTGTAAAAGGATCTTGCGTTGTTTAAATTTTTTTTCTGCATCTAAGTTGCATGATTTCCAAACCCTGTACCATCTGAATTTTGCATTTTAGCACTTGCGCTATTACTCAGCAGCAGTAACATGGTAACACTTAAAATGCTATCGGGGACCTCCAAAGACTAAACTGGCGAGCCTTCAAGGAGCCCGGGGTAAGTTCACTCGTCGATGGCATGGTTTTCGTCCCTGTTTACACGTGTGTAACTCTAGTTACTGGTCTCAGAAGGCCTTTGGTGTCTGGCAGCCTTCTGCTAACATGTCTGTGGTAAATACCTTACTTAGCTATGGGGATTTAATTCTGCCCTAAGTTTTTTTTTTTTTTTTTGGTTTTCTTTTTTGAAGTTCAGAAGTAAACTATTTGGCAAAGATTTGTTTTTAAAGTCTATTTGATCACCTAAATGCATTCATTCTAAGAACTTTTTGAACCAGTTGAATAAAAATTTTTGTTGCCACCACAGTTTAGTGTCTGGAGTCTTACTGGGAAAAGCAGTTTGCTTTTTATGTGACAAAGACGCTGTCAAGTTACCTTTAAAAGTGAGTCTCTAGAAGTCGCACTTTATATGCACAAGGGAAACGAGGACAAAACTCGGTGAATTTTTAAATGTGGTGACTCTTGGCTGGAATGAAAAACTCTGTTAGATGTTAGTTGGCTATTACAAGTTTCTAGGAAGGACTAGCCAGCTAAAGTGAAGTGGGATGTTTAAGGTTATGCCAGAGCTTAGATTTTGTCCTTAGGAAAAAGAGGTTAACTCCTTAATCCAGAAGATGTTAAAACGTAATGATTAAAATGCCTTTGCCGTTGAGGACTCAGATGTGCTCAAGTGCACTCTGTGCTCAGCTGCTGTGATCCAGCATCGGCTGTGTGCATCCCTATGACATGTTCGTGGTGAGAAGGAAAACTACAGACTGGTCTGTAATACCACCACTTGTTTCTGATGTTGTATTTCATCTTACGGAAATGCCACATTTAATTTGATCATCTTCTGAATTTGGATATTAATTTAGGTTATTTCTAAGTACTAGGGTCATCCTTATGCCTAATTAAATTCTTAGCATTGGAATTACTAGGTAAAAGACTATGCATGTTTTTAAGGCTTTTGAAATGTATTGCAAAATTGTCCTTGAGAAAATTGTTGTCTTTGACAATGAATAGTGCTCTTCCATGTTCTTTTTGTCTGCAGATTTAATAACTGAAAAGTTCTATTTCACTGTATTGTGGTATTGGTCTTTAACTTGGAAGTTAGTGCCTAGGCTAAAGTATTGGTGTTTTTGTAGACGTTCATCTACCCCAAAAAATCCAGGATTGAAGGTTGTTCCTGAACCAATACTGCTGTAATATATAAAGCTCTCAAAGATCAAAACAAGTCCAAAAATACTAGAAAACAGCTCAAAGAACAGATAAAGGCACTATCCAGGCATGCAAACAAAAGGCCAGTACAAAGATACTGACTCTGTATGTAACCGGTGCACATGGAACCAGTGAGTTCCTACTGCACTGAGGGAGATGAATGAATGCGTATTGCTGGGATGGGTTATGCCCCCTAAATCAAAGCGGGAAGGGTGGAGAGCCGGGGGCCTGGCACTGGTAGTCTGGTTTTGGTTTTTGTGTGTGGTGACGATGACTGTAGTAATGTTTCTCGGGTCACATTGCTACCGAGACCTTTTATACATGTTTGTTTTTAATTATTAACTGAAGACACACAAATTAAAAGTTACTAATTATTTTCTTGATCCAGGGAATATAGTTAATGACTTTTGTGTAGACACCAAATGATTGTGCTTCCCCACAATTAGTAGAACCCCAGGACACTATTCCTCCCACAAACCACCTGTGTGTGTTGTTATTTAGAAACACAAAGGCCCCTCCGCTGTCACCTCTGCAGCTGTCTTTGCCCCCACTCTCTAAGCCGGCGCAGAGCATGTTATCAGTTACCTGCGCCCCTGGGTGGGGCTTTTTTTCATAGGCGGCAGCGCATTTTTGATTTTCAACAACTGGTATGTCAACATACATTAAACTTCTGGCAGGGAGACCCCTCTGCGTCAGTCCCCATCCAGATGCGGTTCCAATGTCATTTGTCCTCATGAAGGATTCAGCTGCTTTTGTTGGCAAGCAAATAGGCATGATGTTACTATTGATTACAACTTTGTTCTTCAGTTTAATCAGTGCTATGTCGTTATCGAAGCTGACATCGTGGGTGTAGCCTTCATGTATAAACACGGCCTCTGCCCAGGCTTGTGTGTAGTGAGGGGACAGTCTCTTCAGCATGCCCATGCGGATGTGTAGGGAGGAGGCATCTTCTTTCTGTGCATACACTGCGTGGGCAGCCGTCAGGACCCAGTTGTCATACAGAAGTGCACCTGCTGCTGCTGTGTCACCTAGGAGCAGGACTTGCCAAGGGAAGTCACCCAGCTTTGCATTTTGCCCTCCGTATATACGAGCCCCTCCTGCACGGGCAGACATTCCGCAGACTGGGGAAGGAAGCAGATACACAGGGCCTGTGTAGAAACCTAGTGGTGCATTGCTGCAGTCTCCTCTTGGGGCCGTGATGTGACCCAGAACTGCATCAGGTGTGTGGTGGGTGCCCGCCTTTAGCCAAGTTAGAGCACTTGCAAGCCACATAGGCCAAAGACCCAGCTGGCGGTTCGTAGCTCCTCAGAAAATGAGGCAAGTGGAAATGTCTTTTAGAAATGAATTTGTTTTCCAAAAAGTAGAATAGTCTACTCAATTGCAGAAATTATTTAATAGGGCAGACAGGAATTGTCTGAGCTGATGCGCTGGGTGATGCGAATGTAGGAAGTGAAAGGAAAGAACCTTTTCATTGTTCCTTTTCCTACCTCTAAACTGGGCTGTCGGCCCTGCAGTTCTGGGACAGCAGGCGCCGAGGCCCCTGGCCTAGGACTGGCAAAACGAAGAACATCGAACAAGAACATCGAACATCGCTGCAGTGTTTTAAAAGTCAGAATGTTGCATTTGTGGCCAGGAACTTTCAGGTTCAGAAGCTATTATTTGTTATCTAGATGATTCTTAAAAACACTAAGTCTGACTGTATATGACTAAGGAAATATACTCATTAATGTAGCAAACGTTTCCTGTTGTGGCAGAGTACTTGCATTGAAACTGAAAAACGTTGTGTCAAGCCCTGGCTGCTGTGGCTCAGTGGATTGAGTTCGGGCCTGTGAACCCAAGGATTGCGGTTCGATTCCCAGTCAGGGCACATGCCTGGGTTGCAGGCCAGTTCCCAGCAGGGGACGCATGAGAGGCAACCACACATTGATATTTCTCTCCCTCTTTCCTTCCCTTCCCCTCTAAAGATTAAAAAAAAAAAATTTTAATGTTGTGTCAGCCAAGATAAAAACTAATTTAAGCCAAATAACACAGGGGTAATGAATATATTATTAACTTTCTGATTTTTTTTAAAAAAATCTCTCTATTCAACTATATGTTCAAAGCCAATTCTGGTTAAAAAAAAATTTAAGTACTATTAAAAGGCAAATTGCATTAATGTTTAAAAACTAGATGTCATTAAAAACAATTGCTTAGGGAAATAATGAAGTTACTAGCTTTGGGTTTTAATAGCATTTTTAACAGAAGTAGCTGAGGAGCTCGTGTTTATAAATGTATAAATGGTTCATGGTCATTTTAAAAACCATTTAATTTTTTATTCTTGCCTGGTTGTAAGGCAAAATAATCTAATGACTGATGCAGTCAGCACCTAACCACCTCTCCACGAGCAGGGGGACGACGAGGACACACTGTTGGGAGTAACAGCTGGGGCTGAGGGCTGGGGCCCAGGTTCCCTTTCTGCCCACCACAGCTGAGGCTCTGCTTGCTGCTGCTGCCTGCCCAGTTCTACTTTCCATCAGTTACGAATCTCTTACATGAGAGTATCCATTACCAGGCTCGCAGACTGGGAGTGATTTTTCTCCTTTGGAGCTCGTCCAGAATCCATCAGCCTCACACACGTATTTACCTGCAAATCATTGGAAAAGCAAAAATGTTTAACTGCATGTATAAGGTGCTTGTCATTTGCTTGAATACCCCCTTGAAAAATGTTGATTCTTGAGCACCAGTGAGAAATAGAGGTGTCTGAATAACCATTTTACATGATTTCATAAATAAGAGGTCTCTGCATTACCATGTTTGCTTGCAAAGTGGAAACCTTTTAGATGTGTAACTTGAATATGTATCAAGATCTCAAGTGCTTAATGATAAGGTTTTGACTTGTTAAATTAAACCATTTGGAATATATTGTGTGTTTGTAGTAGTCATTTACTAGATAAGATCTGTTTTCAGATTCTTGCAAATTGACATTAAAGTCACTTCGGCTGTAATATTTCACTTAGCTGGTAGGCGAAGTGCCTTTTAATCTTTTGTCTAGCTTTAGCCAAAAATGTTGGTTAAAGTTTATTTTCAGATTGTGGAGGCCTAGGTTCCAAATGTCACCCGCCCCCAACTTGGAACAGTTTGCGTACCGTCACCTGTCCTCATTGTGTAGAAGGCCCCGGAGCAGTGGTACTGAATCTCGGCCTTGTACGTGGTCACGTCAGGGCCCGTGATGTGCTCCACCCGGCCGTGGGGCAGGTCCTCGGGAGGGCCACAGTCAACAACTGATAAGCATGGGAGAGGGGAGTCAGTGTCCGTGCTGCCCCTGCCCGGGAGCGTCATGCACTCGGTCTCTGAGTCCAGAGAGTGGCTTTAGGCCAACTGGAAGGTGTCACCCTCCTCCCTGTTCCTGACTGGCCAGGTGGAGGCGAGGTCCCTGCAGCGGTGGTGCAGGCCTTTCCTGATGGAAGGGGCTGGGAACTTGGGGACACCCCTGACACTCGCTCCCAGCCTGAAGGGTGCAGTGCCACAGAAGGGAGGAGACGGCGTGGCCTGTGCAGTCTAGGCCCACATAACGGGACTCGGGGCACAGCGATGCAAAGGGGACTGGGGGGGCGGGGTGCAGCTCATTCTTAGCACCCGCAGAAGACCTGGAAGGTCTTGAATTTGGACAAGAATTCACACTTGGGACACTGCCAATGTGAAATGACTGAGATGTGAAATGTCTCACGTTTGTGAGACAGTGTTCCCAGTCTAAAAGTTCGTTACATAGTGGATGTAAAAACTGTTGATGTATTTCTGTGGCTATTAAAAAATTACATTTAAACAATTTTCAGCAACTTAACATCTGTGTGCCTGGCTCTGTGCCAAGTGCTTTGCCCCTTTGTCTCATCGTCTGTAGCTGAGACACCCCTGACGACCCAGTAGAAAAGCAGCTGCGCCCCGTGCGTGCTGCTCTGCTGCTTTTCCCACTGAAAGAATTGGTGGGAATGTAAACTAGGAAGTGCCAATAGGGAGTTCCCCTAGGCATTCTGTAAAAACCTTGCACAGAAGGTGCAGAAACGCACGCACAGGTGGGTGTTAGCTGCAGCAGGGCACGCATCGGGAAAACCGGAAGCCACAGAAAGCAGACCGACTAAAAGCATCATTGGAGAAATACTGTGCAGCCGCCAAGGAGGAGCAGCCCTGCTAACGGCCAGACCGGGGAGGGAGACAGCCCGCCGAGAGGGAGGAGGAACACGGCTGCAGTCAGGAAGTACCCGTTTACCATTTACCGAGCCGGCTGCCACCCCTGGAGCACAGCGACCTCTGCCTGCCTCCCCGCGGAGCTCTGAGGACCCCGCCCCTGTATCCCGCCTGCTTCCTGAGCCCGTTTCTACAGCTCACTTGTAGCACCTCTGACTTTCTAAATTTTCCTAGCTGGAAAAGAAAAGGCAACGCGTGAAATACGTATCTCTAGCATAGGAGGCAACACGTGGGGTAGGCCCCGAACTTCCAGTGGTGGTTTGGGGATTTGGGCAAGAATGTTTTACAAATTTATATTCTTTCCTATTAACATGTACTTTGTCACTGAAAAGACACTAAAAATAAGATGCGTGATTCTCAATTCACAAAGTGTAATGTACACGATTGTCCCAGTTGGGGGGGTGCGTGCACATAGTCACCCTCGTCTCCACCACAGTAGCCAGTCCGTGTGCGCACATGTGAGAGGTGGGTGATTGGAGGATTGTGCGCCAGAATAGCATGTACGGTGGGGTTATGAGTATTGAAATATCATCTCCTCTCCCCTCTTCTACAAGTATTTTATACTTAGGAAAAATACTTTTAAAGATCACTGTGCAAGCAAATAATTGTCCTACTAGCTTGGTTTCATTTCAACCTCGAGTCCTCAGAGCGTGGGGGAGAGGTGGATTTGGAGTCCGAGCCCTGATAAATAGAACCCTTTTTAAACAGCCAGGAGGGGCAACGGAAGCAGCGGCAGTGGCAGGCGTGGCTGGGAGCGGCGCTCACGTGACCGTACTGCTGCATTCTGGCATCGGTTTGTCCCAAGAGCCATCCTTTTGACAGACTGCAGCAAATGATTCCAGGGGCAAATGACCCTAAAGGGGAATGCAGAAAATCCTCATTTCCTGGTTCCTCTCAGAAACCCACTCCCCGAAGCTAAGCTCCCACAGTCGTTCCTCTTCCAGGGTCTCACCAGAGGCCCCCAGGGGAGGGATGCACCCACAGGGCCCTGTGCACAGTCCAGCGCTGCCTCCGAGCAGGTGCGAACGTTGCCTGTGCTACACAGGGCACCTCTCGAGGTGTGGTGGCATTTCAGGAATCAAATGCTGACCTCTACAATGAACGGCTGGCTTTTGCCTTCCACTTGACTGTGAGAACAGGTCACTGCTTGGGCCCCTGCCATTGCCCCGCCACCTCTCTCTTCTGAGAAGTGCCGCAGGGAGGCGGTTGGAAATGCAGGGAAGGCCGACCTCACGAGCCCCTGAGCCCTGTGGCCCTTCGCTGGGGGAAAGCTACAAAAGACGCTTTTCTAAGCCTCACATGGGTGTCCTCAATCAGTTTTCATTGCTAATACAGCTTAGAAACATTCTTCACTTACTGAAATAGTATTGTTCTAAAGTCAGACTTGGTGAAAGATGTCTCCAGCAGAAGCTTTGTGCTTCAAAGGAGAGCAGTGTGATTTTTTTTTTAATGAAAAAAAATTTTTTTAAATTTTTTTAGAGAGATGGGAAGGCAGGGTGAAAGAGAGGGAGAGAAACAGCGATGTGCAAGAGATACATGGATCAGTTGCCTCTTGCACACCCCCAACTGGGGACCTGGCCCACAATCCAGGCATGTGCCCCGGCTGGGAGTCAAACCGGTGACCTTTCAATTTGCAGGCTGACTCTCAATCCACTGAGCCACACCAGCCAGGGCCAGGGTGATTAAAAAAAAAAATGAGCCTCAAGGGATAAGGGAGGGGAGGAGGTAGAAGGGGTCAAAATGGTAATGGGAAAAAAAATACAATAAAAAATAAAATGAGAAAACAAACAGGTTTGTAGCCCAAGGAGCTGTGAAAAAGAGCCCACCACAACAAAAGTTTATAGGGTGGGAAAAGTGGCCCCTGCCCCCTGTATTCTTCATGTTGCCCCTCCACAGGCCCGGACTACCGGCCTCTGCTGTCAGTTCACTGTTACTCCCGGGCAATTTTTACCACCAGGATTTGGGGACACTTTTGAAGAACAGAAAGAGAACGTGTTAATCTCCTACCTGTGCCCCTAAAGCAACTCACTAAGCAAAAAAAAAAAGAAAAATTATCCCCCCTCTCCCGCAACAGTGGCTGCTATTCATAACTTTGCGGAATATACTATTTCCCAGCACTGCTTAATTTTTTGTGGGCCTAGGAGTTATTTCACGTAAATATCATCCTAAGAACAAAAAGTTCTCCATAGGACTTCCGGCCAAGATGGAGGCGTAGGTGGAAATACTGTGCCTCCTTGCACAACCAAATTTAAGGACAACAAAGATTTAGAAACAAAAACACAACCCAAACAGACAGAAGTTGAACTGTACTGAAGTCCGACAACACCGAACCATTCATCCAGACCAGTAAGAGGGGAGGAGTTGGCTGCTGGCAGAGAAGGATCCCTGGCAGGAAGAGGCGGTGGTTGGACACCTGGGCGGACGTAGGAACAAAAACCCAATAAGGCTCACAAGGCAGCTGGCTGACCTCGGACACACATTCACATGCAGATAAACCAGGCAAAACAGGCAGTGAGACAGATCGTGCAACCCAGGGCCCCAGCGACGAAAATAAAGCCTAAAAGCACCAATTGGAAAAACTTTTGGGGGTTCAGGTGTTGGGAGAGGTGCCCAGCCACACAGGAGAGTTTTCTGGGGAGACCCACAGGGTCCTAGAATGCACACAAGCCCACCCACCCGGAAACCAGCACCAGAAGGGCCCAGTTTGCTTGTGGGAAGTGACAGAGGGGACCGAAATCCAAAAGACAGCATGTAACAAGCGCCATTGTCCCCTCTCTGACCCCACGCCCACGTACAGCAACACAACCCAGCAACTGGGTCACCCCACCCTTATGAACACCTAGGCTCCGCCACTCATATGTAACAGGTGCAAACAGACCAAAACATTATGGCTCAAGCAGAAGAACAGCTCAAAGCCTCAGAGCCAATACTTCTAAGTGACCAAGAGGTAGCTAACCTATCGGATGCACAGTTCAAAGCACTGGTGATCAGGATGCTCACTGAACTGGTTGATTTTAGTCACAAATTAGATGAAAAAATGAAGGCTACACTAAGTGAAATGAAGCAAAATTCACAGTGAGCCAATAGTGACGGAAACAAATCTGGGACTCAAATCAGTGGAGTGGACCAGAAGGAAGGAAGAAACAACCAAACAGAAAAGAATGAAGAAACAAGAATTCAAAAAAATGAGGAGAGGCTTAGGAACCCCCAGGACATCTTTAAACATTCCAACATCTGAATTATAGGGCTACCGGGAGGGGAAGAGAAAGAGCAACAAGTGGAAAAGATTTTTGAATAATAAAGAACCTTCCCAATCTGGCAAAGGAAATAGACTTCTGGGAAGTCCAGGAAGCTCTGAGAGTCCCAAAGAAGGTGGACCCAAGAAGGAACACACCAAGGCACATCATAATGATATTAGCCAAGATTAAAATGGAGAGAATCCTAGAAGCAGCAAGAGATAAGGGGACAGTCACCTACAAAGGAGTTCCCATCAGACTGTCAGCGGATTTCTCAAAAGAGACCTTACAGGCAAGAAGGAGCTGGAAAGAAGTATTCCAAGTCATGAAATCCAAAGACCTACATCCAAGATTGCTCTACCCAGCAAAGCTTTCATTTAGAATGGAAGGACAGATAAAGTGCTTCTCAGATAAGGTCAAGTTCAAGGAGTTCATCATCACCAGGCCCTTATTATATGAAATGTTAAAGGGACTTATATAAGAAAAAGAAGATAAAAAATATGAACAATGAAAGGACAGCAAACTCACGGTTACTAACAACCACACCTAAAACAAAAGCAAACTAAGAGGACAGCTAGATCAGGAGCGGAACCATAGAAATGGAGATCACATGGAGGGTTAGCAACAGGGGAGTGGGAGAAGGAGAAGGGGGGAGAAGGTACAGAGAATAAGTAGCATAGACAGTAGGCAGAAAATAGATGGTGGGAGGGCAAGAATAGTAGGGGAAATATAGAAAGTAAAGAACTTGTCATACATGGACATGAACTAAAGGGGGGAATGGTGGGGGAGGGGTGTGCAGGGTGGAGGGGAATGAAGGGGGGGAAATGGGGCAACTCTAATGGCATAATCAATAAAATATACTTAAAAAAAATTCTCCATAGCCATCCTTCTTCCCAGCAAACGTCACCTCTTAGACTTTTATTTAGTCATAGACACAAAAACACCCACCATGCTGGACAATGCCTATTTTCCCACTTTCCTTTCATGTATTTGCTGGCAGTAATAAGTATGCATTTAAAAACTGTCACGATCTGCCCTGGCCGCTATGACTCGGTTGGTTGGAGCATCGTCCCATAAAACCAAAAGTTTGAGGGTTCGATCTCTGGTCAGGGCACATACCTAGGTTACGAGTTCAATCCCCCATCAAGGCCTGTATGGAGGCAACCAATTAAGGTTTCTCTCTCCCCCTCTCCCTCCCTTCCTCTCTCTCTAAAAATAAGCAATGGGGGGAAAATGTCCTCAAATAAGGACAAAAATAAAATAAAATTTGTACTTAAAAAACATACATAAAAACTGTCATTCAGCCTGGTGGCGCGAGTTGGGCGTTACCCCATGAGGTGAAAAGGTCTCCCGTTCGGGTCACATGCCTGGGTCATGGGCCTTGTCCCTGGTCGGGGTGCGTGTGAGAGGCAGCTGACTGATGTTCATGTCCATGTTTCTCTTCCTCTCTTTCTCCCTCCCTTCCCCACCCTCTCAATAAATAAATCTTCAAAACAGCAGAAAACTGTGGCGATCACGGTGCACTTAAAAGCTGTGTGTTAACTTACCTGCAGAAGCTCATAGCCAGTCTCGCAAACCACGGAGAAGCTGTCTTTCAGGATGTACTTGTCTTGCGCAGGTACGACGTGGCCATTAGGTGGCGCCACCGGATCAGGGCAAGGCTGAGCTGCGCGGAGGAAACCGGGGCCGTGGGTTCTGATGGGTTAGTGGCAGGTGAGTCTGAACTGAGCCCCTGAAGTTCTCAGTTTGTAAAGGAGGCACCTAACAGGTCGAGGGAGCTCACCACGAGTCCAGCAGGGTTCTTAAGCTTTAAAACCAAAGGCAAGATGAAACCCTCGGTTGTGTACTGTGCAAATTAGGGTTTGTCGCCTGGCCTGGGCTTCGGCCACAGCGGTGTAAGAAAGCCAGGCATGCAGTAAGCGAGGACGGCCACCCCTAATGGGGCGTCTGCGGCACGCCAGGGACTTCACACCCACTGCTGAAAACCGAAGTGTGTCACTACAAGGGACAGGCTGCAGACTGCCTGGGTTGAAGTCACAGCTCTCCATCCCCGGGGGTGGCTGTCAACCCCCCTGCGCCTCAGTGTCCTCTGCTGTAGGGTGCCCTCCCCCCAGGGCTTCTGTGAGGGTGGGGCGTGAAGCCCCTAGCATCGTGCTCTGCTAAGAGCTCAGAAAGGGGGCTGGAGTGACCCTTACACAGGGAGAAGCCGATGCCCGGCCCTGACCAGCGCTCAGGAAGCCTCGGGCCTCCCCTCGTGGGCTCCCGTCCCCCAGTGTTCAGGCCTCCAAGGGGACTACTTCCACTGTGGGCTGTGACCCCTGGCCTGCTGTCACCCCAAGGCTCCGGCGCCACCCCCTACCCCAGCTGCCTCACTGCATTCCTGCAGTGCCCCAGAGTTGTTTGCTGAGTGCCCTCCTCCCTCCAGCAGCTGATCTGCGGCCTGGGGTGGCTCCCAGGCCCTGGCAGGCCCCAGAGTCTCCCCTCAGGGACCCAATCTGCAGGGACAGCCCTGTGGGACCTCAGGGCTTCCCAAAGCCACCAGTACCCAGGCCAGCGGCCTGCTCACGCCTTCCTTGGCACACAGCTCGGGGCTGCCCTGGCCCCTTCTCCCACCAGCCTGGCAAAACTGACTCTCTCGACTTGCTCCAAAACCAGCAGAGCAGTTTTAGGAGTTTTCTTACTTGTGGACAAAAAAAGGGCATCTGGGGAAAGTACTCCCACGGGGTGATCTGACCGTAAATTCCTACGGGGCCTGTCCTGGCAGGGAGTCCCAGGCTGGAACTTCTCTGGTAAAAGCTTTCCCTGGCCTTAACTAGTCCCTTGCCATGTGCCTAAAGGGTAAAGCACCTTCGAAGTGCTTGCTTTCAGACTCTCCTCCTGAAGGGCGACCACCCTCAAGAGAGCACAGAGTCCTAACGGCCCTGCAACCCCTCCCCACCTCCTCGTTGACCCCCACCTTCATGGAATCTTCCTAATGTTCCCTCCTCAATCACCAGAGCATAAAAGAAACTGCAAACTTGAGATCTTGCTTCCCAGCAATGCCCTCAGCTGTGGCTCAAATAAACTCACACAAATTCTCCAGGCCCTGGCTGGGCAGCTCCGTTGGTTAGAGCGTCGTCCTAATACACTGAGGTTGTGGGTTCGATCACCGGTCAGGGCATGTACGAGAAGCAGCCAATGAATGCATCAGTAAGTGGAACAACAAAGTGATCTCTCTCTCTCTCTCTCTCAAAATCAATAAATAAAAATTTAAAAAATTCTCTATAGGTTTTGTCTTCCCCACAGATAGAAGGAGAGATAATTGGATGGATGAGTGGGTGGGGGTTCAGGACAAGTCACCCGAGATGTGCCCATTGTTTTGAGCTAAAGTTAACTGTAACTGCACAGAAACCCAGGTTCTTTAACCTGTCCTGTTTTTTTTAAAAAAACAACAAACCACACATATGTGCCAGAGAAACTTTGATAGGTTGCCTCTCACACACCCCCACCTACAGACCTGGCCCGCAGCCCAGGCCTGTGCCCAGACTGGATCTCCACGGACACACCCCAGCCAGGGCTACTCCCGACTGTTATCTCGCCCTGACTCGCACACCTCCCTCTCCCTCGATTAATCGTTAAGCCCTCAGGACAGCACAGTTCTGGTCAGCCAGTAGTCTTAGGAACAAGTTCCTGTCTATTGACTGTTGAGACAGTCTTCAATCAAACTAAACATAATATATCGGCCTCAAGATAAGTGTTTTGTCTCTGGGCCCAGGAAAGCAGCACAATCCCACAAAACAAATCCTTGTGAAACTGGACAGGACACCTCCGTGCTCCACCTCAGACCAAACACAATGAGCCAGTGCACCGACCAGCAGAGACCGCAACCGTAGCCCGACTCCACCAGCCACGGCGGTTAGTGATCTGCAATCCATTCCCTCCCCGGAAGCTGCCAGGGCCAGGCCTTTGGGCACCAGCCACCCGGGACAGGCACGGCACCCTCCCCCTAAGAAACCCTCACTCTCTTGGCAGCAAACCCCTGCTCCTGCCTAACTGGGCTTCGATGCAGACAGGCGAACAGATTCATTCCTTCAATCCGGGAAGGGCAACTTTAGCTACAGGCTCAAGAGGAACTTCTACTCCTCCCTCGTCTCCCTAGAAATGAAGGGAAACCCCCCCGAGGACTGGTCTACAGGGCAGGGCACCGCTGATCAGAAAGCGGGCTCCCCGGCGCTGGCCTGCTGCAGCCCCTGGCTCGGAGCCTCGCACACACACCCGCGCTCCCTTCCTGTCTTCCAACCTCTGCTGCCTGTGGAGTTTCTGGCACTCACACGTGCGGGACTCCTGTCCACAGGTCAGCTCAGGTCCAGCTCTTTCTGCTCCTTCATCTCCTTACGGAGGCTGCTGTGCTGCCTACAACTTGGGTGAAATAAGTGCCTGCGCTTTTCCCCAACTCGTCTGTCAGTTTAATTTTTGGACCTGCCCCAGGATTCTCGGGGGTGGAGGACAACTTTTTCTTCCCTGATGTTTCCCAGACCCGGCCAGGGAGAGTCCGGTCCTCTGTACTCCCCGGCCCTCTGCCGGGGGCCGGGGGCCGGGACCTCCGCCCTGCACTCACCCGTGCTGGTGTAGTGCACCTTCCAGCCCCGGTTGTCCCCCGACTGGTCAGTAGTGAAGATTATGGTCACGGAGTTGCTCTTGGTTTCAATCCTGGGGGGCAATGTGTTCCCACAAAATGGGCCGTGTTCCTTCATGTCTGTTTGAATCTGAAAGGAGAGATGCCCCTGTTACCTCAGGACCTGTGGGAGCCAGGCCGAGGTGGGGGTCCCCAGAACCAGACCTTGAGGGAGTCGTAGGGGCACTGGGTGTCGGGGTGCGCCTCCACGTCGAAGGACTCCACGAAGTCCAGGATGATCTTGAACCCCTCCTCCAAGCGGATGCTGTAGGTACAACTGGAGAGGTTGGGGTATGGCTGTGGGTATTCGGGGCTGCTGATCACCCCAGACCGTGCGGTGAAGACCTGGCCTGAGCACAGGGCTGGGGAGGGGAGAGGACAGGGCCTGTGAGCCCCTGGAGGCCACGGGACTCTGCCCACCCATCAGCACTCACTGCAGAGGGCCGAGGCCCTGCATGGGCCAGCTCAGGAGACACCTTCTGCGGCCAGGGACCGGCCCCTGTCGCTGAAGGGACAATTCAGGGAGGGAGTTTCCCTAGCTCCCAGGCTTTAGCTAAAAAATAAAAAGGCAACACTTGGATGTACATCTTCCAGGCCCCCCCACACCCTGCCCCCTGGAGAGGGTGGGGGCCCTAATGCTGAAGCTTCCATTGGGGAGGGTCCTGGGCCAAGTCCCAAAGGGGAGTGAGCGTGTGCAGGTTCTGCCGAGGGACTGAAGGCACTAAGGACGGGATTGGGGGGGGGGGTCTCCTCATTTCTCAGGGATTTGGAGGGGCAGGTGAGTCTCCTTGGGCTGAGGACCCCTGACCCACTCTGACCCCAGCAACTCCCAAGTTCATCCACCATGGGGCTCCCACCCCAGCGCAGCCAGGGCCAGTCTCCCTCCACTGGGATTGGTCAGGAGGTCAGGAAGCACCTCCCTTTGCCCACCTTCCCTGAGTCTGGGCTCTGCCTTGGGGGGGGGCAGTTGAGGGAAGTTCAAATCCACACCGATCATGAACTAGTCAGACGCCCTCTTCCCTCACTGCAACAGCTAATTCTGCCCTTGTGGAGCCTCCCCGCCATTCACAGGAGTGGTCTGCCCCCTCCTCCCAGGACACAGAGGGACACGCAGGCATTTGAGCTGGGCAGCTTCCAGGAAGTGGGGGTCCCAACCCTGTCTTTCTCCCTGGGGCTGCTCCCCAGGGCACAGGGAAGGAGGGAATCGTTCCTGGAGGTGGAGACCAGGCTGCCCCCCAGTGACTACCTCCCGGGGCCTCTTTGCTCTGGGTCAGGCTCCCCCAGCCCAGCACACATGGCCTGAGGCACCCCCCCCCCCGGAACAGGAGGTGGGGGGAGGATGCTTAGAGCTCAGCCCCCGGGGACCTGGTGGGGAGCAGAGAGCTCGTTTTCCCCTGTGTGAGTTCCGGCAAGTCTTCGCTGCTCTCTGGCCTCTGCGAAATGGTGGGGGGCCCTTCTGGCAAAGGAGCTTGTGGCCTTGTGGAGGGGGTGCCCGACTAGGCTCTTCCAGACTACGGTGGGAGGGGGAGGGAGGGGAGGGAGGGGCCAAGATGCACCCCCACCCAGCACCCCCACCTTCCCATCCCAGAGACAGGAAGCAGCAGATGGAGGAGGAGCCAGGTTTATTGTTAGTTCTGCGGGTGGGGTGACAGGGGGGTGCAGGTGGCAGCGCTCTCCCCTGACCCAGAGCTGCAGCCCGCGGGGCTCGCTGCAGGCCGGAGCAAGGGGGACCTAGAGGGTCTGCTCTGGAAGAGAGAACAGAGAGACAGGGAGGGACACCAGATGGGGAGGCAGGGTCAGTGCCGGTGGGTGCGGCTCCCCACTCCCCAGGGCACCAGGTGTCTGGCAGGGCAGTGGGGGCCGCAGAGGTCCTGCTGGCTGCCAGGACCTGGTGGCTTTGAGCAGACCCTGCCCCCAATCCTGAAGTTTTATAGAGGGTAGCTTCGGTGAGCTGGGCCTAGACCCCCCACTTTTCCACACTGGGAGCCCCCCAGGGGGGCACTGTATGGGGGCCCCAGAGCCCAGCTGGGCCAGGTGCACAGTAGGGACCTAACACACGCTAATCAGCAAATAAACTGGAAAGGACCGAGGATGGGAGGGAGGAGGAGTCGGAAAGTGTGGGCAGACGGATGGACAGAGCGAGGGAGCGGACAGAAGAGCCGAAAAGGGGCGGCAGCCTCCAGCCCCCGGACAGAACAGCCATGGCCTTGAGGGAGGAGGGCCAGGCCCGGTCCAGGGTCCCCTTTGTGGCCAGAACTCACCGGAGCAGGTGCGCTTGTTCTGGTGGAGGACGTAGCCCGCCCGGCAGGAGCAGTAGAAGCCGCCCAGGTGGTTGTGGCAGTGGTGCTCACAGGGCGGCGCCTCTCCGGGGGCCACCTGGCACTCATCGATGTCTGTGGAGGGGGGGGCCAGGCAGGTGGTCAGCAGGAGGTGGGGGGGCACTGGGGCCGGAGCTCAGGATGCCTCCGGCCTCACAGCTGACACCAGAGGGGGCCCCTTACCTTAGAAGGCACCCAGCCAATCACTAGCAGCCTAGGGTCCTTGCCACCCCCCATAACACTTGGAAGAAGGAAATAACATCTTTTAAAAACCGATTATAGGCTGTGTCCTGCTCCAGGTCCTCAGCCAGTGAGGAGAGCAGCCAGCCAAGGAACCCGGGAGCAGTGGGTGGGCCTGCCACACAGGTCCACCCAACCCTTACAGCAGCCTCATGAGGAGCACAGACAGGGTGAGCCACTTGCCCAGGGTTGCACAGCTGGTCCCTGCAGGAGCCAGAATCTGAAATCAAGGGTCAGACTCGAAGCCCATGTGCAGGCACCGGGCGCTGATCTTTGTACGCTCTCAGCACCAGCTAGAGGAGCTTCTCCTTCCCACCTGTAACCAGGCCCGATCCTGGGCCCGCACATATCACGGGGTGAAGGGGCTGGGAGGACGTCCCTGTCTCAGCACCCGGCACGGGCCAGGGCTCGGTGGAGCGGAGGTCTGGCTGTCGTGGGTATTTTACGGACATCTGCGTTGCAGATGTCGTCAGAAGAAGGAGGCCAGCCTGGGGTGGGGGGTGTTGAAGGGAGTCTGGCCTGGCTCAGACAGAGCTGCACCGGTGGGCCATCCCAGCGCCGCCCCGGCCACTCTCTGCTCACCTTCGGCTGCGTAAAAGGCTTCGAAGCCCCTGAACGGCTTCTCATTGGAGTAGTCAGAGTGGAAGGTGACGTCCAGGCTGGAGCCCAGCGAGTAGAAGGTGTCGTTGCCAGGGGCCCGCTCCGTGTCTGTGCTCTCCCAGCCACACAGCGTGGCCAGCACCTTGGATCCCGAGCTCAGCTGTGGGGTCGGGGGTCACTGCGAGGGACAGCGAGGCCCAAGGCCTGCCCCTTCTCTGAGGCCCGACCCTGCTCCCAGGTGTCCCTGGCCCCCAGACCTGGCCATTTCTTGGTCCTCCCCTCCCCCAGCCCTGTCGGCACCTTGACAAAGTCGTACTCGCAGAGGTAGGACAGCTCCAGGTGGAAGTGGGTGAAGTAGAGACGCAGGCGGTAGCCGGGGGGCGCCGTCAGGCTCCAGCGCAGCTCCTGGTCGTTGGCGTACTTCTCCGGGAAGCCCGGAGACGCCAGGCGCCCGAACACAGGCTTGGGCCACTGCGGGCCCTCGGGGGCAGCTGCCGAGCGCCACAGCAGGCCCAGGAGGATCAGCAGCCTGGGGGCAGAGGGGGTGGGGGGGGTGACGGTGACAAATCCAGCCAGCAGCCTGCTGTCACCCCCAGCCCTGCCCGGGAGGCTGCAGGGGTGCCCACCCACCTCATGGTGTCCCCGTCCTGCTGGCGGGGCCTGCTCTGCCTTCGCACAGCCTCACCTTTGATCTGTTTGTCCGACCTGGCCCTGCCCCCAGCCGCCCTGACCCTGGAATTCTGGGAATCGACCTCATGACTCCCGGCTTCCCAGGCTGCGAGGCAGGGAGGACAGGATGCTCCAGGAGCTGGACCTGGGGGGCAGCCAGCCCTGGGAGCAAGTCCTGGCTCTGCCCCAGCCCTTGACCTCTGTGTTTCGTCCTCAGCATGTGGCCTTCACAGTTGCCAGGCCTCTGTGACCCTGCTCTCCATGAGGCAGCTCCAGGTGGAGGTGGACCAATGCACTCGTGCTCCTACTTTTGCTCCCTCCAGAAAACTTGCTACAAACACCTGAGTCCAGCCCTGGCCGGGTAGCCCAGGTGGTTAGAGAGTTTTCCAGATACACCAAGGATTCAGGTTCAATTCCCGGTCAGGGCACATATAAGACTCAACAAAGAAATGTGTAAATAAGTGGAACAACAAATCGATGTCTCCTTCAATCTCCCTTCCCCTCCTCTCTTTGAAATCAATAAATTTAAAAAAAAGAAGACAAACAGAAAAATCGCTGAGTCCACAAGAACGGCACACATGGGAGAGGAAGCAACATCAGCTTTCTGGAAGCTGGACAAACAGGTGGGCAGGCGGAAATGACTCTCCAGAAAGCGTCCCCGAGTTAGCAGTGGGACCCGGATTCATCTCCGCGGGACCTGGCGGCGCCACCTCCTTCTGGAAACCTTAAGAAGCCAGCCAGTTCCTATTTCCCATCCTCTGACCCCAGCAGAAACTTGGAGACTGATTTTTTTTCTTTGCAAGAGAAAATAACCAAATGAAATACATGCACGTGTGGGAGAGTCCACATGCCTGCGGGTCTCCTGGAGACAGATTCTCACGGGGAGGGCAGGGGGGTCCCCGCACCCAGCTGTATGTCAGGGAGGAGGCAGATTAGCAGCAGCGGGAAGCAAGCAGATTGGATACTGGGAGCCCATGCTTTCTCCTAACTCAGCCCCGAGAACCTGGCCGCTGTCGGTCCAGGCTTCTCCCTCTCTTTTGGGAAGCGGGACCCACCAGAGGGAAGACCTGCAGATGCCGACTTTGACGGTTCTACGGGCCGAGGGCTCAGCCGCTGTCCCTCTCAGTGAAGGTCAGTTGACAGCCCCAGGCAGGTGCTTGGAGTCTTTCAGTCCCCACGCTGATGGGTCCCAGCTGCCCATCGACACCCGCTGGACAAAATTCCAGAGGCAAAGGTTTGGTAACAAAGGAAAGGAGTCTTTGTTCAAAAGCTTCACAACTTTGGAACAAGAGCTTTCCACGTGTACTAGTCACTTAAGCCTATCAATTAAGCCTAAAAGCATTTTCTCTTTAGTTGCAGCTTTAATCACTTAAGCCTATCAATTAAGGTTAAACTCTTTAACACCTGAGTTCTCCTAGCATTCACCCAGCTACTTTTTATTTATCTTATTAAAAATGTTTTTTGTTGTTTGGAGTGGTGGGGATGTTTCTTTTCTTTTGAGGGACAGAAACATCAATTGGTTGCCTCTTAAACGCCCTCAATCGGGGACCCGGCCAGCAGCCCATGCATGTGCTCTAGAGCCGCCAGGTCGGAGAGTCGTCATACAAGCAGGTTGTTTAGGCAGATGCACGCAGGAAGGCAGACACCGAGGCCGCCAGCTTGACGAGGTAAATGGGGTCACTCCAGGCAGAGGAAGCGGACCACCGCCAACCCACACGGAGCTCCTGCATCCTTACACCAGGAGCACGGCTAATGTTGAGAAATAACTAAACTCCGCAGCTCCGGATAGGACTAATTTTACTCTCATCCAATAAACTGCGCTTGTGTAGGTGTCTCCACGATTTCTGGGACTTCAGGGGGCTCTCAGGGTGTGCTCACCAACCCCATTCCACTTCAGTAGGTCAGTCTGTGTCTCTGTCGTGTCCCCCCATGGACGGACGTGGGGTCCCAGGCTAGTCCAGGGGTGCGTGTGTGTACAGGAGACATTATTAACAAGAGTTGGGAAGTGGGGGGATTTGCATTGCAGACTTTGGCTTCCACGTGAGGCATTCTTTTTTCCCAAACAGCTCCCGCTGTTTCTGCGACACGGGCCCTGCTCTCTTCTCTCTCTGCCCCTAAATGCCATCTGATTTTTACTAGCTTGATGAGCACTGAATGCCATACACAGAATTCTTAATGAAGCCTGTACCAGCTGAGGATCCCCTTTGACGGGGGATAACCAAGTCGTGAGTGGCTCAAGTCCTTGGAAGTGGAACCCTCCCACCACCCCCATCCACCTTCCCTGCCGGCACCCTTCCCTGGGTTGCCCTGAGGGTGGGCCTTCCTGGAACATGCTTAGTAAGGGTTCTGGGGCCTGAGGATGGACCTCTGGGCGGGCATCCCTGCTGGCAGCCCGGGGTGCTGGGGCTGAGCTGCTGAGGCAGGCAGGGGTAAGCAGAATGCAGTGGCTTTTGGAAGGCCAGCTACCTGGTGCGTCCTCCCCAGCCTGCTCACTAGCATGTCACCTGATCTTCCTGTGTGGCTTTATAGTACCTTCCTCACAGGCGGTTGCACAGGTAAAGGAAGTAAGACTCGTGGTGGGCAAGCCCTGCGTCACCAGCCACCGCATCTTCCTTTGACGCCCTCTTCAGCCCAGACAAGTCTGGACTTCATGGGGCCTCCCTGGGGGTGGGAAGACCCTGGCACATGTGATATGGGCTCTTAAGACTGTTCTGGAATATGAAGGTGGACTGGGGACATTAGTGTGTGTTCAGATTTGCTGACCAAGGTCAGGCTGAGTTCACAGGGTGAGGCCTAGGTGTGAGGGAGTCGGGGTGTGACCAGTCCTGGGCCACTTGAAGTGTTGGCTGCAAAGCTGGGTGTTTGCTCCCCACCCCCTACCCCACGAGGGCTCAGGTCCTGGCACCCGGTGAATGGCACCCGAGGCTGCTGCCCAGGGTAGGGTTGGGACCAGGGAGTGTTCCAGCACCACCCCCAGGCTGGGGCCTCTAACTTGTCCCTCCCCTGTCGCCAGCCTCCCTGGGATAATCCATCCTCTGGCAGCGCCTCTGGGTTGGCGACTGTGAATCCTGAGACAGGAGTGGGCGAGGCCCCTTCCCCCAACCTGCACGGGGCAGGGCAGCTCCTCCCAACCCGTCTGTCCTGGTCTTCAGGCCTGCGGGGTGAGTGCCAGGGACACCAGCTGGCTGTTCAGCACCATGGAGAGGGCACAGACAAGGTGTGGCCACTCACACCTGTTTCCTCAACCTCTGCACACTCCCAGCGACTTCCTAGGAATCTACCAGAGGGCACCCAAGAGAGGTACAGGTGGAATTTGAACCCAAGTCTGAACCCTGAGCCAAGTCAGGGCACCCAGTGTGCTTCAACAGGCCAGGGAATCTGGACCCAGACCAAGTAGCCAGCCCGGGGCTGGACTGAACAACCCTTCAACCTCCAAGACCACCGAACAGCAGCCCCAGGAGGGAGCAAAGCCCCACCTCAACCTCGTCAACCCCACAGCCCTGACCCCTGGGGTCTGTTGCCACCCGCTCTGGGGCTGGGTGAAAAAATGATTAAGGCAGCTTCTCGAGACACATTTGGGTCCAGTTTGATGACAGTTGTGCTTCCTGGTGCTGGTCCAAGGTCACATGGACATGTGACAGACACTTGGAGGCCAGACACTGGGTCCAGCTCGGAGCCTGGCACTCAGAAATGCCCAGTAAAAGGCTACGACAGCCCCCGCCTGGGCCCATTCAAGGTCTGGGAACACATGATTCAGAGCTTTGTTATAAATACGTGTGTTTGGTGAGTGAGGAGGGCAGAGATGGCGCTGTACAGAGCTGGTATAGGCTTGGAGGCTGAACACCACACAGAGAGACAGACAGACAGTCCGGCCAGCGGGGCAGGCCGGGCAGCATTCTGGGGCCTGTGACACTCGGCTGGTGGGTGTGCTGGCGGGGGTCTTGTCCAGGGCTCCCTGGCCCGAGGTCCTGAGCACGTTGGCGGCGGCACCTGGGCTCAGCTCACGTCATTCAGGGCCTGGTGAGACGTGAGGCCTCGTCAGGAGGATGTTGGGTCGCGTGGGGGTGGGGGTGGCCCCCTCCCAGGCTTTGCCCCACCAGGGGCTCACCTTGCGGGCGAACTCAGGCAGGACGAAGGCCGCCCGGTGCACGTCCGAGTTGTAGTACCTCAGCTGCATCTGATCCACTTGCTTCTGCGTCAGCAGCCGCACCGGCTCCTGGAAGTTGGTGCTCTGGGGCAGGGGTGGCGGGGGGAGAGGGGCATCAGGGAGTGCTCTCCGTGCTCACCTGCCCCCCCCCCCCAGCCAGCCCCAGGGCAGCCCGAAGCTCACTGGGTTTTTGCTGCACAGCATGAAGCCGATCTGGCCGCTGGGGTAGGTGGGGATGGTGCAGTAGGCGTAGCCCACCACGGGGAACAGCGACCTGCAGAAGTGCTGCATGTCTTTGATGAGGTCCAGGTGCAGCCACTGGCACTCGCCTGGGGGGAGGCGGCATCAGCACGGCACCGCTGCCGGCACCGCCCCACCCCGCCCCCTCGGGTCTGCCCACACTCACCCTGGCAACAGAGGATCCCATCCTCCTTGAGGGCTGTTTTCATGAGCTGATAATAGGACTCCTTGAAGAGACTCTCAGCAGGGCCTGCAGGGAGGGAGGAACGAACACATTCTGGCTGAGACCTCCTGAGCCTGGCCTGGAGGCGGGGCATGGGCCACCGTCACCCCACTTCACAGACCCACACAGCTGCCAAAGACCAGGACTTGGCACCTTTAACCCAGCCAGGGTTCCTATCCCGAGCTTGGACTTGAACCCAGGTCTGCAGAATTCAGAAACCAGCTAAGAAGAGGGCATAGGAATCCGCCACCCCAGAATCTGAGGGGGCTGCACAACCCCACCCCCTGGGGGAGTCTCACTGGCACTGCACGGGGCTGTCCCTACCCTGGGCCTTGGTTTAGGAGAACCCACCTCCGCCTGGATGCTGACCTGGCGAGAACAGAGAGGGGGCTAAAGGGGACGCTGGGGCCTCCGTGGGCCAAGGCCACAGCCCTGCACTGCTCCAGGCCCCTGACCAGCTGTGAACTCGGGCTGGTGGCCCGGCTCCCCTACTCTGCTGAGCCGTGGGCTAGTTCTGGGCGCCCTCCCTGTCCTCCACTCGGCGACTTGGGCCGGAGAGCAAAGGGGAGGCTGGCTTCTGGAGTGGCAGCTGCTGGAGGGCCTCGGGCCCACCTGTGGCTTACCCATGGGGTCTGAGGAGTCAGTGATGATGACATCGAAGGCGTCCTGGTTCTGCTTCATGAACTCAAAACCGTCGCCCACATGCAGGGTCAGCTTTGGACTAGAGTAGCCAACGGCCATGCTCGGCAGGTACTTCTTAGACACCTGAATGACATCCTGGGGAGGGGACGGGAAGGGCCAGGCTGGAGTCAGATGGAGCCAGGCAGGACCCCCCGCAGTCCCTTTTGGGGCCTGGTCACCTTGGGCCAGCCATTTATTTGTGGAACCTCCGTTTCCACATCTGCAAAATGGGGAGCACTCTGGGACTTCCCTCAACTCCTCAAGGAGGGCTGGCTCTGGCCTGCTTCTCAGCTGAGTCACCACTGTTCCTGTTCGCTCCCTTCAGATCAAACTGCACTATCTGAGAGGCTCCCTTGATACTTTAGAGGAGGCATTTCCGACTTCCACTGGGAGAACCTCACCTGCCTGCAGGAGGTCGGATGCGTCTGACTCAGGCTGCGCGCAAACCCACCTCTCAGAGGCCTGCCCTGACCAGCCTCCACCCGCCCTCCGTGCCTTTATTATATATCACCCTTCACTGTCTCCTTGTAACTGGGATAGCAGTTCCAACAGGACTTGCATCTGCCTATTCACCACTGTACCCAGGACGCAGAGCAATGGCTGCCACATAGTAGATGATCATTAAAGATATGCTCAGTGCTCTAGTGGTTGGAATGTCCCGGGGCCTTGCCTGGGAGTTGAATTAAAACCCAGCACTCAGCCCTGGCTGGCGTAGCTCAGTGGATTGAGCGCGGGCCTGCAAACCAGAGGATGGCAGTTTGACTCCCAGTCAGGGCACAGGCCTGGGTTGGAGGCCAGTTCCCAGCAGGGGACGCACGAGAGGCAACTATACGTTGATATTTCTCTCCTTCACTCCTTCCCTTCCCCTCTAAAGATAAATAAAAAAAAATAATATAACACCCCCAGCACCCAGTCTGATTAAGAACTAGCATGCATGGCACACCTACTACGTGCCAGGTCTGCTATTGTCCTACTAAATCCTCCCAATATGTTTTTAAGATGAAGAAAGAGGCCTAGAAATATTATTAAGTCACTGAGTGCAAAACAGGAACTTGAACCCAGACCCCAGCCCTGCTCAGGGCACTCACCTCGTCGATCTCGCACTGGACCACGGACTCCACGGAGGAATGCTTCACCACCTCCCGCAGGACACCCCCGTCCCCGCCCCCGATGATCAGCACCTGGGAGGGGGGTGGACGGTCAGGGGCAGGGCCCGGCACCAGCTCCAGCAGGTCGAGTGCCCTGGGCCCCGGGTTGGCAGATGCCCTTGCACACAGCCGCCTGGAGCGAGGGTGTGTCTCTGCTCGGCTCCTCTGATCCACAGACCTGGTTACTCTCCTTTCTACTTTCGGGAACCCGGTCTGAGGTGTCCCCTTTTCCAGAAAACTCCTTCCTAAGCTTCAGGCCTCAGCCAGAACCCTTGCTCCTCCCAGGTGGTGTCAATGCCCACCCCTCCAAGGGGGCGGCTCTCCCACTCACTCCCTTGTTCTTGCTCGCACTTTCTGGGACGACACCTTAGGAGGCACCTGGGCCGAGCACTGGGCACACGGAGAGGGAGGAGGAGGGCTTCAGCACTGTCCTGTGGGATGCCCGGGGTGGCTTTCCTATCACTGGGCTCAGGGCTGAATCCCGGTGGGAGCGGGTACCTGGCGAGGGTTGGGGTGGCTGAAGAGCGGCAGGTTGGCTATCATCTCCTGGTAGGAGAATTCATCCCTTTCCGTGCACTGGATGACACCGTCCAATACCAGCACGTTGCCGTAGCTCTTACTGCAGGGTGGGGTTGACAGTTAGGGACCTGGGTCCCCTGGGGTGGGGGCGACGTGCCTCCATTCACCCCGGGTGAGAAGAACCTCACCCACCCTGTGAAATGAGTCTCAGAAGTGAGTACTGGGGGTGACACGTGGCGAGGACCAGCAGGCAGACCCGCCAGGCGGAGGCTGGGGTTATAGACTTGGGTACGACTGAGACTGTGACGTGTCCCAGACTGACACGTGGAGCTTGGTGCGTCGGGTCGGCGCAGACTCCGGCTCCCTTCCTGCCGGAGGACCGCCCGAAACGTGGCCCCCCAACCCAAGGGATAGGATTCAGGGTGGGGAGGGGACCGAGGGAGCACACAGGCCTAGTTCACAACTTCTGACAGTTCTGCAGGTGCAAGGGAGGGCAGTGACGGTTCTGGGGAGTCGGAGGTAAAGGGCACAAGATGGGTCTGGCAGGAAGAGGGTGGGCTGGGCCGAGATCAAGGGAGGGTCGCGGCTAGTACGCGTGGGGGTGGGCAGCGAGTGGTCTGGGCTGCGAGCAGTCCTAGGGGCTTGGGGGTGCAGGACGGGCTAGCGGTAGTACCTACCTGCGGAAGACAAGGATATCCTGGTACCGCGAGCGCTGATGGTGAAGCAGCTGCTCCACCTGCAGGGATAGGGCCTGGCCCGGCCACAGGCTGCACGTCTCGCGGAACCAGCCATCACGAATGGCAGCGGGACCGGAGGCGGCGGGGCCGTCAGGGCCGGGCTCCATGGCCGGAGCGCTGGCGGGCGGTGCTGGGCGCGGACCCGGGACTGCAGGCCGCGCGGAGCCGCAGCACAACGGGACCAGCTCCGCCTGAAGCCCGCGCTGCAACCTAATCCGTCCGGGGGCGGAGCCGGTTGGCAGGGGCGGGACCCAAGCGCTCCAATGGTGGCGCGGGAGTGGGCACCGCCCCTGTCGGTGCTCTGAGAGCTCTGATTGGTCTCCGAGCCCCAGCGCGGCGCCCAGTGGCTGTGGTGGGCCGTCTGTCCGCGGCATCAGGCTAGTGCGGCCCGCTCCGAGGGGGCCACGTGGGACTGGAGCCGGAGGGCAGGGGTCTGGCTTCCTAAGTCTCTCACCCTTCACGGCGCTGGGTGGGGCGGTGCAGACCCCAGTCTCCTGCTCCCTTCCCGGGGTCCGGGAGGCACCGAGGGCCGTGCCCTGCTGGAGAGACATCGAGAGGTTGTCTGACTCCGGGAGGGGAAACTTGAGATGACATCTCGGTCGGGCGCTGAGTTTCCAGCGTTGAGACAGCTTGAACACTGGGGCCGAAGAAATAGAGAGCGGCTACATTGTCCGGCAAAGAATTACGTTGTTGCGCAGGAGCGAGAGCAAATGTATCTCTCTTCGCATCTCCCAGTTTGGCTCCCTGTTGGACTTGAGTGGTGTGTGTATTTTGTCTGGGGCTCAATGGGCGTATTTACTAGAAAAGGACCATCACGGTCCTGCCTCGAGCTTGATTTAGCCTTTTCCCCTTAGACTCTCGGAGCCATGAGCGTATGGCTGCGGAATAAAATACAGTCCTTTTCTAAACGAGTTTCTAAATTTACCAGCGGTGTCCCGGAAGAGGCCAACACATGCATATTCAGCGCCAGAAAACAGTGGCACGCAGGGTTTTTGGGGGGTTTTGTTTTGTTTTGTTTTTTTTTACGAACTGGACCTTGCTCCTCTGAAGGTGGGCGGGAATGTGCTGTTTTTATGGAACCGTCAAGGAACTTATCAGAATCACATTAACCATTCGAATTACCAAGTATTAAATGCTAATTGCAAGCTAGTGCTTTGCATGCCAAGGAAGGGAGATGAGACTGGTGTAACCTACTGGTGACCGGACAGGGATGTTTTTTCACAGGAGGTGTTTTGCAGCCTCCCCTTGGAGGTAGAAAGCATGTTCCTTGTCTATTAACCCCAAATGAATAACAACTGTGTTTTTCTGTTAGTGCAAGTCTCGAGCCTTACAGCAACAATGTGTGCTGGTTGACTTGAAACTTTTTAAAGGGGAAGTGAATCAAGATTGCTAGCAGATAGCTCCTTTGGAACCGTTACTGGAGCTGGGGTGGTGCGAAGGATCACGCAACAGATAAGATATAATCAACCACTGTATCCAGTTACAACAGGCTTCATTGGCTCCAGCGCTGTACTTGGGCGTTCACACCGCAGCCTGTACTTCCAACATGAAGACATTTATGCCTCTGACTTGTGATCGCCTGCTCGGTGTCCTGTACCCCGAGCCAGACTGTAAGCTCCTGTGACTCGGGATAGTGTGTGCAGCTGGCAGCGCTGGGTCAGAGACTGAGTGGAAGTCGGAAGCCAGAACCCCGGTCCAGGCACCTTATGGAATCAGCTGACTTGACTTTCTTTTAGGTGCTGCACAGGGGAGCCCAGACAGGGGCCCTAGCATTCCTGGGACACTGCACAGGGTGACCGTAGATCAAGTCCATCCCATCCCTCCTGCAAGATGAATCAAACTGTTCCAGCAAGTACAACCTCAGATGAGGAAGACCAACATGACCCCAAATTGCCCTCCTGTGGGGGGCGGGAGGGGAGGCGGTGAGACTGTCAGCTCGCCTCAAGCACTAATGGCAAACAGGACTTCTAGGCCAGTGTGTAGAGGTAACAGTGCAAATTTTCCAAGCTCCAGAACACAAAAGCCCTGAATAAATTCCAGGGCAGAAAGTCCCCAGAAGTACAGGACCGCAAGCCCAGAAATGTCACCCAACTTCAGATCACAAGGAGGAAAACTGTAGTTTTGCCAGAAATTGCCATAGTTACACTGCCCATTTAAATTCACAACTAACGTGGAGAATCGGGCTGGAGAAAACCTGGGTACAGCACAGACTGTTTCTGCAAATCCAGACGAATGGGCACCAAGAATTCGGTTCAAAGCGTTACTGTCTAGTGGGTGGACTACCTCGGTTCCTAAAGGTAGAGTTTGTAAAAGGGGCAGCAGGGCTGCCCCACGGTGTGTCCCTGTCACTGGTGAAGGTGTTTTGGCAGTCAGCACTGGAGAGTCATTTTTCAAGCTTTGTGTTTGGCCAGGCAGACTGGTAGTTATGAGTGGGATGAATCTGCGGTGTTACTTGGTTGGAAATGCCCGCAGCAAGCTGCCCCAGGCGCCACAAACAGCAGCCAGCAAAGGGCCCTCTGGCTCGTAAATGCTCTCCACCTCCAACCCGCAGAGCCCTGCCAGATCCCTCTTCCGGGAGCGAGAGCGCAGGCCCGGGCACGGCCTCTCCGGTTCAGACTCACTGAGCAGTTCCCCACTAGCCTCCCTGCACCTGCCACCCCATCCTTAGCAATCCAAGCACTGCTCCCCACTTGTCCAGATGCCCACAGGCCCATGTCTTCATCCCGTGGCGCAGTACTCCTGGACTTCAGGGTTCCACAGACCAGGAAAATTTCAAAAGCACAATCAGGGATTGGCATTGGGTTGCCAACTGCTCCTTTTTCAAGAAAAGACACTTAAAAAGACCCCCCCCCACCTTTTTTAAAAAGGTAAACAAACACTGACAAAAACCAGTAAGGATAATCTCTAAATCAAGGACCAGAGTCACTTTGCCTCTGTGAGAGACTTCGTGCATTTTCCTCCTCTCACCCTGGGTCAGTGGGACTCCCACTGCACCCCACCAGGCAAGGTCTGGGGCGCCTGGCCTCACTGACAACAGTGGTTCTGGACTTGAGCTTGTGTAGGAACCACCCCGAGGGGGTTCCTGCTCGCTCAGTCCTGGTGCCTGGACTCACCCTGACTGTTAGGCAGGCTGGCGTGGAACATGGGCCTCTGCCTTTTAACCAGCTCCCAGATGGTCCCTCGCGGGGCCTGAGTAGCACTGACTGCAAGGTCCTCTGGCCTTCACTTTCCGAGGTCCGGCCCAGCGCGCCCTTCACGTGGGCCGCCTGCCCTAGGAGGCCGTTTCTCGCTTTTAAAGGTCCCCTTCTGACCACCCTCCATAGCAGAGGTTCTGCTCTTTGGGGGACGACCCCTCGAGCTTCAGTGTCTGTGATTTTCCAACTCTAGCACAGAGCTCTGCGCTTTTAGCTGGGCCCGTGGGCACTGAAATGGCTTCCCAGCATCCTTGCTGTGGCCGCGTGACTAAGCTCTGGCCAGTGGGAAGTAGAAATGGGCAGTGTTTAAAGGGGGGCTGGGTGCTCTTTCCCTCCTTCCTTGCAGCGGACTGGAACGAGGGTGCAGTGCATGGAGCCCACGGGCTGAAGGCCTGTTTGAGTGACAGTATAGGAGCCAGAGGCCGAGGACCGCTGACTCCCACACTGGCTCTGTGCGGACTACACTTACAGAGGAAAGCAGGGCAAGGCATCCCTTTGTCTCAGCCCCTGGTTGTCGGGCCTTCCTGCTGGTCTCAGCCATTCCTGGTCTGGCTGGTACAGAGCCCAGCCCACTGCGGGACAGGGCTGCAGCCCCGTGGCAGAGTATTACCTGATCTGGCCCCATAGCCCACAGGGCACGGCAGGCAGCCTTCTCAACAATTTGTGGGAAAAGTTCCAAGAAAACAGGTTCCTTGTTTAATTATTTGTGGAAACAAAAAGAATGGTATTTTTCTGTTTTCTTGACTTAATAGCCCACCTCAGGATGAAAATCAAGTGGAATTCCAAAGACATAGCCAGAGACTGAATCACAAATTTATACAAGTTCCATGTTGCATTATTCAAAAAAGTACAATGGAAACATCTGTGTTTAATAATGGGGATTAGCTAAAATCCATTTTAGAATGAGAAACAATCTTTAAAGGTAAAAAAACGGTAGAAACAGAAATCCAAGTTTGCAAATCACATATATGAGGCCTGTCTGGAAAAAGTCCGGCCATTGTTAATGAAACCTGAGCGGTTTGTGCGGCATCGCTGTAACCTGGCAGCCAAGGAGAGTGGACTGGAATGAGCATGCGTGGACAGTGACAAACTCACTGTGGGGTGGTAGATGCTGGTGAGTAAGCTGTGTACTGTGTAGCCATCACCTTTAAAATGAGTGGGTGGAGCAATGGATCTACATTGAATTTTGCGTTGAGCTTAACACTCCTCTGTGGAAACTGTTTGGATGATTCAGGACACAGCTATGGGCAGATGGTGACTGGCGGCTTCATCACAACGCGCCTGCTCAGGCATCGCGTCTCGTGCCAAGTTTCTTGGTGAAACATCAGGTTACCCAGGTGACTCAGCCCCCCTACAGCCCAGGTTTGATACTCCGAGACTTCTGGTTTTTCCCATAACTAAAATCAGCTTTGAAAGGGAAGAGCTTTTGGACCATCAATGAGATTCAGGAAAATACGACAGGGCAGCCAATGATGACTGGAACTCTGTGATACCCTGAGGTGCCTACTTTGAAGGGGACTGACCCGAATACTTTCTGGACAGACCTCATATATACTAACAGCCCTGGCTGGTGTGGCTCAGTGGATTGAGTGCTGGCCTGTGAACTGAAAAATCACTGGTTCAATTCCCAGTCAGGGCACATGCCTGAGCTGTGGGCCAGGTCACTGGCTGAGGGCACATGAGAGGCAACCGACTGATGCTTCTCTTGCACATCAATGTTTCTCTCCCCACCTTTCCCTCTCTCTAAAAATAAATAAAGTCTTAAGAAGTATATGCATACACATTGTACATACGTATAATGAACACGTCACAATTTTGTAACAGGAAAAAGCAGAGTTGAAGAGAAAGGACAGGGAGGGCCCCGGCCCTCTGGGAGCAGCAGTGGTTCTAACAGCCGCACCAGCCCCTCCTCCCAGTGGCACTCGGACCACGTGGCTTCCGCTGCCTTGTCTGGACACGTGTGAAGGGAGGAAAACGGCCCCTGGGACCCTCCTGACACGGAGTCAGTTGAGCATCATGCTCCCTGCCCTGTGGATGCCGCCCTTTCCTGAGTCACGGGAGATCCCCCCGAGTTCCACCTCGGGTGCTTCTGGTCCCTCCGAGGGCAGAGGGCACACTCACCCACAGATCGCTGAGGGCGGCCATCTGAATAGGACGGGGTCTGTCCTTTCCTGCCACCATTGTGGCGGCAGCAAGAGAAGAGTCAGGAACCAGCTTTCTTCCAGTAAGAATTATTTTTTAATGGTTTAAAAATGAGTCTGTACAAAACCAACACCATCATTTGGTGCTTCCAGCCCACTGGGGGGTCCCAAGGGTCTCCTCCAACACTATCTCTTTGGCCAATTGTGCCTGAAACCCCTGAAGAGAGAGTATGAAAACCAAAGTTACTCCTACTTTGGCTGCATGTTTGTCCTCAGCTGGTTTATAAACTGATGCAGACCCCGATGATGCAGAATTGCAGGACAGTTTGTTTGGGGTCCTGGAGAACCCAGTGGGGCAGCAATGCACCCCCCCCCCGCCACCCCCCCCAGAGAGTGGGCCAGGGAGGTGCACTGAGGCCCAGCAAGGAATGGCTGAGCTGCCTGAGATCAGGCAGGTCCCATCCTCATCACACCACACCCTGGGGCTGGGCCCTCTAACCTCAGGGTCTGCTCTAAGGAGTAGGATTTCATTTGTTCAAATAAAATATTCAACAGAGATAACCCACGCTATTTGCATACTGGCTTTTATCTCAGTGCTCTGGAACAGGCTTATCTGGGTGAGGTGCAATCTGATTTGCTCTGAGGCAGCCCTGGGAAACTGGTAGTAGGTGGAGGAGGGTAAAAAAACTGGACTGTGGGTCCCAGGACGCAGTGGCGCCCCCTCTGCCCATCTCCTTCTCCCCAAGTCAGAGGGTCCTGAGAGGCTCTCTCGGCATCTTCCCAGTTGAGGCATGTGAGCCCCCTACCACGTACCTGTCTGACTTTCCAGTGGGGAAGGACATGCTTTTGTTTCCCACCGACTGTTTAAGTTTCTTGGCTGCAAGGCATTTCTGAAAAGAAGCACAGAAGGTAAGATCCTGGCAGCGCCGTGGCGCTGGGTTTCTGCGCAGGTGGGCCCCCCCAGGGTTTCCGAGTCCGAGCCGACGGGACGAGCTCCCGAAGGCACCGGAGGGCCCCGCACGGGCCTCCCGCTCTGCACGCCACACCTTCCGCCCCGTTTGGCACCGCCTGGCACCAACACCCACTCGGGGCAAATGCAGGCTTGTGCTGGCACCAGAAGTGCCCTGGCCTGCGGCGGTAATTCCCACGGGAGCCGACACAGACAAACCCTTCTACACCACACACCAGCCTTTACAGCCTCTTAAAACTTTTTCAGTTGCTGGAATAGTTGGTGGGTATTGTCTGTGCTTGGGAGGCAATGAGGTGAGGGTGAAGACATGCAAAGGGTTCCCAGTGAACCATCTTCCCAGGAGTGGAAGAGGGCAAAAAACAAGCACATGCACGGACTCTCGAGTGCGTGCCCTACCTTGCCAGACTGGGCCTGCTTATTTGGATCGAACTGGGAAGAAGGCTTGGATTTGCTGTTTCCTGAAAGACAGGAGAGTGGCCATGTACCTGCGGTCAGACACACCGTGGGCTCGTTCCTTATGGAATCACGTTCCTTGTTCCTCATGGCCGATGATTCACCCACCACGCTCCCAGCAGCTCAGGGCAGCCGGACAACCAGGCTCACAGACCCGCTCTCAGGTGTGAGGGCGGATGCTGATGGGCTGGCCACCCTTATGTCAAGGAAATCCACTCTGGTCTCTGCGTTGGGCACCGCCACTGTCAGTAACTTGGGCCGAGGTGACCGCCCGGCTCTGCCTGCTCCCTCCTCAAAGGAACATGCTGGTGAGGCGGCTGACGTCGGAAGTCAGACATGCCGTGTAAAGGAGATGGGCTCTCACCAGCTGAGGAACCAGCCAGGGCTTCATCTCGTGGGAACTGGGTTTTTTCTAACTTTTTAAAATTTATTTCTTTTTAGAGACAGGGGAAGGAAAGGAAAAAGGAGGGAGAGGAACGTCGATGTGAGCAACACCGACAGGTTGCCTTGGAGATCGAGTCCACAACCCCAGTTGGGGACTGCGCCCCGAGGGGATCGAACTAGCCACCTTTCGCTGTTTGTGGGAGAAGCCCAGCTGAGCCACCCAGGTCAGGGCAGGTTCGCTCAACGAGGAAGATCACTGCTGTGCGTGTGAGAGAGGGCAAGTGTTTCTGGACACGCACTACTGCGAGGAAGGGCGATGCCACCGCAGCCTGGCTACACCACTCCGGTGGCGGGAGCCCGGGGTGGTGGGTGGGGCTTTCTGTCCAGTCTCTGCCGTGTCCCCGGCTTGCGGCACTAGTTCGGGGTCAGTGTGCGGCTCGGGCAGGGCTCAGTCTTTACCAAACATGGACAGACATCCCTCCCAGGGCACCGGGTCTGGCCTCACCAGCAAAAGCCTTGAAATCCGACTTGCTGTAGTCGTATGGCGTAAACTCTTTTTCTGGAGCATCTGGGTCTTTCGGCTTCTTGGAGATTTTGAGTCGTTTCTTCTCCTGTTTCTGCTCTGTGGTCCTCGGGTCGCTTGCCGCCCGCTCTCTCTTCTTGGCAGCGTTTTCTAGCTGTAGGTTGCACACACCCATGGGAAGGAAGCATGAACGTGCGTGAGAGGAGGTGAGCCCCCGGGCCATGCTGTGAAGGTGGGTTCGGTGACCGGGAGGGGGCGGCTGGAGTCTGTGTGGAGGCTGACAGTGGGCCGTCTGAGGAAGGCAGAGGTCAGCGCTCCAGAGCACTCGGGAGGGAGGGCGAGTGTTCCCTAGGGCCGAGAGCGCTGTCCACCTGCCCACTGCTAGGCAGGTGGCAGGGTCTGTTTATGATGACACAGTGGGAGAATCCATCTCAGAGGAGTTACGATAAAAACCTTTTCGAGGGACAGCGAGGCAGGCACTAAGTGGCAGCCAAAATGAATGGGAGACACAAAAGCACTGAACTTGGAACAGAGGGAACCTTCCTGATATTTGGGGACAACCTGACAACGACCAGGGGCACCTCATTTCTCAAAAGGAAAAGCAGAAGAGCCGGCACGTACAGCAGCCTGCCGTCGGACGGACACGGCCTGCTCCGCCGCCGCCTGGAACTCTTCGACCGCCTGGTCCCGGGCAGCTGCAACAGAGAGAACGGTCGGCAGGGCTGCGGATGGACTCGCCACTGTGCTTCCTGTGGGGGTGGCCCCCCGCCGCTCAGCCTCCTTGGCTGGTCCCACCTCCCTCCATGGTCTCCCACGGACGGCCGCCCCCTGACCTGCTCTGCTCCCAGAAACCCAAACCACCACCGGCCTGGCTGCCATCTCTCGAGGACGTTTAGCAGGAATCCCAGCCACAGCAGGTCAAGGACCAAAAGCAAAACCTCTGCGGCATCACACTGGCTCCCACTGTCATCTCATCCTCTCGATGGCGACCCCGTCTTTCTAGTGCTCTGGACAAAATCCCCTTGCATCCACAGTTCCTTCCTTTGCCTCGCACCCCACACCAGACTCCTCACCAGATGCTGCGGCTCTGCCACAGGAACACCCAGTTCTGACAACTTCTGCCACCTCCTCACTGCCACACTGTCCAGCTGGCACCCCCTCTCACCTCAGTGACCACCGTGTCCCCTACGGGCTCCCGTCCTCGCCTTCTACACTCTGCTCTCTACAGGGAGCCAGAGCAGCCGTCCCAAAGAGCATGTCTTATCACGGCATGCCTGTGCCCACAGCCCTCCCAGGCTGCCCCGCTCGCCTGCCGTGCCCGCCGCAGTCCTCGCCACAGGCCCTGCCTCTCTCCCTCCTCACCCCCCGCCTCTCTCCTGCGCCCCCCTGGCTTCCCCACCCGGCACCTCCTACCCCTCTCTCTGTATACTGCCTCCTGCCCTCTGACTGGACACACATTGGGGGTTTACTGCCCACTGTCCGTCAGGGGAAGGCACGCTCGGGGCAGCGGCAGCATCAGTGTTGTCCGCCGCGGGGCCCAGGTAGGGGCCTTGGAAACAGAAGGGCGAGCCAGCGCTGCTCCGACACAGACCTCGGACTGGCTGACTTTACAAGGAAGTGAGTGCTACCTGTTTGCTCAGCTGCCTTCTTCTTGGCAGTTTCTTTAGATTCTTTTTGTACCTGTACCTGGCTGGCCAGCTTCCAGCGGTTGCTGATCTATAATGAAAACAAAACAAAAAAACTCCAAAACTCAGCCACCTGGGAATGCTTTATTTTTTTAATGAGGCGATGCGGAGCACACTAGCCTGACAACTACACACATTCTAAGTCACAAATTCCGAATCTGGTGACACAGAGAGTCAGGTCCCATGCTGGCTTTATTTGTAACACTTATTTAGGAGGATGAAGCACCACTGCCCCAGGCACCGGGCCGGTGCTCTCACATCAGCATCCCGTCCAGCCCTCCGTAACCCTGGAAACCAAGCTCTGAGGGGCTAAACAACGTGTCCGAAGGGACACGCACAGCTAGGGGGCGGTGGGGCTGGAACGCAAGGCAGGACCTGTGCAAGCCCGATGTGCTTCTCGGTGACAGCACACCCCCCTGCGGCATCAGAACACATCTAGGTGGCTGCAGATGTGAGCATGGTAAAGGGCGATGGTTGAGGAATGCGCCACACCCAGCAGGGGAAAGAGGAGTGAAGGCAAAGCCTCCGCCTGACTCCCCGTTTCTAAAAACAACAAGCCAACCACCAGCGGCAGGGCTGAGGCCCGACTCTTGGGCGGGGCTGGTGAGCCAGAGGGAGCCAGGCCGCCCGTCTGACCGGGGCAGGGACTTCCTGCAGGGAGGAAGGAGGCTTTTAACAATTAACACGCTGGCTCCCAGGAGCATCTCATGGGGATCCAGGGAAGGTGTTTTCTTATTCTTATTCATAATGCTGTTAAAAACAAACCAAACAATATAAAACAGAGTGTTTTAAAATTTAAGCTGTCACCTGTTAGAGCCTTAAACTAATACTCATATACCAAAATGCATCAAGCTGTACATTAAACATCTGTGTACTTTACTACATGTAAATTAAACCTCAATTTTAAAAGACAAAAAAAAAAAAAAAAAACCAAATAAAAAAATGCCCCCAAAGACCTGTTTCTTAAAGGTTCCCCAACGCTTCTGAGAACTGGACTAAAGCTCTGGCCCCTCTCTCTGGAAACAATTCTTGTATAGAAAGGGTTTTTACATTCATTTTCAGGGGGTTTACTGACGGGCTTCTTTAAAACAGAAACTGGTTCAAAAAATTAAGAAGCCCCCTTTCTTAGAAAGTCTGTCTTAGAAAGCCTGACAAACCCACTCACTTCATAGATTTTTGATGACGGATCGAACTTGGCAGCCTGGGAAACGTGAGCGTGGTGTTCCAGTGAAGGCAGAAACTGGAGAGAGGGAGGCAGTCATGTCAAATGCTGTAAAAAGTGGAATCTGGACCTGGGGTCCGGGGTCCCCAGAGCGAGTTTCTGGGTGGCCTGGCCTCAGCTCAGGAGGCCCCACTGGAAGCGCCTGCCCGGCCTCGGTGAACCGCCCCCGCCCCCGGGACCCGGGGCACTGGCCTGCCTGCACTCTCTCTGAAGGCGTCCCTTCCAGGCAAACACTCTGTCAGGCCGGCGCACTGTTACTTACCATTCTGAATGGATTTTCAAAGGACTCCATTATGTTCTGGGCTTTCTTCTGTGCAACTGTTAATGGCCCCTTCCTATTTTCTTCAGCATTAGGTTCCTGCAGGGACAGGAGACCATCTCTTACTGGGTAATCATTTTGTGACGTTAAGATGCAAGCAAGACAACGATGATAACGTGATGGCTGGTCTCTGCCAGCCTCTCCCACGTAGGAGGCACTAGAACAACCTGTAACACCACACTGTGGGCTATCTGACGCATTTCTTAGAGGACATTTGTTAAAGCCGGGGACGGTGAGATACGGACGGGCCTAGGACAGAGGAAGCAATAGGAGAAAGCCTTCGCAGGGCTGCTGTGGCCCCGAGACGTCAGAGAGAGAGCGCCTTGGAGACGGGGCGGGGGACTGGCCTGGGATGAGCTGCCACTGCCCACTGCTCCCTGGTTTTAAGTCTCGTGGGGTCCCTTAGAGTTTAGGAAATGCACGCCCGAGAGGGAAGGAGACGTGGAAAGGAACGGCACGGCGCCTTACCGTCTACGAGGCACCTGAGATACGTATCCAGGGAACGGCCCTGCTGCGTATCACTATAGCCCACGCCCTCTACCCTGTCACCGTGAGTATCAAGTTTACAATCCTTGCTCTAGTTTGTGTGGCTCACTGGATCGAGCACAGGCTGAGAACCAAAGGGTCACTGGTTCGATTCCCAGTCAGGCACATGCCTGAGTTGCAGGCCAGGTCCCCAGTAGGGAGTGTGCCAGAGGCAACCACACATTGATGTTTCTCTTTCTCCTTCCCTTCCTCTCTCTCTAAAAATAAATAAATAAATTCTTTTAAAAAAGTACATAAAACCTTAAAAAAAAAAAAGATTATAATCCTTCCTTCAGGGTTTCTCTACACCCAGCTCACAGAGACTCCTTCACCCACCTCTCACGGACGCCCTTGTCCAGAGGGACACTGCGAGGTGCCTTGTGACCTGTCCCCACGCCGACCCTGCTGCGGCTGGGCTTTACTGTTGGCTTTAGCAGTAAAGGCAGAAGTGGCCCCCCAGGCCTAACGACCCAGCAGGCCTCTGCCGACCTGCCCCGCCTGCTCCGCCTCGCCGCTTCGGTGGTACTTACGTTGAATAAAGTGATGACAGCGGAAGCGATGAGGCATTTGGAATCCAGCAGGGCCTCGTCCTCCCCTCTTCCGTCAGGGAAGAGGCCTGCCTGTCTCTGCACGGGCGCGGGCCCTACAGGGACGGAAGCGAGCCCGGTCAGCGCCGACTGGGGTGGCACCAGACCGCTCCCCAGCCGCTCCGGGACCCCAGAGGCCACAATCGAGATCGACGTCACCGTTGGTCGGGAGGATGCGGTAGCCATCTGAAGGGGCGTGGGAGCAGTCGTGAGGTCCGAAGAGAACGTTCTCCAGTCTCTGCATCGAAAAGAAACCAACAGGCCGCAGTGAAGCACCCGCAAGCGTGCGGGCCGGTGTCGCACTGGCCTGGCTGGGCCGGGCCCCTCCCCAGGAAGGGACCGGGGACACAGCACCCTACCTCAGGGCCGGGCAGCGGTGCACTCTTTTTCACTCCTGCAGCGACCTCCGACTGTAGAAGAGAAACACGGGCGAGTGGGGTGAGTGGCCTGACTCGATGACACGCACATTTCCTCCTCGGTGCAGACTGAGTGCCTTCACTAGACTGCGTCTCAAGAGCCCGAGACTTTCTTTCATCCCTTCATCCCTCCCGGGGCCTGGCACTGAAATTACTGAGCGCTCGGTAACCACTTGCAGAACGGAAGACCCTTACCACGACCAGGCACAATGCAGGACTGCAAAGGGCCCGAGAGAGCCTCCCTAGTGACCAGGGTTTCTCTCTTCACTCGAACCAACAGCGGAGCTGTGAGACTTTAACAGGAAGCCTAACTGTGTTTATCCCCAGAGCCTCTCCTTGCTCTCCTCAAGGGCGCCAATTTTAAGTCTTCCTGAGTCAAGAATCTTCCAAAAATTACAAACGTGACTTAGCACACAGTGACGACGCCACTGAGGTGACACGTTAGAACTGTGCCAACAGGACACAGCCAAACATGCAAATCCACCAGAACCCGTAACGCTGACACGGCAGCGCACGTGCGCCCATGCAGACATGCACACACATGCACACGCACCGGTCCCTGTGCAGTGCACACTCGCTCAGAGACTGGGGAGCTGTCTTTGTGGTTGGATTTCCTGCTTTCATCTACATTTGTCTAAACTTCAGGAGCTCCTTCACAAAAGTAGCTTTTCCTGAATCCCCCATTTTGACCCGAGGTTCTCACAGCTTCCCAGTTACCTGGGCTTTATATTTGGAGTGAGCGGTCTGTGCCTCCACTTCCATTATCTCCAAATCCACGTGCCATTCAGAGGACACCTCTACAGCACTCAGCGTAGAGTCCAAAGAGAAACGGAAGCCATTTTCACCATCGAGCTTTTCTTCTGACGGTGCCTCTTGCGCCCGTCCTTCCCTCTCCATCTCGGAGACCGCCACACTCGCCAGGGCACTGCCACTCACATCTGGGCCACCTCCAGGCTTCCAAAACGAGCTCCCTGCCCTGAGATCCCCACTCCCTTCTATTCCACCAGTTAAATTCCTCTGAACAGGTAACCAGCTCGGACACTAGACGTTACTTGCTGCTGGATGATCAAAAATAAGGTCCTAAGGATAAGCTCTAGCTGTGACTATCATAAAGACAGACCCACTGGGTTTCCTAACCCTGTTTCTTCCTTGGGTCTTTCAAAATGGAGACCAGATCATGTATGTAGGAGACTACATGGGGGGAGAGGCTAACCGAACGGGCCAGCTGAGACCTTTACAGAAAGGCTTCTTACCTTGAGCAGGGGCATGTCTCGAGCCTGCTGGATTAAAAGATGCATCTCGTTGATCTGCTGCCGTACGAGAGGGGGTACAGGGTTGCAGCAAGCTATGATGCCCTGAGGTTCCCTGGAGACGAGAACATGCAAATGGGCACTCAGACAGACTGAAAGGCTCCCGGACAAGGACAATGACCGGGTAGTACCAGAGTGCCACAGCAAAGGGGAAGGCAAAGGCACCATGGTCATGCCAGAGCAGCCTGGGCCGGCCACTGCTGCGCACTCAGCGGCACCAGGCTGCGGGCAGGCTCCTCTCACAGCCCACCTCCTGCTAATGGGGAAAGCTGGAGAGAAGTGCCACAGCTCTGCTGATTTGCAGTTCTGAGCACAAGACCACGAATATAGATTCTGTACTTCAACTAACATCCTAAAACATCTAAAATCACAAGATGCCTTAGTCTGGAAGAAAGTACAGGTGAGCCCCTTGAAAGTGGATGCCGATGCCATAAGCTCAGAGGGTCACACTGGACTCAGCGTAAGGCACAGCCTCTGACGCGTTCCTGTTTGGAAGCTGCACTTCCTAAATGGCAGCCCGAGGGCAGACAGTAAATCCTGGGACTCGCAGCTTCCTCGGAGGGCTCATCTCCTCTGAGTCAGCCTCGAGGTAGTAACTACAGGAGAGGCTTGGTTTCGAAGGGCAGAGTTTCTCTGCTGAAGGTCGGAACATGTCGCTCAGCTCTCAGACTCACTTGGGCAGCTCTTCGGCGATCTTCAGCATCATGTGGTTCGGCAGCACATACCTGGAGGAAGCACACAGAGGGCGAACTGCACCACGTGCAGCCAGCAGGTGCCACTAACGCAGTAACCCAGGGGGACACGTAAAAGCGCGTCCCTTCCTTGTTACCAGCCCTGCTCAGTCTAAGAGGAACAGTGGGAGAATCTCTAACCCCTACCCGAGGCTTTCGTCTTCTCTCCGAGCCGTTTTATCCCTCCAGGCAAACAGCAGCTTGAAGGCTGTCAACTGCTGTGTGTTGAGATGCTTCTTTTGCTTCCTGTAGAGTTCAAGGTAAGACTCGTCCGTGAAGATAGGTTTGATGAATTTCTGCAAAATGTTACATGTTCAAGATCAACGTGAACCAAAATTTTTCCTTGGGCCCTTCAAACAGCTGGCTCTGTTCGCCAGTGTAGAGAGCGGAGGAGAGAGGGAGGGCCTCGTCTGGAAGGGAGAGCAAGCCCGCGTGTGCGCGGCTGGCAGAGTTTTACCTTGAGGCAGATGTCCCTGCTCCGCTGCCACACCACCTGCAGCTGCGTGGGCTGGCCATTGCCCCGCTCCCACAGCTCCACCCGCATCTTGTCATAGATGTAGAGCAGGTAGTGGGTGTCATCCCGGGCGTAGCTGAGCATCTCCTCAGGCAGAGGTCTAGAATTGCAAGAGAGGAAACTTCCACTGATCCCCCAGGAGCAGCGATGCGACCCATCTACGCTGGGGCACTTGGGCTTGCCTGGCCCCTTTCGCTGTGAAAGATTCCCTCACGGCCAATATAATAGTTCTATCGACCTTCCCGGCATCTTAATGTGACAAGCCAGGGCTTCACGGCTGAGGAGAAAGGGTGGCAGGACGATGATGTGATTGATAATAGGGCTCTGTCACCCACGCTGGTGGGGCTCCGTGGACTGAGTGCTGGCCTGTAAGCCAGAGGGTTGCTGGTCTGATTCCCAGTCAGGGCACATGCCTGGGTTGCAGGCCAGGTCCCCTGTTGGAGGTGTGGTTGTGAGAGGCAACCACGCACTGCGCTTTTCTCCTTCTCTCTCTACTTCCCTTCCCCTCTCTCTAAAAGTAAATAACGTCTGAAAAAGAAAAGAAGGGTTGTCATCTGAGTTCGAATCTTAGCTCCAAGGTATCTGACCCTGGACAAGTCACCTAATCTCTGAGCCTGAGCTCACTTTCCTCACCTATAAACCGGAAAGGCCCTCATGGGCTGTCCTGAGAATTACAGGGGACAGTGTCCCTAAGGTTCCCAGCACACTGTGTGGCATGTGGCGAGGGTTAAGTAAAGGGAGTGGCTTTCAGATTTTGTCAATTTTCCTCTTCTGTTTGGACTTTAGATTCTATTTCGGAATTTTGGCACGCAGAAGGGGAGAGAGGTTCAGTGGTGTCTCTGAACAAGATCTCTGCAACCTCAGGGGGGACACGATCCAGCTGAGCAGGGAGCCTGCAAGTGTGGCCGGGCCCCAGCCCCATCACAAACACTTGCTACGGGCTGCGTCGGCCACGCGCCTCAGAGCTCCCTCGCCCCCGCGGGAGGTCCTCCGACACACACACACACACACACACACACACACCCTCTGCTCGGGAGACTGGCACGGGCGGACACTGGCGTGGCACGCCCCTTTCAACCACCAGTCCGTGAAGTGCCCTGTGTAACAGAGCCCTGCACTGTCCCACACTGGCGTAGCACTAAAACTTCCGGTTTCACTCATACCAGTGAGAACAGTTCAACCCGAGACTCGGATAGTGCTTCAGGCTGAGCACAGGCCCCCCTCCCCATGAGGCTGAGGAGCGCCCGCACGTCCTCCCGCCCCCCGTCTCCGCGTGGGAAGGGAACGGACCGCATCCTCCAGTCGGCCAGCTGGTACTGCTTGTCGGACTCCACACCGCAGTAGAGCTTCAGCAGGTGGTCCAGCGAGTGCCTGCCCAGGCTGAGGAGGCGCGCTGCCTGGTGGGTGTCGAACATGTTCACCACGTACAGCCCGAAGTCTTTCTGCAGCCACTCTATGTCCGAGTCGGCGCCGTGGAAGACCTGAAACAAAACCAGGGTCCCCGCTGTCCTTGTGGGAGAGGCTGTGCGCGCGCTGACGCGCACTCCACCTCTGGGTTATTAGAACACTGCAATTAGAAGCCAGAGGGAAGATTAAGATGGGCTGAGTTCTACGTGACTCTAATTTGGGCCCCAGCCCTCTACGCTCCGAATGGCACACTCTTAAAGTCTGCTCACAGCCAACAATTCCAAGAAAACGGCCCTGCCTTCTTCCAGGACAGTCGTTAAGTGCACGCCATCCTGACGGCGCGGCTCGTCTCAGCAGTCATTAAAGTGATTTAACAGTTTTCTGGGTGGCAATGAGCTAAGACTTAGCTGTTCTAACGGAGGTTTAGAAACAAGAGCAGTTTAGCGTGTGGCACGCTAGTGCAGGGAATCACAATGATTTCTCTGAATTTTACTGGGTCTGTGTTGAAACAGTGAAATGAAAAGTACTTATATCTGGCATTCACAGGCCAGAGCTGAAAAAGGCTGGCCGACCTTGACAATAGCTGGGTCCGTGAGGCTCTCGTTGAGAATGTACATGTCACTCCGAAGCTCCAGGGTGTCAATGACGAAGTCTTCCGTCCGCGTGGAGATCTGCATGAGGCAGGTCAGGCCGAGGAAGCTGCGGTAGGAGTGGTGCTGAAACGCGAAGGGGAGACGGGGCAGACGGCTGACTGGGTGCTCCTCCGCTGACTCGGAAAAGTCAGTTTGAAGCAGACTGTCAGGGTTACCCTTTTTGCCAACAAAACAAAACAACAACGATGAAAAAACCCAGATTTAAATTAGTATTAATTTTACACTTCTCTAGTAGGTGACCCGACAGAAAGTGTAAAGATGTCACTACAAGTCATTTACAAGTTACCTCCAAGTCCACGGCAAATTCCTGACAGTTCAGGAGCTTTTCGTTGAGCTCCACCAGTTCCTCGATGGAGGACACGAAATGGCAGGGCGTCTCCCCCACAGGCCTGTACAACTGGAGCACAAAGTCCAGGTGGAAATAAAAGGACTACTACGAGCCATCCTTCACTGAAGTGCAAAATGAATTAGTAGTTCAAGAAACCACCTAAAGTTATAATCTACTATTTTAAAGATGTTTAGGGAAAGCTGATATTACGTCAATAATCTAGTCATTTGATCCCCCCTGTGCTACTCAGACACCACCCGCAACCCGGTCGGCACGAACCTGGGGCTGTGGCCTTCGAAGGACTGAGTCTGGGGGCGTGAAGTGGTCAAGTTCATGTTGGTAGGGATGCGCAAATCTGAATGAATGGAAGGGAAACCCTTCTGATTAATTCCATGGTTCAAGGGAAAACTGCATCACCCACCTTGTGAAATCGAATCAGAAAAGACCATTGTGGTAATATTTCCTCTATATAAAAAGCATCATTATTTCAATGATAATTCAAGAGCATCAAAAAAAAATCAGTTCATACTTGCTTGCCCTTAAAGTAGGATAATTAAAACCCTTTTTCCCTTACGAAGATTTAAGTGCTAATTTGCAAAGCACCGTGTGAGGGGTGTTGTGGACGAAACAAAAATGTGAAGCTCCAAACGCCTGTGGTTAGGAACAATGAAGCTGTGAAATGAGACGGGCGAGGCAGATGTGGCTGTGCACCACACCAAGTCTTTTCTCGGCTCCTCCATCATCTACTTGGACAAAACCCCGAGTCTCAGGGCTCCCTAGGGCAGGGCTGCTCCTCATGATCCTTCCTTCTGTACAACCTGTGGCCTCGCGGTGCGGAGCGGGGGCTGCAGGACACCCCGCCAGGCTGAGTAGGAGGAAAAGACCGATAATACCAATGAAGCTGTCCCCATGTTTTTCTTTATTCCAAGGGCAAAGTCCTTTTGTCTGTTTTAAGCAGTTTTCCCAAAATGCTCATACTGCCAGTGAAAAATGCCCTTTCCTTATCAAATAAATTAGTGAGCCCAAGGTTACTGTTTGAGTAACAAGAAAGGCAGAATGCAGCAGAGGTAGAGCCAGTGTGAGGAAACTGGGGTCCCGGTACTGGTTCTGTGGGGTGCCAGCATCTCTAACTCTGGTGTGCGTCTGAGTATAGTGCACGGGGGGGGGGGGGGGGGCAATGGTGCCGAGGTCACAGCTGACCAGTGCTCTGCGCACACAAATGGGAGAAGGTGACAAATCACCTTGATTCTTTGTGCTCACCTACACATTTTACAAGAATAAAAGAGTGACAGCTGTGGCGCAAAGATCAATGTGACATAAACGTGGCCCAAGGAGAGTTCAGACAGGCGAACACTTACATGTCCTGCTCCACCTGCTGGGTTCTCTGCTGATGGATGAAATCCGCCAGAGCAGGGGGCACGTCCAGGTCCTCAGGACGATCCTGCGGGCGCTCCCGCCTTTCTCTGGACAGTGCTGGAGGCCAAGGGTGACAAAACATCACAGGAGAGGCAGACATGCTCGCCTGGAGGCTAGTCTTTCCCTCTGAAGATAAAAAGGTGGGAGGGAGACCTTGCCCCGCTATTTGTTTGGCCAGGCAGAGTGTACAGTACTCACCCTGGGGGAGGGGTTTCTGGGCATTGGGCTTGACGAAGATTTTAGGGCGAAATGGAGTGTTGGAGTTGTCGATCTTCTCTCGGAATCTAAGCTGAGGTCGGATGATGTTTTTTGCATGAAGCAGGCGGAAAGTTTCAGATTTTGATTTTTTGTTGTATTCTCCTGCCTACAATCGACAAATACAATATTTTATATCATAGCAACTCGGTGAATTAAGAAACAAATTCTAATCCATGCCTTCCAAGGGGAGAAGAGCATTCCAGAGCCGTCCAATTAAGAGAGTGTGTGTGAGAGCAGGGGTGCAAAGGAGAGCAGAGGGTGGAATGAAGGCGCCTCTGTTTATGAGGAGTAGACGGAGGCCACTTCTGTGTCCCACACATTAGAACAGAGTGCAAATCGGAACAGGCAAAAGCGGACATTAGATGCTCCAGTGAAAGTGAAGAGAAGCCCTCACCTTGCGGTTCCAGCTGGACACTATCGTTTTGGGGACCTGTAGTCCTGCAGGGAGAACGGGCTGTTGATTCTTATTCACACCCGATGCTTCATCCAGCAAAATACCCTAAGGGTGGAAGAGATACTAGCTTAGTATCATCTTTTCAGGGTTAACAGAGTTAATTACTTACAAGATTTAAGAAATATATTTAGAGAATTATATGTGAGAATACATACACATATGAGCGGATAATTAAAGCATTATCTATTCAAAGAAGGGAGAAATCAGCCATTCCCAACTCTTGTCAACGCTCTACAGTTCTGAATTGGCCAACATCCCAAATCTGATTTAAGAGTGTGCCATGGCCCACCAAAATAATCGGTAAGACCCTGGATGTCACACGCAGACACAGAAGTTGGGCATTCACAGTGAGAACGAGGGTGGACAGAGCTGCCCTGCGCTGCAGGAGCAGCCGTGGGGGATCAGGTGCGGCACCCCTGACAAAGAGGTATACCCGGGTGACCTAGGGGGACACGGCAGGACGTGCGCTCATAAAGTAGGAGAACCCGCTGAGACATCTGCGGGCATTCGCGCTATGGGAGAGATGACGGCATGGGCCAGGACAGCGTGACACAGTATCTGTAGGACCTTCACAGGGCTGGGTTTGCTTTCGACAGTCTCTGTGTAAATAATGTTCTCCTGTAGAGTTAGGGACAGACCGTGAGTTAGCTCAAATGATCCACATATCCTCCCACTTGTGTGAGTCAGGGTGTGAGTAACAGTAAAAACAGACTTAATTTTGGTTGGGATCTGCATCCAGGGGCCCCTTTTCTTGCAATACAAACAGGATTTGCAAATCTGGAAGGTAGATTTATAATAAGGCATACTAAAAATAGGCTTCCTTGCTCTGACTGGTGTGGCTCAGTGGGTTGGGCATCATCCCGCAAACAGAGAGGTCACCAGTCTGACACCCAGTCAGGGCACATGTCTGGGTCAGGTCCCCAGCTGGGGGCGTGCGAGATGCAACAGACTGATGTATCTCTTTTTTTTCATTTTTAAAAAAAATTTTTTTATTTATTTATCTTTAGAGGGGAAGGGGGGAAGGAGAGAGGGAGAGACACATCAATGTACGGTTGCCTTTTGTGCATCCCATGCTGGGAACTGGCCTGCAGGAAACCAGCCTGCAACCCAGGCATGTGCTCTGACTGGGAATCGAACCGCGATTGTCTGGTTCACAGGCCCGTGCTCAATTCACTGAGCTATACCAGCCAGGGCCTGATGTATCTCTTGCACATCCATGTTTCTCTCCCTCTCTTGTCCCCTCTCTAAATAGAAATAAAAATTTTAAAGAAATAGGCTTCTGCTAGGCAGCGATATTTTAAATGATATAATACTTGAAGACAACTGTGTTATTTTGGTAGGAAAATGCCAACTATTAGAGGAAAGAAATGTTATTGGCAAGAAATGCTAAACTTCCATTTCCTAAGGTGCCTGGGTTTCTTTTCATATTTTGATAATACGGAAGCTCTTCATGTGTTCGCTATCTTAAGAGTAAAGTGCACTACTCACCACTCTTTCCAGAATAACATCGTTAGTGTCCACGAGTAAGTCAAACTTGTCCTCCAACTCGGTCACTTTACTCCGATCCTTGATGTTGCTTCGGCAGCCGTGGTACTGCATCACCCTGCTCATGCTACGGACAAGAAAGCCAAGCTTCGTTTGAGCACTTCTACAGATTTGTTTACAGTCTGGGGGACGCCTGAAAGGCTTGGCTTGGACTATTCCCAATATTTTATGATCAAACTTGCTCTCTTACTAAAACCATTGTGTCGCTTTGGGCAATTCCCTAAATCTCACTAGAAACTTACCTGCTACCCTGAAGGAGTGGAAGAAATTATCTCAAAACTGCCTTTAAACTCTAAAATATAAGTACTGCTATGTAAATAACGCACTCTGCAGTCACTGTTTTAACATGAACTCTAAAACATTCTCTAAATATGTCATGCAACAGCTAGACAAAAATCCTTGTTTGTGTACTGATTAAAAAGCTGAAACTTATTACTCTGAGTTGTATGAGAGAATCTTGGTTCTAGGTTTTCAAGTCCTATATTAATCCAAAAAGATTCATTGTCTACAGGTGTGAAGGTCCATACATTTTAAAAGTTAAACTCAAAATTTGCCAAGTAACATTTCCTTAACCAAAATACACTGTTTCATTTTTATATTTCCTAGCTTTTTATGGCACAAAAAATTATGGTTAAAAAAAAAAAGACAGCCCTGGCTGGTGTAGCTCAGTGGATTGAGCGCTGGCCTGTGAACCAAAGGATCACAGTTCAATTCCCAGTCAGGGCATGGGTTGCAGGCCAGTTCCCAGCAGGTGACCCATGAGAGGCAACCACACATTGATGTTTCTCTCCCTCTCTCCTTCCCTTCCCCTCTAAAGATAAATAAATAAAATCTAAAAAAAACCCACAAAAACAAAAACAAAAACAAAACAAATTTCAGGACATTATATTCATTACTTTCAACACGAAACCCCCCTTCCCCCAGCATGTAGTACTTACCACTGAAGCAACCTATCTCCCTGCGTTTCACAAAATGCCTGGAAGCCAGGAAAACTGCGGTAAAAGTCGTACTCATCGCCGCACTGTGGCAGGCCCCCGGATGCCTTGGTGACTGCCACTACTGACCCAAGAGCGAACTGTCAAAAACCAGAAAGACAAGCATGTTTTAAACATGGATCCCCATTCCTTCGGAGACTCGTTTTTTCAACACGTACTACATATAACACACTGTGATAGATGATGGAGATACGCAACCCTACACATTCATTTAGTGCGAATTTCACCCCAGGTCCTGAGGATCCAATGCTGAACATGAAACCAAGTTCTGGAGGTTACGTTCTTGGGAGAGTGGGGGGGGGGGAGAAAGAGTAAATGCATATATAATATGACTAATATTCAAAATGGCATGGGCTTGAATCTTGGCTCTGCTACATATTAACTGTGATCTTGGGTATGTTATTTTATTGTTTTGGATTTAGTTTTCTCCTCTGAAAAACAGGCATGATAAAAGTGCCTATCCCATAGAAGTGAGAGGATTAAATGAACTAATAAAATCATTTAAGATAGCACCCGACACATAAGTGCTACTATTACTATGACTACTCAAATCCATATCTGTGAGTTTCCTACAAGAATTTTTGTGTCTTCATTTGGGGAAGCATCTACAAACAACATAAAGCCCTGGCCAGGTGGCTCAGTGGGTTGGAGCATCATCCTGTACTCCAAAAGGTTGTGGGAACGACCGCTGGTTGGGGGGCATAAGGGAGGCAACCGATCAATGCCTGTCCATCTGTCTCTGTCTTTAAAATCAATAAACATATCCTTGGGTGAGGATTTTTTAAAAATGTAAAAACAACAGGAGCACAGTTTAGATCAGGGGTGTCCAACCTGTGGCCCGTGGGCAGCATGCAGCCTGGGATGGTTGCGAATGCGGCCCAACACAAAATTATGAATTTACTTAAAACAATGAGATTTTTTTTGGTTTTCATCAGTGTTTGTGTATTTAATGTGTGGCCCAAGACAACTCTTCTTCTTCCAGTGTGGCCCAGCGATGCCAAAAGGTTGGACACCCCTGGTCTAGATCCTTTGGACAACCAACTGGTAACTGCTACTGCCCAAGACTGGACTTAAGTTTATGGTTCAGTTAGTGCCAAGTCGTCCTCTATTTTAACTGTGTGGTAATGAGAAAAAAGCCTGAAGTGGCTGTCATACATAAAAGACGGTTGGTCATGTGAAGGGCAAATGACTTCACCGCTGAGTTGTGTAATAAATGTTTTCCCTGAAAGAAGAGAGAAAGGAAGCAGGAACTTGACTCGCGGTGGGACACACTGTATAGTTCACAATCATGAATGCTTCGAGTCAGGACCATGGCTAGTGGTCCCGGAACTACGCAAAGCCAAGTCCATGAATTCATAGTAACATCTGCCACTAGGGAATTAGATATGGTGGGAGTGGAGTTTTGGGGAATCTGCAGAGCTAACTTACAAATTATTTTCGTTTCATGGTTTTTTGTAAGAGCTACGCACGAGCCGTTTAAACCTAGTTTTATGTTTGTTCCTACTCGAGCAGCGTTACACAAGTGGTTTAAATGAACCCTCTCCGCGTTCCTTCGAGGAGGCACTGGTAACGGTGCTACGGTACCCAGAGCAGGAAGGTTCGGTGGCAACTTGAACAGGTGACGTTAAACCAAGGTTTGGGGATGATGTGGGGCTGGAGCTCGGGAGGAGAGGATGCAGAGGCGGGCAAGGGAAACAGAAAGCTGCCAAGCCCCTCCGGAGAGTTGGCTGGGGAGCTCAGCCCGGGCACGGGCGAGGTCGCGAGGGCTGGGGCATCCGGGTGACGAGGAAGCCTTTGCCCCTGTGGAGAGAGCTCTGCACAATCGGGGGCGCATAGGTTCACCTGGGAGGACGAGAGTCCTGGGACGCGGGGCGACCCTCTGAGTCTGCGGGAGACCCCGTCCAAGGAGAGTGAAGGCAGAGACTGTGCCCGGCGCCCGGGGCTCCGCCTCGGTGCGCGCGTGGCCCGGAGGGCGCTTTCGGAGAGGGCCTGGGGCTGTTTCCGTCCTACCGCGAGCGGCTCGGAGTCCCCAAACACCAGGAACTCACCTTCACGAAGCTGTCTGCGTCCGGAAATCCCGGTAGCACCATCTCCTCATTTGACTTGGCCTCACTCGTGGCGGATGAGGCCTTGGATTCCCGGGGACTGGGAGGCGCCATTTTTTCCGCCTGCATCGCTCTTCTCGCGAGAGTGCCTAGGTCTGACGCGACGTTGAGCGCACCACGCATGTGCAAAGGCCGTGTTTTGGGGGAAAGATCTTGGAAGGGTGAGAGTTGAGCTGTCAGTCTTGAGTTGCTTGCCCCCCAGGGAACTTTACACTTGTCTTTAACCTCATACTTTGTCATCCCAACAACCCTGTGATTTAGGGTGAGACCCGGAGGATACAGTTATCCTATTTAAAGGCAGCTCTTCCCAAGCCTGTTTTGTGTCCCCCTCACCCTCTTGATTTTGGCTTTCTGCATCATCCAGCCTTTTTCTGGCTACGGATTCATTCCTAACAGCGCCCTCACCTGCAGGCATCTCTCTCAGCGAAAAAGACAAGACAAAAGACCACCTCTGCCCCACATCTCCTTCCAGCCACCATCGCATTTCTCTTTCCCCTTGTAGACAAATCACTGGAAAAAGCATCCAGATGTAAGGGGAACTCAGGCATTAAAGATGTTAGCTTCAGTTGATAGGCTTAAGTGATTAACGCAAGAGGAAAGCTGTTATTCTAGGAGCTGGAATGCAAGACCATTTGACTCTAGGAGGTCCAGCAGCAAGTCAACCTCTGTGCCCAGGGAGATGGTACCCGAATTGTCGATCTACAGATAAAGAAGTGGAGGAAAATCGACCTGGGACTGCACCTCTTGTTCTATGTACCTATGCTTTCTTCTTCTTATAGAAAGATCAGCTCGAGACGAGATGTTAGGACGGTCTTCCAGAGTACGTAATCTGCCACCTCCTCAGATGGCAGGCATCTGAATAAAGCACCGTAAAGATTCAATCCTTGTTTCTTTCTACTGGATCTGGTATTGACAAGCAGCACACATTTCACATGCTCCCGCTGCACTTACCCCCGAGGCCCTCCAACTCCTCCGGTCTTGTGTTCCTCCCCACCTACCACCAGACCTCTTCCTTCAGGTACCCAGTGGGAACTCCACACATCAGCCCGCTGAATGCCTGGAAGCACTCTAGTTAAGTGAGAGGCACTACTAAGCAGCTCAGGAGGTGGATTTGAGAAGCTCCGTGGGTATATCCTCTCTCCAAGGTCAGGGGGGGCACACCCTTCATGTAACTCATTTGGTCTAGTAAATGTTCAATGTTAGCTGTAATCGTTATTCATAATATCCTATGAATAGGATACTTGTTTTTCACTGTTTTTGTGTACCCTGGCAGGACAAAGGCCTAGTCTAGTTCATTTTAACAATATTTTTGAGCACTTACTTCATATGGTTCAACCTAATGCCATGTCAAGCTGTGCTGTGTGCTTTACGGCAAGGGCTCTGAACCCCTGGGCCAAGGGGCAGTAGAGGTCCATGGCCTGTTAGGATCCTGGTCGCACAACAGGGGGGACAAAACAGGTGAGTTAGCAAACCGGTCCCTGGTGCCAAAAAGGTGGGGGACTGCTGCTTTCTGGAAATTATCTCATCTTGAAAACAACCTTATGGGGTGGACCATACTATTACCCACTTTCAGAGGAGAAAACAAGGTTAGATTCTGTTTTACAACCTCACACAGTTCCCTGTTGTCCGCAGCATCAACTCCTTGCTGTTGAAGTGTGATGCGGGCCAGTCTGCCCCCAGGCTGCTGTCTAGCCTCCTGTTTAGTTCCTGTTGGTCTTTTTCCTCCCCACTGCCCCCAGAGGCAGTCACGCTGAACTGTGGTCCCACTGTGTGACATTGCCATTTTATATCAAAAGTGGCTGAATACCTGCAGTCTAGGATGGTGCAAGGTGACATCTGCCATTTCTGCACCATATGGTGCTTTTCACCCCTCTTCTCTGAATGTCCTCACTTGCTTCATCTCACAGCTTGTGCTCATCCTTCAAGATCCTTGGCAAATGTCCCCTTTCCCGTGAGACTCTGTTGGCTCACTGCTCAGCGGAATCAGTCATTCAGAGCTGTATCGTAGCTCACACCCTCTGCACGGCTCCCTGCCACTTAGTGTGGCAGAGTCACAGTCTACTCCCACGTGACGCCATCCCTGCCTGTAAACACCTTGAAGAAATGGACTAGGTCATGTAGAGCCAGGGTCCCTCAGTCCCTAGGACTAAATGCTTAATGAATGTTGAAGGAGTAACTGCTTCCTTTATGAGTAATGATGAGTAAAAAGCCATTCATACATGTTTTTTAAAATTCTGATGTCATTTATTGGCACAAAAATTATTCAGATACGACGTGGTGTCTAGACATGGCTACACTTTATACTTTGTGCACTTAGTTTAACGTTTCGTTTGCTTGTCATTCCCAACACGTATGAGGCTTTCCCTCTGTGTGCAGCGCCTCCATGGCGGCGCTTGTTTTCCGAGCCCCTGCTCTAAACGCAGAGCATTCAGACCTCCCTAAAAACCCACCAGAGCCGTGTGGACCACTCCACTGCCCCGTGACCTGCCCTGCGCATTTGCTCCGCCTAGCCCACACAGCATTCTGAAAAACTCCCCGCCTAGTGGCCTGGTCTTGGACTGAGTGTGTTTGTCGCAGCATCACGGGTGAGGCAGCAGACAGACCTCTCCCCACCCACTTGGGCCTGTCTTGCAGATGCTGCTGCTGGACCAGTGAGGTAATGGGGTCGGTGAGAGCGATGAAGTCGGCTTCTCCCGCTCCCTTCCAGTCCAGAGCCCTAAGACGCGTCCTCCACGACCTGAGGCTTTCGACTGCACTGAGTTTGCTGTTCTCGTGTTGAGAGGACCGATGAGGCCGTTCTGCTACCAGCAAATGCTTAGGATGAGTTGTGAGTTAGCTCGAAACCCGTATTTCTAAAGTTATAGATCTCTTGTTCCCCAAAATCAATGGCTTGATTTATGGAGGATTACTGTGTTTACTGTCCTGGGGACCAAACCAAGCCCTGTGTTTCTGATAATAATATTCTTCAACAGCAGCTAGGAAGTTGGTTCAAACCAACTCAATATACAGTAGTTCTTTTCATTTACATTTGGAAATATTTCACAGAGTTGAGCTCTCCGACCACTGCTTCAGTGGAACGGAGGCACCCACCCGAGGACAAAAGGCTCCAGAAAAGCGCTGCGGGCACGTCTGAGCCTCCGTCACCAGAAAGGACACCTAAGGAGACAGAAAAAAAAGGAATATGTTAATAATTTGAGCTTCTTCAAAGCTTTATGCAGATACATTGAAAATGGAAAGACTAAGGTCTGCCGACCCCGGGGACTCTCGCTGAGATGTCCCCTCACTAATCCTGCGGGACACACTCGTCTTTGCACTGCTGCTTCCAGACACACTCGTCTTTGCACTGCTGCTTCCAGGCAACGGTGGTCCCAGAGGGCGCTCCCCGCGCCCCTTCTCTCAAGTTTCTACCTTGGAGCACGCCTCAGGCAATCAGACAAAGCAGACCCCAGAGTGGTCCTTGATGTTGCAATCCCAGAGCATAAATTTGTCTTTTCGTCTCCTCTCTGTCACTGTTCTGGCTGCTTTTTCCTTTGTTCTTCCTGTACCTCAAAATTGACAGCAAAAATCCAGGAAGATTCCCCTCACCCCCCCCAAATAAGGAGGTCTTAGTCTTGTAAACAATTTTTAATGAATTTTAACTTATTCTGGTGCTTGCCCTCCAAGTAGGCATCCGTATTTTTCAATTTTCTCCTTTTAAAAAAAAACTGATTTTTTTTTAAGAGAGGGAAAGAAAAAGAAACATTGATTTACTGTTCTATTTAATTCATGCTTTCATTGATTGATTCTTGTATATGCCCTGACCAGGGATCAAACCTGCAACCTTGGCGTATCAGGACGATTCTCTAACCAACTGAGCTACACGGCCAGAACCTCAACTTTCTCCTTTTTTAGAGAAAAAAGCACACACAGTGAATATAAACATTTAAAGAGATTTGAGTGGCCCTGGATGGGTAGCTCAGTTGGTTACATCACTGCAGTACTCCGAGGTTGCAGGTTTGATCCCTGGTCAGGGCACATACAAGAGGCAACCAATGAATGCATAGTATGTGGAAAAATTAATTGATTTGAGAGAGAGAGGAAAGGAGAAGAAGAGAGAGAGAAACATCCATTAAGAAGGTAAATAAACGTAAAACTGTGACTGCACTTGGGTAAGTCCTTCTTTGCGACCCGGACACAGAACGGGCCATGGCAGCCTATGTGAACACAGGAACTTGGGGACACCTGCTCACCATCCAATGTAGCACTGGCAGAGGTTTTCGTGGGACGTTGCTTGTTTGATGAGCAGCTCGACTTGCGTTGGGACATCCAAAGTTTCATCATGAGAGAAGTCCCGACCTGGGACAAGACAAAGGAAGTGTTTAATTTACGCCTGTTTTTTCACTCCCTCCTTGGCCCTGCCTGGCTTGGCTCCCCATGCAGCCCAGGCCGGTTCACCCTTGAACGTGAGGAGGAAAGCTACGTGGCAGTTGGACTTGAAATCTCCTCCACGTGACTTGAGCCTTTCCTCCCACGGGGCGGCTGCTTCCATTATAAATTCATGAACTCGAACCTCAAACCAGCACTTGGCACTGCCTGGCTGGCTCATGCTGCTTCTTGGGCAACGTGCCTTTCCATTTCCATGAGGACCATTTCAAGTCCTCTGCTCTCCCCAAGTGCCCAAACCTCTCTGGTTTCTCAGCCTCAGCAGGTGCCCTCACCTACTTGATGAGTTCAGTCACTGAACACACGTTTTTGGTCCCTGGTGTGCTAGGCAGTGTTGAGCTGCTGGATTTGTTTGCCATGAGCTTCCTCTTCTTTGTTCTCATGACGCTGGAGAGCTGTCCCTCCTACCATTCAAGGCTAAGTTCTCTTGCACTTTGGGTCCTGTGGCTGCCTGCTCTAGGAGCCTTATCGTATGAATTACCCTTCCCCTCACTCAGGCCCTCAAACTCCCCCTCCCAACTGCCCTCCCCTCTCTGTAAGCCGTTCCTCAGCCACCTAACCACTCCTCCTCCAGCTCCATGTCCTCTCTCATCCCTGCACAGCCGAACTTCTCAAGAGCTTTGAAACTTGTCTCCTTGCTTCGCTTCTCAGTCTCCCTTCACA